GGGTGGGCCGGCTTCTGGCATTAATTCAAGTTTTAAGGCCAAAAAATATTTTTAATGTGATTTCAAGTTGGCAGGCATTGAGGCTTAGTGGAAAGCACCAGGGGCTGATGGGCCTCGGGAGGCCTGGGTTCTAGTTCCAAAGTTGCTGTTTAGACCTGTGTGGGCCTGCAGAAGCCCTCACTCACTCCATGCTCAAACAAGGTGTCTGGGTTGAGGCCATGAGACATGTGGAAGATTTTGCTTGTTGTTTTACAGGCCTCAGCTCTAGGTCCAGCGCTGTTTGCTGGGTGGAGGAGTGAGAAATTTTTATTCTGTGGAAATTGCTGCAGGCCTTTGCACAGGACCAGCTGGGAAGGGCAGGAGTATCAGTGTTTTGGTTTCTGACCTCTGCTTGCCCTAGTCACAGGCAGCCCAGACACTGGTCCTCTCAAGCCCCTGGGGCCTCCAGAAGGTAGGCCTGTGGTGATTGAAGGCAACTCTGCTCCCAGCTGGCCCATTCTCCACAAGGAGGAGAGACTGACATAGCACCACAAACTCTCAGAGCAGAAGGGAGCCCAGATCAGCTGACCCTGAGGGTCACACACGAGCCCTGGGCCCACTACAATGAATAAGAAACCCCAGAGATATTGGCATAAATATAGACACAGAGATCAATGGAACATAATAAAAAGGCCAGAAATCAACCCACACATATATGGTTAATTAATTTATGACAAAGGAGCCAAGAATATATGATGGCAAAAGGACAGTCTCTTCAAAAATGATGTTGGGAAAAACTGGACAGCCACATGCAAAAGAATGAAATTCTACCACTATCTTACACCATACACAAAAGTCAATTCAAAATGGATTAAAGGCTTAAATGTAAGGCCCCAAACCATAAAGTTTCTAGAAAAAAAACACAGGTAGTAAGATCCTTGACATCTAGTCTTGGCAATATTTTGGATATGGCACCAAAAGCAAAAGCAGCAACCAAACAAATAAATAAAAACCATACACATACACAAAAAGAACAAGTGGGACTGCACCAAACTATAAAACTTCTACACATCAAAGGAGAGCATCAATAAAATCAAAAAGCAACGAGAGAAAGTATTTACAAATCATATATCTGATAAGAGATTAAAACCCAAATTATATAAAGAACTCAAACAACTCAACAGCAACAAAACAAAACAAAACAAAAAAGCAACCACCACAATCTGATAAAAAATAGGCAGATCTAAAAAAAAAAAGTCAGATCTAGGCTTAGGTGGTTTGACTCAGTGGATAGAGCATCAGCCTGCCAACTGAAGGGTCCTGGGTTCGATTGCGGTCAAGGACACATACCTAGGTTGCAGGCTCAATCCCTAGCCCTGGTCAGGTGGACTGCGGGAGGCAACCAGTCAATGTCTCTCTCACACATTGATGTTTCTCTCTCTCTGTCTCTCCCCTCTCTTCCACTCTCTAAAAATCAATGGAAAAATATCTTCTGGTGAGGATTAACAACAACAAAAAATAGGTAGATCAATATAGACATTTTCCCAAAGAAGGTACATGAAAAGATGCTCAACATCATTAATCATTAGGGAAATGCAAATTGAAACTATAATGATATATCACCTCATACCTCTTAGAATGGCTATTATCAACAAGATAAGAAATAAGTGTTGCGCCGAAACCGGTTTGGCTCGGTGGATAGAGCGTCGGCCTGCGGACTGAAAGGTCCCAGGTTCGATTCCGGTCAAGGGCTTGTACCTGGGTTGCGGGCACATCCCCAGTGGGGAGTGTGCAGGAGGCAGCTGGTCGATGTTTCTCTCTCATCGATGTTTCTAACTCTCTATCTCTCTCCTTTCCTCTCTGTAAAAACTCAATAAAATATATTAAAAAAAAAAAAAAGAAAGAAAGAAGTGTTGCAAGGATGTGGAGAAAAGGGAACCCTTGTGCACTGCTGGTGGGAGTGTACGTTGGTGAAGCCACTATGGAAAACAGTATGGAGGTTCCTCAAAAAATTAAAAATAGAACATATGATCCAGGAATCTTTTTTTTGGTTTTTTTTTGTTTTTTTTTGTTTTGTTTTGTTTTGTTTTGGAAAACAAAGATATTTTTTTAATATATTTTTTATTGATTCAGATATTACATATGTGTCCTTGTCCCCACGTTACCCTCTACCCCCCCACCCCCCCGCTCATGCCCTTACCCCCCCGTTGTCCATGTCCATTGATTAGGCCTATATGCTTGCATATAAGTCCTTTGGTTGATCTTTCCCCCTTACCCCCACCCTCCCCTACCTTCCCTCCAAGTCCCAACAGTCCAATCAATGCCTCTCCGTCTCTGGATCAGTCCTTGTTCACCAGTTTATGTTGTTCATTATATTCCACAAATGAGTGAGATCATGTGGTATTTATCCGCTCTCCAGTTCCATCCATGCTGTGGCAAATGGTAAGAGTTCCTTTTTCTTCTTCCTCTTCTTAAAGAATACCTTTCAGCATTTCATATAATGCTGGTTTGGTGGTGATGAACTCCTTTAGCTTTTTCTTATCCGTGAAGCTCTTTATCTGACCTTCTATTCTGAATGATAGCTTTGCTGGATAAAGTAATCTTGGTTGCAGGTTCTTGCTATTCATCACTTTGAATATTTCTTGCCACTCTCTTCTGGCCTGCATGGTTTCTGTTGAGAAATCAGCTGACAGTCATATGGGTACTCCCTTGTAGGTAACTGACTGTCTTTCTCTTGCTGCTTTTAAGATTCTCTCTTTATCTTTTGCTCTTGGCATTTTAATTATGATGTGTCTTGGTGTGGTCCTCTTTGGATTCCTTTTGTTTGGGGTTCTCTGCGCTTCCTGGACTTGTAAGTCCATTTCTTTCACCAGCTAAGGGAAGTTTTCTGTCATTATTTCTTCAAAAAGGTTTTCAATATCTTGCCCTCTCTCTCCTTCTGGTACCCCTATAATTCTGATGTTGGTACGCTTGAAGTTGTCCCAGAGGTTCCTTACACTATCTTCATATTTTTGGAATCTCTTTTCTTTTTTCTTTTTCGGTTGGGTATTTTTTGTTTCTTTGTATTTCAAATCTTTGACTTGATTCTTGGGATCCTCTTGTCTGCTGCTGGATCTCTGTAAATTATTCTTTATTTCAGTCAGTGTATGCTTAATTTCTAGTTGGTCCTTTTTCATGTCCTCCATGGTCTCACTATACTTATTGAGGGATTCATTAAATTTATCGGCGGTTTCCATAAAATTCTTGAAAAACCTTATAAACGTGGCCTTGAACTCTATATCCAGTCGTTTGCTTTCCTCCATTTCTGCCATTTGTGACCTGTTTCTGTGTCTCCGCATTTTGGCAGCTTCCCTGTGTTGATAGAGTGGCCCTGCGTGCCAGGTGTCCTGTAGGGCCCAGTAACTCAGCCTCCCCAGTTACCTGGGGTGGACACTCTTGGTGCACTCTTGGTGCCTTGGTTGTTGTAGGATCACTGGGAGGAATTGACCTCCAGGCCAATTGGCTGTGAGAATCAGCTGTGTCTAAAGTGGGAGAACTTCTGTGCTGAAGACACCCTTCTGGGGCAAGACTTGCTTCAGTGGGGCTTTGGTGCTCAGTGAGTCTGCTCCCTGAGTGTGTCCCTTATGGATCTGAGGAGTTGCAATCTGGATGGTCCCCCTCTGACCACTGGGTACAGTGGCTTCTGGATCTAAGGAGGTGCTAATTCAGCCTCTGCCTGAGGCCACACAGCAGGAGCCACGAAGAGGCTCAGCTGTGAAGCAATGCAAGCCACTGGGGGGCCTTGGGCCTTCTCTTGGAAGTTCCGGGTCTGCCTGGCTCGGCTGCAGTTAGGTACATTCACATGCAAAAGCCTCTGCGGCAGCCTGGGTGGGGCGGGGTCTCAGGGAATCAAAGGGCGGATCAAGGAGCTATGGCTGATTCCCGGCCTGGAGTCGCGGGTCTCAGTGACCCGCTAATTGCTGCAAGCACCTCTGAGGGAAAGCCGCCTTCAAGTTCGCCCACTGCCGGACAGACCAGCTTCTCCCCGTATGAGTCCTGGGTCCCCAGAGACTTCCCAGAACCGGAGTTCAGAGCAGTCGGGAGCTTGTGATTCAAAAAGACAGCCGCGTCCTCAGGTGCCACCCCCTTTCCTCGCGCGAGCGCGCGCGCGAGCCGCCGTACCTCTGCACTTGTACCTCTGCACTTCACCTCTGCAGCTGCTCTGGCTCTCAGCGTGCTTTTCTTTCCTTCTAGTTGTAGAATTTACACTCAGCCAGCCTTCCTGTTGTTCTGGATGATGTTTGCTCTGTCCTTTGCGGTAATTTTCAATTGTTGTGAGAGGCGGCAATTTCCCGGTGTTTACCTATGCCGCCATCTTAGTTTCCAAACCGATCCAGGAATCTTAATTCTGGGTATTTATCCAAAGAAATGAAAACACTAACTCAAAAATATATGTACACCCCATAGTCATTGCAACATTATTTACAATAGCTAAGATATGGAAATAATCTAAGTGTCTATCAACAGATCAATGGATGAATGGATAAAGAAATTGTGTATGCCCCACCAGTGTGGCTCAGTGGTTGAAGGTCAACCCATGAACCCAGGAGGTCATGGTTCGATTTCCAGCCAGGGCGCATGCCCAGGTTGTAGGCTCCATTCCCCGAGGGGTCCCAGACTGTGAGAGGGCACAGGCCAGGCTGAGGGACCCCCCTTACCCCCCCGAGTGCACAAATTTTTGTGCACCAGGCCTCTAGTCCTATATAATAAAAGCCTAATATGCAAATTGTCCCCTTGACTGGGAGTTTGACTGGGAGTTCGACCAGGTGGCAGGGCTGACTAGCCAACCTCCTGCGTCCCCTCCCCCTGGCTGGCCCGGCCCGATCTGCCCTGATTTGGGGCAGGCTGGCTGGACCCCACCTGTGCACAAATTTGTGCACTGGGCCTGTAGATCAGCTATAAAAAAGAATAAAATCTTGCCATTTGTGGCAACATGGGTAGACCTCAAGGATATTATGCTAAATAAATAAGTCAGAAAGAGAAAGACAAATACCATATGGTTTCATATGTGAAATCTAAAAATAAAAAACTAAGCTTATAGATACAGAGAACAGAATAGCAGTTGCCAGAGGTGGGCTCAGGGGATGGGAGGTGGGAGAATGGGTGAAGAGAATCAACAACAACAAGCAGCAGATTAAAAACAAAGATTTAAAAAAAAAAAAAACAATCCCAGAGAGCTTCTTATAAAAAGAAAACAGATCCCTAGGGGCTACCAAGTTAGACCTTCTGAGTCAGATTCTCCAAGAGTGGGGCCTGGAACTCTTTAACAAACTCCCCAGGGGATTCTTATGAATAGCAGCCAGGTCCAATCTCTCTTCTTTTCCTGGGGAAACTGAGGCCCAAAAAAGCTTTGAGCCAGTCACCAGCTGAACCAAAATCAGAAATTAGATCTTTGGACCCACAGTTAGATGTTATTTCTACAAAAAGACCAGGAGCCTATAAGACCCAAAAGAATTGCACATCATTTTCTTTGTTTTAATTTTTTTTAAATCAAAGCACACAATTTAAAGGGTCAAATAAAGGTAGTTTTACAAGGTTTGTGTGAGAAAACACAGCTCCTTGTCCACACCCTGCCATCTCCCCCTCCCCACTTTCAACTCTTAGCTGGTTCTTTGGGTATTGAAGGAAGCCAGAATGTCACCCAAAATATGTTTCTTTGACATAAAAATGTTATTTCGAGCTGAAGGCAATTAAGAAGCAGCAAATGCAGGAAGAGCTTGTCTTCCCCTCTCTCTTTTCTGTCTAAAGGCAGGATATAAATTCTCCTTTTCTTGAGATTGATTCTTATCCTTCCGGAGATAGCGCAAGTGAGCCGTACTCCATTAGTTCCCTCCCATTATTTACCTTCCTAGTTTGTCATTTTTGGAAGCCTAAAGCTGATTTCTTGTTATCCCTATACAAATGTGTTCTTTGTTGATGCTACACAAGCCAGAGTTCTAAACCCCTGCTTTCAGCTACTTTTCACTGAGGGTTCTCCCACGTAATGTCTGCTGCATATATTAATAAACTGTTTTTCTCTAATTAATTGGTCCAGCTGAAAATCCAAGATGGGTGAAGTTTTGCCTCTCCTATAGCATTTGCTCCCACCCTTGGCATTGTTGCATTTTTACAACAAGCATGCATTGCTTTGTAGACTTGGATGGCCAGGTTTAGCACAGGTCTGGGATGCTGGGCATTGCAGAGTGCCCCGGTGGTCACTGGGCACAGGCCACCAGCTCCTCCAGGGCTTGCTCGCGGCGGTTGCCATGGACCAGCAGCACCTCCTTGATCCGGTCCTGCTGGAAGCCCATGTCGCTGAACTGTTCCCAGAGGCGCAGAAACTCCCCTGCCTGAGGAAGGGAAGGCAGAGAGGGCACTGAGGCTTAGCCTCTACTCTGGGGAGCCCCCTCCCTGGTGTCCTCTACTCCCAGAAGCTGTGGCCCTCACAGGCCAGGTAAACCTGATCCTGGGCCTCACCTGCATTTCCTTTGTGCCTGTGAGGTGACATGGGCCCAGGAAGGAGGCCCCGGCCTGGCCACTGGCTTGGTCCTGGCTTTCCTCCCCCATTCCGGCTCTCTCCTGACTACCTGTGCTTGGGGGCTGGGGCCGGAAGAGGAAAGTCAAACACTGGTGCCCAGAGGATGAGTAGCCCAGGGTCTCTGCCAGGCCCCAAACTCTGCCAAGGTTTCACATAGTACAGCTTTGGTCCCCCTTCCTCCTCTGGCACCAGCACTTTAAACATCCCTGCTTTTCTTCCTTCCTCCTCCTCTATTTCTCCCACCCTTCGGTCCCTTCATCAGCCTCTGTGAAGAGTTGCTCTCGAGCCTGAACCAGCTGCTGAGCATGGACAGGTCATTTTCATCAGGCACACAGAAGGTACTGCTGGGCCCACAGCTGCCTATATTCTGGATTCCAGATAGACGGCCAACTCCTTGAGCAGAGAGTTCCAGCATCTTTGTGCTGCCTGTGGCTCCTGTCTGTGTGTCTAACAAGGAGAGCGCATTCAAGAACACATGTGCTGATTCTGTTAAATAATACAAAAGCCTTGCCTCTGGTTTCCTCCCGTCATCCCCTCACCTTCTGTGCTTCATCTCCCTGGGCTGTCTGCTCCCCAGGGCTGAGCAAGCAGGCTCTCTCCCTGTGGCCCCCAGGCTGGCTCTGGCACCGCATGTCCCTGCACACCAGGCTCGTGTGTATGCCCCATCCCTTCTCTGCCTCGGGGCTCAGGCAGGTGGCCGGCTGACCTGGCTCTCAGAGAACTGGAACATCTCCATGGCCTCCTCCACCAGGCCCTCCTCGTAGCCCTGCCGCCGCAGCCGGTCACAGGCACTAAGGTAGCTGAGAAACTGGGTCAGAAAGGGGCAAAGAAGGAGGGGATAAGCTGAGTGGCTCAGTGGTTGAGCATCGACCTATGAATCAGAAGGTCACAGTTCGATTCCCGATCAGGGCACATGCCTGGGTTGCGGCCTTGATCCCCAGCAAAGGGCATGCAAGAGGCAGCTGTTCAATGATTCTCTCTCGTCATTGCTATTTCTATTTCTCCCTTCCTCTCTGAAATCAATGAAAACATGTTTTGTTTTGTTTTTAAAAGGGGAACGGCAGGGGCAGTGGATGGGGTAGAGGAGAAACCCCAAGGACCTCAGTAAGGCCTGAGCTCAGGCCAGCTGGCTAGGCATCCACCACACATGACATGGCCCCAGAAACCCCATGAACCAATAGAAGAGAAGCAGAGGCCACCTCTGGAGATCTGTGGATAGGTAGACAGCAACAATCCCCAACTAGGGGCTGGGATCCAGGAAAGGGGCTGTTAGGGTGAGCTAAGGTATTCCCAGAAGCTAAGTGGGGAGTGGGACAGGCCTGCAACACAGGGGTCTCTTCTCACTCACCACTCACCCCAGCCTACTCACCCTCCCTGGTGAGCACCTACCTGAATGAAGGTGCCATCCATACCTGTATACCCCCACCCCACCCCTAGACACATATATCTCTGCCACCCAGGACTTCATGAGCCCCCACTAAGCAACAGACCTGCATCCATGCTGGAATGGGGAAAGGACAGAGTGGACCTCACAGGGCTGAAGACCTGTTCTGGTCACTTCCTGCCTAGTCCTTGGGGGCTGCTTTGGCCCTCAGGATGAAGTGCTGCCTCCCAACCGGGGCTCAAAGGCCTGTTCCTGCCTGTCAGTCACCTCTGCTCCTCCCCCAGCCCCCTAGGTCCCTCAGCAAGGCCAGCCTCACTCCTCTTACCTGGGGATCCTCTCTGCCCCGTTTCTAAGGTGCCGTGCTTGGTGGCCCCACAGCACATACAACTTTGTAACTGTTCTACTGCCTTCCTCATCTTTCTCATCCACTGACTTTTTGCTCCATGAGGGAAGGGTTACGTCACCACTGTGTCCCGGCACCCAGCATGGCAGGCAGAAGGAGCTCAATAAGTACATGCTGTATTTATAAAGTGAATTAAGAACCACCTTCAAGGAGCTCACAGCTCAGTGGGGGAGATAAACCAGATACTGGAAATCATGAGGCCCAGACAAATCAAAACAGAATTTATAGGGAGTCAGTGCCAAATGAATTTAGTGCCAGGCCATAAGAATTGTGGGTATAAGCGGAGAAGAAAGAGGCTGGGTTTCTGCAGACCTTCAGAGCTAGGCAGGAAGCATGGACCATACACACTAATGGTTTCAGCTTCTGAATTGTCCAAGCACTTGCCCCAGGACACCTAGACCTTGCTCTGAGCACAACTGGAAAACCACCCAGCCAAGCCCTCCTTGCACACCCGAGGAAACGGAGGTCCAGGCAATGCAGGCAGCTTGCCCAGGGTCCCAGGACGAGGGCCCAGATCACCTATAATCTCCAGCTAATGCCTTGTCCATCGTGGGGCCACTACTAGAGGAGGAGCTTGAGCTTAAAAGTAGACAGTTTCTGAAGGTGAAAACTGGAGTGGGGGCAACGGCAGGTGGGAGCTCTCCCTCGCCTCTTAGCTCATCCACAGCAATGGATCTTGGCCTTAGTGTTGATTGCAGCTACCTGGGAGTTTTAAAACTACCCATAAACTTCCCGACCAGCATGGCTCAATGGTTGAGCGTCGACCTATGAACCAGGAGGCCATGGTTCGATTCCCGGTCAGGGCATATGCCCGGGTTGCGGGCTCAATTTCAAGTGGGGGGCATGCAGGAGGCAGCCAACCAATGATTCTCTCTCATCATTGATGTTTCTATCTCTCTCTCCCTCTCCCTTCCTCTCTAAAATCAATACAAATGTATTTTTAAAAAAACTACCCACAAACCATTGATCTTGCCTCCAGAGTCTCTGATCTGGGGGGTGTCGCCTGGGCACTGGGACTCCTATAGCTCTCCAGGGGATTCTAATAAGAAGTCAAGGTTGAGGACCACTTACTCAAGGGAGAGCTGTCCTCAGTCCATACTACAGGATCCCATGCCAGGCTGCATATCAGAACCATCTACAGGTGTTTGAAAATAACAGGCTCTGAGGGTACTCCAGACCCACTGATGGGGACCCTCCCGAGTAGGTCCTGGGAATCTGCATTTGTAAAGATTCTGCTGCTTGGTCAGTTTTGGGGCCTATGGGACTGTAAAAGCCACCAGGCCTACCTCAGACCCCAGGATGGTGCCCCCACAAGTCTATAAGCACATGCCCCCCCCCCCATTGTGTGAATAGGGAAAGTGAGACTCAAAGCGGTGCCCTGATGTGCCTGGAGTCATATGGCAAGTCTGGGCCCGGCCTATGGGCCCTCACATGTGCCACCCACGTGTCCTGTAGGCAGTCAGTGGGCACTTTGATCCTTGTGGAAGGAAGGAAGGAGCGATGGACAAAGCTTATCTTTTGTGTCTCCTTCATTCTCCCTGGCTCTTCGAGGTGAAGATCGCCTGATGTCCTCCCTCGTGAGCCGTCTCTGGCCATAACGGATGTACTGTAGTATATGTTTCAAGGGGAGAAGGAAACTGAGCCCAAAGGAGTTTCTTAGTTAATGGAGGAACTTCAGAGAATAGAGGAAAATACTAACTTCGTGGGGGAGGGTAGATGAAGTCATCCAATGGCCCTTCAGGCCCGCCCCTCGGGGCCTAGCCCCTGACTGCCCAGCGGGGAGGACGGCCACCCAGAGACCCGGCGGCCAGCCAGGTGGTCAGTCTATGTCTGGAAACACAATGTTCCTGATACAGTGGGATTCTTCCCGGCCACCTACAGGGAGGCCAGTGCCTCTGCTGGCTCCAACTAATCTTCAGATCTTCACAGCGACGGCCTGAGACCTCAGCCTTGTCACCAGTCCTAGAGACTAGGGTTGGGGGGGGGGGCATGCCAGGGCCCCCTCTGTGGACCTGGTCCCTCACAATCCTCTGGGTAGCTCCTTGGCCATGGTCCTGGCTTTCAGTGGCAGCTGAAGGTGGAGGCAACTTTAGATCTATTCTTAAATCTCAGATGAGCCTGGGGGGTGCTGCCCTGAAAGGTTCTCACACAGAAAATGAGAGAAAAGCATTGAACAACAAAGATTCAGAGCTAACCAGCCTGTGTGCCCATCTGCAAAGTGAGGATAGTAATAGCAACCTTGAAGAATTGAGAAGACCTAATTGTATACTCTCAGACTGAGGGACTGGCACAAAAAAGGTGTTTACTAAATATTAACACCCCTAATTCCTGATTGATGAAGGGATATAAAGGTCTGACCATCTCAGCCCCACTTAGGATGACTCTGAAGGGCCATATTTGCTCCAGAGCTGAGGGGATGGCTGACACTGTCGTTGGGTCTACACAGCTCAACCTCTCCATCTACCCACTTCTGCTTCTGTCCACTCCCTTCTCCAGGGGTTGATCCCAAGAGCCTCCTTAATTAACTCCATCTGAGTCAGATTCCTGGGGACTCCAACCTACAACAGTGGTTTTTATGTACCCTGGTTTCCCTCATACCTCCTAGCCACATCTAAACACCCAGGAAGTACCCAATAAATACTGTTGACTAGATGGATAGGTGGGTATGGGTAAACTGAACACAGTTCCTTCGTTGAGGGAAGTGGTTAGAGCTGCACCATCCAATAGTAGTCACATGTAACTATTTTAATTAATTACAATTACATAAAATTCTCAGTCACACTAGCCACATTTCAAGTAATAACGTATGGCTGGTGGATACTGTATTGGACAACAGGTACAAAACATCTCTCATTACAAAAAGTTCTATTGGGCAGCTGTAGAGATTCTTGGCTGCCCAAAGCTCCAGCCCTTGCATTTGGGGCACAAACCAGGAGAGGAGTAAAATATCAAGACTCCCCCAAGTGAGCATGGGGGTTCCTGCTAAACTTCTATGCAGACGGTAGCTTTAGGATCTGGAAACTTGCTCATACCCCCCAGTAATTAATGCCAGGCTGAGCTTCTGCCTCTGAAGAGAAAGAAACAAAATTTCTTCAAGTTAAAGGTAAAAACCACGTGGCCACCCATCTGGTTCCAGCTCCAGTCCCCCAACTCTGGAGGGTCACTCACCTGGCTCAGGCTCTGACGCCCCGTCTTCTGCAGAGCCACGATGGCCCTATGCAGGGGATACCCCAGGGCGACCACTGGCCCAATGAGGTCTTGCTCCTCTTGGCTAAGGGCGGACAGCAGGTCAGCAGAATCAGGTTGTGCTCTGTGGACGATGAGAGGCTGGGGCTCCCGCGCAAGAGGTGGCAGACAGGTGTATGGGCTGAGGGACTGAAATACAGACAAGTTGGATGCGTCATTTACCACTGGGAGCAACATCTGGTTGGGCAGGACATTTTTTTTTAATATATTTTATTGATTTTTTACAGAGAAGAAGAGAGAGGGATAGAGAATTAGAAACATCGATGAGAGAGATCAATCAGCTGCCTCCTGCACACCCCCCAGTGGGGCTGTGCCCGCAACGAAGGTACATGCCCTTGACCAGAATCGAACCTGGGACCCTTGAGTCCGCAGGCCGACACTCTATCCACTGAGCCAAACCGGTTCGGCATGGGCAGGACATTTTTAAAGATGCCTTTGCATGCCACCTTCTGTACAGAGTGTAGGGGCGAATGCTATGGAGAGCTTGGAGTCCTGCTCTGGTTCGAACCCCAGATCTCTCCTGTTTACTCCATTTACTCATGTGAAATGGAGGCAATCATACTAGATACCTTCAGGGTTGTTTCGAGGCTTAAATAAGACAATGTGAGAAAAGCATGTAGCAAAGGACCTGCATACATTTCACTTTCAGGCTAGAATAACCCTGCTCTTATTGTACCATTTTACAGATATTGAAATCAAGGTTCAGAGAGTTAACGACCTGGTAAGCAGCACACATTTGGGACCTGAACCTTATTCAGAATCAAACCCAGGTTCTTTACCCCACACTTTAGGGCAGTGGTTCTCAACCTGTGGGTGGCGACCCCTTTGGCGGTCAAACGACCCTTTCACAGGGGTCGCCTAAGACCATCCTGCATATCAGATATTTACATTACGATTCATAACAGTAGCAACATTACAGTTATGAAGTAGCAACTAAAATAATTTTATGGTTGGGTCACAACATGAGGAACTGTATTTAAAGGGCCAGAAGGTTGAGAACCACTGCTTTAGGTGGAACCTTCCCAGCCAGACTCTCATTCTTGAATTTGGCTGGGGTGAGACTTGGCAGGGCACAGAGAGGGGTACAGACCAGGTGCAGCTCTGGTGCTGGGCTAAGATGGGTGGCTTCAAGGCCTTTCAATTGGCCTGGCCAACATCACCCCCAAGCTTGCCCATGAAGAGGCACCTATCTGCCAGCCCTGAATACACTGCCTGTCCTCTCCTCCCCAAGCCCCACTGCCCTGGCTCCTGGGGTAGAGTGTGTGTGACATAGAAATTTCCCCTCCATCCCCATCTGCTCAGGGGGTTCTCTGCCATGACCTTACCCTTGGGTCTGCCCTTGAACCCCCACAGTGGAAAACATCAAAATCTTAGGATCTGAGTCTATTCTTGTGACCTTAAAAAAGATTCTTAGCTGCTGTCTGCCCCAGTTTCCTTCTCTACAGAACATGCCACACACACACACACACACACACACACACACACACAGGATTGTTGCTAGAGTTATTTTAATCTGGATCAGGGAAGAGCCATCCTGGCATTAACATCTGGCCCTTGATGTGGGCACGGCCAGTCTAGCTCACAGAGCCTCTTCTCTCTGTTTGCTCCCAATGACGGTGAGAAGGGTTGCTGGCCCTCTTTACAAGGTGGAGAGGGGATGGCTCAGAGCACTTCAGCGACTTGCATAAGATCACACACCAGTGAGTGGAAAAGCCAGGCCTCGAGTCTCTTGTGGATGTAATTTCATGTTGGCCTTATTCTTTTGTACCTACCGGCTTGACTGGGGCTGCTGAGCGGACAGAAAGCTGTGCCCTATTGCTACCTCCGGCTACTAATCCTGACCCACCCCGTCTACTCAGGATCCAGCTTGTGTGGAATTTGGTGCTTATACAATTTGGACCTCTTAAATTAAAAAAGACAGAATTATACATATAAAATTAGGCATAAAGCTTTGGAAAGAGCTAAGTCAGAGCCTGAGGCTTAGCTTCATTGGTCTCATGGTAAATTCACTTGTGCTTCCCATTCTGCTGGTACAGCCTTCTGCCCCCGGCTTTCCCAGCCTGTAACACCCTCACCTCTCTCTCTCAACACCCAATCCCACCCCTACACAGGGCTGCCTTGTCTACACACCCCCTTGGGCAATTGTCCAGTGGTTTTGACTTTGTCTCTTCCAACCCAGTGTCTGGCAGGAATTTACAGGCAGTGACTATTCCCTGACTGAGCGCCCAGCTCACCGAGTCTTCAGCAAGCCTTGCCCAGCGAGCCCTGGATTTGAGTCACATTCATTGAGCACCCCCTAGGGGCCCAGTCTGCTGCTGGGTGCTCTGGAAACACAAATGAATGCGATCCACCCCCTGCCCTAAAAGAACATGAGCGCATGTTCCACGGGAAGAGAGACAGGCACTGGATAAGCACCATTATGTGGCCTGAGCCCTAGCAGAGGCAGAGCAGGCACAGTGCGAGACAGAGGGAATGGGAGCCCTCTGAGCAGGGACCATTGTAGGCAGAGGCTGCAGGAAGAGCCGCAGGCAAGGCTAGGGAGGAGGAGCACAGAGAGGAGGGGCCATAGCTATGGACCTGGCTGGGGACCAGACTATGGGGGGCCTTGCTGCTGACGTTGGCAGAGCCGGCAAGTTCCTTACTGCGACTGTGGGCTTGTGGCTCCGCAGCGGGGGCACGGCACCGGCCGTGGAGGGCCGCGGGGGCGGGGCGGGCACACAGGGGCCCGGGGGCGCGGGCGCGGGGCTCGGGGGCGGCTCGGGGCTGGGACAGAGGCTCCACGCCCGGTGGCGGATGCGCTGCAGAAAGGCGCGTGGACGGGCGGCCGTCCTGCCCTCGGAGAGCCTGCGCCGCACACCGGCCAGCTCGGACCTCACGCCTCGCAGCACATGCAGCGAGCACCGGTGACGGCCCGGGCTGGGGCTCGCGGGAGCGCTGGGCTGGGGGCTGCGAGGACCCGGCTTTTCCTCATTGCCAGGGGTGGCTTCCTCCTCCTCCTCCTCCTCTTCCTCCTCTTCCTCGGGCTGCTCTTGGGGTCCAGCCTCGGGGCCTGCGGCTGCAGCCGGCGCGGACGCCAGCCCGCATTCCGGGCCGACCAGCAAGAGCCAGGCTGGAGGGGCTGACGCCGTCCCGGGAGCATCGCACTGGAACTGGCGGGCGCCCCGGGTGACAGCCTCCACCCAGAAGAGCGTCCTCCTCTCCAGGCTGAAGTCGTGCTGCTGAGAGAAGGCTACGTGAGGCGGGGCTCGGCAAACCAGGGCTCGCGGGCGCACCACCGCCCCTGGGCTCCCCGGACCCTGTTCAGCCAGAGACTTGCCAGACCGGCACAGCCTCCCATTCTGAGCCCAGGCAGCCAGCACAGTCCACCCGCACCCTGCGCTTTAGCTAGCACTGGGGTAGGTGGATAGCAACAATGTAAAGGTAAACTCCGCATGAAGGACAAATGCAGTGAAACCTAATATCTACGTCCCTTTGCCATTTGGGATGCTATTGAACTGTAATACAGCTTAAGAACTTGCTCAAGGCGCCTTGAGCCCAGCACCGTTTGCCAGGAGGCAGTCAGCCTTGGCAGCCCGCCAGGCCCAGAGCCTCCCTGTGGGGTGATGTCTGCCCCATCCTCCTGGCTGCCATCTGAGGTTGCTTGGGACCCAGGCAATATAAAACGTGCTAAGCTTTGTTGAGCCCTATGTAGTAGGTTTAGTGTTATTCCTCTTTCCAGATTATGAAAATGAGGCTCAGCAAGTTTAATTTGCTGGAGGTCAGCTTGGAGGTGAGTGGCTGAGCTGGGATTTTTCTGTCCATCTGACTGTAGGGCTTTATACACTATATATAAGGCCACCTAAGAAAGCAGTCTGGAGCCCACATAAATAACCTAACTTGAGAGTTTATAAATGAGGCAAAAATAAAACATTCCTGTCACATACCTTTAAAATTAAGAACCAGGAATATAACATGGCATTAAAAATATTAAAAAAAATTTTTTTTAAATATATTTTATTGATTTTTTACAGAGAGGAAGGGAGAGAGATAGAGAGTTAGAAACATCGATGAGAGAGAAACATCGATCAGCCGCCTCCTGCACATCTCCCACTGGGGATGTGCCCACAACCCAGGCACATGCCCCCGACCGGAATCGAACCCGGGACCCTTCAGTCCACAAGCCGACGCTCTATCCACTGAGCCAAACCGGTTTTGGCTAAAAAAAAAAAATTTTAAGGGCAATTTCAATGCTCTATGTTGGTCATTTAAGGAAAAGAGAGGCTAGGGGAGTGTTGTGTGTGAGGGAAAGGGGAGACAGAAAGACAGACAGACACAGACACAGGCACTGTTCCCTCCCACTTCTGACATGACCCTGCACTGGGGAGAGGAGCATAATTTAGCTGGTCCAGTGTGGCTCTCTGAGGTCAAGGACTGTGGCTTGCTTACTCCTCTCTGTATCCTCAGAGCTAGGGCAAGCCTGGCACGGAGTGGACATTTGTAAAGGTGTGCAGAAGACATGGTTCGAGAAAGAGATTGGAGCAAAATAGATGAGTTGTGAAAAACATAAGATGAAAAAGACAACTTCAGAACTGATGAGACAGACTTGTAAAGAGAGAGACTAAATTAAAGAGACAGCCAGCAGGACTTCAGGGATAAAATGATACAAAGACCCAATAAAAATACCAACACTTGTGATTTCTGGAACTAAGCAAGATGATTCTAAAGTTCACATGAAAAATACACAAATAAGAATAGTCAGAAAAACTCTGGGGACAAAAAAAAAGTAGGACTGGCCCTACAGCTGTTTTATGGTATTATAAAACATCAATAATTAAAACTATGGCACTGGCACAGATAGATTAAAGGTAGAGAATGGAAAGTCCAGAAATAGACCTTAATATTTATAGGGTTTTAGTAAATAATAAGATAACATCTCAGGTAATGGGGAAAAGAGGACCTAATCAATAAATGGTGTTAGCTATCTGGAAGAAAATAAAATTAGATCCATTCTCACATTATATACAAAAAGAGAAATTCAAAAAAGATCAAAAATTCAAATGTGTGATATGAAACCATAAAAGTACTAGAAGAAAATAATACAGAAATTCTTCATGACATCAAGGGGGAAAGCCTTGCTTACTCAGAATCAAAATCCAGAAGCCATAAAAGTACACACAGGCACATGTCCAAAATCTGCATGGCCAATGTCATGAGAAAGGTCAAAGACAGGTGACAAACTAAGGGGGGGGGGGGGAAATAGCACTCACACAGAGATAAAGGGCTAACTTTACTAATATAGGGAGTGCCTAAAAATAGACAAGAAAAAGACTCACAGCCCAACAGGTAAGTGGACAAAAGATAATATGAACAGTCCACAGAAAAGGAAATACAGACCTCTATTAAACATGGAAAAAGCTGCTCAACCTCACTTGTAATTAGAGAAAGTAAATAAGCAAAATAACACTATACTGAAATACATTTGCCTGTCCCTTGGCAAAGACCCAAAGTCTGATGACACTCTGTTGGGAGTATGGGAGGCACAGGCCTCTTGTACCTCTTGTAGTGTGCTGTCGGGATATATATCAGTATAATCCCTACAGGAACAATTTGGTAATGTACTTAAACAAATTCAAAAGGATGTTTGTATATACTCATTTCCTGCAGCATTGTTTGTAATGGTAAAGACTGGGAAGAACCTGCCTGGGCCGGTTTAGCTTAGCTGGTTGGACCGTCAAAAGGTGGTGGGTCTAATTCCCAGTCAGAGCACATATCCAGGTTGTGGGTTCTAACCCTGATCTGAGCCAATCAATGTTTCTCTCTCACATCGATGTGTTTATCGATGTGTTTTTTCCTCTCCCTCTCTTTCTCTCTCCACCCACCTCTCTCCCTTCCTCTCTCTCTAAAAAAAAAATCAATTAAAAAAGCACTAGGAAGAACCTAAGTGTCTATCAAGAGGGACTCGGTCAATAAAGTGTGATGTGTCCGTACAGTGCAATACTTCAGTGAAAAACAAAACTGAAGAAGCTTTCTAGGTACAGATATGGAAGATCTCAAAATACATTAAGTGAAGAAAGCAAGAAGAACAGTGCATATAAAATGCTACCTTTGGTGTAAAGAGGGGGAAACATCTGTATTTGCTGGTATATACACACATAAGAGTCTCTAGAAGAATATATAAAAAACGAGTAACAGAGGTCATCAGTGATGGGGTGGAGGTGGGGAACAGGGCAGGTGGGAAGGCACACTGCTTGGGGGCCAAACTGACCCCATCACCTTGATTTTGTAACTGAAGTGTTACTGAAACAGAGCCATGCCCATCCTCTCCTTCCCCTAAAGCTCTGGCAATTATACTATGAAACAACAAAACAGACTGGAAGAGGCTTTAAGCACGTAAGGAAGGGCTCCTTGGGAAGGAGCAGGGGGAAGGGGGGCATGGGCTTTGGGGGGTGACAGGCTCCTGTTGGGATCCTGGCTGTGCCACTCACAGGCCCTGGGACCCTGCGGATCACTCGGGGGGAGCTTTGACTTCCTGTGCCGCGGGGGAGGAACACCAGCTGAAAGGGTCATAAAACTGAGAGAGAAGAGTGAACGTGTAAAGAGCACCTCACGTGGGCCTGGGGCACAGCAGGTAAACATTGATCGGCTCAATAAGGGGGAGCTGTTATTACTTTTCCCGTTAGGGCACGACAGGTAATCTAACCACCATGTATAACATCATCCTTATGGGAAAATGCATTTTAAGTTCTTAACACTGGGAATACAGCCCAGTGAACTCGGAGGACTGATCAGGGAGAGGCTGTAAATCATTCTTGGAGTCTCAGGCTTCTCTATTTGTTAGTTTGGCCCAACAGTTAATGAAATGGGAGTTCAGGAAGGGAAATAGGCTTAAGGGACTGCAGGTGCCCACCCTGAAAGCAGGAGGCAAAGCCAAGTCAGCATTTGGCTAAGCCACTGGACGTGGGCTTGGCAGAAGGGTGCCTGTTTCTGCTACCAGGAAAAAAATAGCCTCTTCCCAGCTAGACTTGAGCTCAGCAGGAAAGGAAAAGCTGTGATAATCCATCTCCACTGGAGCTCAGTAAAGCGAATTCCTCTTCCCAACAACACAAGCTCTCCTGCCAGAGTGAGCGCCCACAACACGGGCTGTGGGGAGCGCAAGAGCGCCTGCCTCACAGCGAGTGCTCTGGGCTTCACAGAGCTCATTTCAACTCTGGAAACATCTGTCCTGAGGAGCCTCAGTGCAACTCCGGGGTCTGCAGATGGAGCAAAACTGCACCATGCCTCCTGCTCCTGTGTCCCAGGCCACTCGAGCCCCTCTCCCCGACTCTCCCCAGGCCTCTCCTTTCTGGATTGTGCTCTCTGCTGACTTCCTGCAACCCTTTGCCTTCAAACATCCCCTGTCCAGTGTCTCTCATGTTCCAGTCCTGCTCTTAGCGAATAAAAAATGATCTGGAGTCAGGACCTGGGTTTTAGTCTGGCCACTAACTTTGCACAGATCATTTCCTTTTTCTGGGTTTCAGGTTCCTCAAAATGAGTAAGAGCTGATCTAGATCCTCAAACTTTTCCACGAAGCACCCTGCAGACAGTGGAGAATGAGCACGCACGAGTCTGAACACTCGGTTCTAAGAGGCCCAATGCCAGCTCCACAGTTCTTTGCAATCTTATTCTTTCATTTTTATTTATCATTATTATTTTTTTAATATATTTTTATTGATTTTACAGAGAGGAAGGGTGAGGGATAGAGAGTTGGAAACATCGATGAGAGAGAAACATCAAACAGCTGCCTCCTGCATGACCCCTACTGGGGATCAAGCCCACAAACAAGATACGTGCCCTTGGCCGGAATTGAACCTGGGACCCTTCACGTCCACAGGCCGATGCTCTATCCACTGAGCAAAACTGGTTAGGGCTTATTCTTTCATTTTTAAAGAATTCATGCGAATTTTGCATGCTACCCCATGATACATCTGTGTTCTAATGTGAATGCAATAGGTTCCCCCTAATTCTTTAAGTAAACTTGATTTTTCTGGAAGTTAAATAATCATGTTTATCCTGAGGCCACATGTGATATGACCACACACACTGGGAGCCATGGGGCAAGGGGTGCTTTAAGAGTGCCTCTGGGCAGACATGGGGAATAGTATTCCTTTCTAATGTGCCCCAGGTGGCATTTTAACAGAGGATTCTGGATCTAGTGTCTTAACCCTAAGCAGTGATTCTAAGGGAATTTTAGATACAGCAGCAGAGAGGAACTGGAACATCGGTGCCACGATCTTCAGTCACTGTATGTAGGTGACCTTCCGGTTATCCTAAGGCTAAAATAAGACCAGTCAATAATCCTCATCACCAGGCAGCCAGCCTTCCTCATGAAACACCGTTCCCTCTTAGGTTCTTCCAAACTCCCTGAAATATACCAGAGCAGGCCTAGCTGCCCTTTAAAATCAAGGAGCAAGGTTCCATGAGGCTCAGCATTCGGGCCCACAGATCCAGGGAGTAGGAGATACATAGACAGACAGACAGAGAAATACACTTACCATAGAACCCAGCAGAAGCTCCCTGCAGGCTGGGACACTGAGTTCTGGCCCAGGGAGAAGCTCTGTGCCGGTCAGAAAGCCCTTGGGCACCTTGAAAGGGACACCGTCAAGGGCACTCATTCTGTCAGAGGAGAGTGGGGATGGCTGAGGCAGGCTGCCGGTGGCAGTGGGAGAGTGTAGTCCTGAGGACCAGGCTCAGGCCTCAGATGGCCTCAGTGCTCTCCTGTGTGGTGACTTAGCTGAGTCCACACAGCCAAGAAGGAAAGGTAATGTGGCCAGTGCTGCATAAGGGAGGAAATGGATAAAAACAAGACCATTCAAACTGACAGGGATTGACTATTTCATGTTTAAGTCTTACACTAGGGCATTGTTTACCAAAACAAGGTCTAGAACTCTAGTTCTAAAGTCTTGCATCAAAAGAGTTTTCACCCCCCAAAAAGTGTATAGTTCTTGTAAACCTAATAAATATCAAAATCAGTGGATTAAAGTGAACAAGAAAGAGTTTTCACTCAAACGTTTAAGGAAGAAATATCAAATTACAAAAACTCTTCCAAAAAAAGAAAAGAAGGAATACTTCCTAACTCATTTGGCATCACCTTGATACCAAGCTTGACAAGAAAATTAGATGCTGATCTCTCATGAACATAAATGAAAAAAATCTTAACAAAAATAATTATCGATAAAAAAATACTGCCAAGTTGAGTTTATTTCAGGAATGAGAGATTGGCTTAACATTCCAAAATCAATCAATGGGAGTAAAGATAAACACCAATAGAATAAAAATTAAAAATTATATAATTATTTCTCTCCATAGATACAGAAAAATTACTTGATAAAATTAATATATTTTCATTATTTTAAGAACAAAAAACCCTTTTAGCAACTTAGGAATAGAAAAGAATTTCCTTAACCTAATAAAAATAGCTCCAAAATATCTAAAGCAAACAATCCACTTAATGGTAAATACTGAAAGATATCCTCAAGATTGGAAATGATGAGACAAGGATGTCCCCATCATCTCTTCTGTTCAACATTACACTGAAGTACTAGCCTGATAAAAAGAGAAGGGAAACAAATTAAAGTATGAGGATTGGAAAGAAAGAAAACCACCATTATTTATAGATGACATAATTATATTTAGAAAATCCAAAAGAATTTATGAGGGTTATTGGATATATGATCAATATATAAGAATCAATTATATCTCTATATACAAAAAACAAACCATATGCTATATTTTAAAAATTTTAATCTCTAATGAAATTAAAAGATACCATTAATATTAGCATCAACTACCTAGGACTCAGTATAACACAAAATGTATAAGACCTCTACACAGAAAACTGTAAAATATTAGAATAAATGGAGGAACATACCACGACCATGATTGTAAGACTCGATATTGTAAAGATATCAGTTCTCCCTGAATTAATTTACAGATCCCACATATCAAAATTCCATCACACTTTTTGGTGTAAATTGGCAAACTAATTCTAAAATTTAAATGAAATGTAGAGGGCCAAGAAAAGTCAAGACAAACTTGAAGAAGAAGCAACACAGTTGGAAGATATATACTTTTTGATATCAATCAAGACTTACTTTAAAGTTACAGGAATTAAGAGAGTGTTGTACTAACATGAGGGCGTATGAAGGGACCAACAGAACATAAAAGAAAATCCAGAGACATGTCCACACATATATAGATAGATCTTTGATATATGACCCTGCAGAGCAGTAGGAAAATGAAGGTATTTTTATTTATTTATTTAATCATCACCGAAGGGTATTTTTTTCCATTGATTTTTTTAGAGAGTGGAAGGGAGAGGGAGAAACAGAGAGAAACACCGATGTGAGAGAGACACATCAATTGGTTGCCTCTGGCATGCCCCCGACCAGGGCCAGGTGGCTCCCGAGGTACGTGCCCTTGACCGGAATCGAACCCAGGACCCTTCAGTTTGCAGGCTGACACTCTATGCACTAAGTCAAACCAGCTAGGGCTAAAAGTATTTTTAATAAATGGTTGTGGGTCAATTGGATGGCCACCTAGAAAAAAAATCTTGACCTTATATCATACACAAAAATCAATTCTACATAGACTATAGACCTAAATGTAAAAGGTAAAAAGGTAAAGCTTGAAGATAAATTGGAGAATATACTCATGGCCTTAGAATAGGCAAAAGTTTTATAAACAGATTACAAAAAGGACTAACCATAAAGGAAAATATTGATAAATTGGGTTACATTAAAGTTAAGAACTTCTGCCTTAGCCAGTTTGGCTCAGTGGATAGATCTTTGGCCTGTGGACTGAAGGGTCCGGGTTCAATTCTGGTCAAGGGCATATGCCTGGGTTGTGGGCTCAATCCCCAGTCGGGGGCATGCAGGAGGCAGCCAATCAATGATTCTCTCATCATTGATGTTTCTACCTCTCTATCCCTCTCCCTTCCTCTCTGAAATCAATAAAAATATATTTTAAAAAAAGATTTAAAAAAATAAAGTTAAGAACTTCTATTCATCAGAATATACCATTAAGAGAATTTTTAAAAATCAGAATGGGAGAAGATATTTGCAGTGCATGTATCTGACAAAGGATTCATATTCAGTATATACCAACAATTTCTATAAATCAATAAGAAAAAGAGCCAATACAAAAATAGGAAAGAAAGTTTCATAGGCACTTCACAAAAGAGACTAGCCAATAGCCAATAAACATATAAGTTAACTTCATTAGCCATCAGGGAAATGAAAAATAAAGCAATGAGGTATCACCATACAGTTAAAATTTTAAAAGCCTGATAATAGCAACTGTTGAGCACGTGGAAATATCTGGAACTCTTGTGCACTGTTGGTGAGAAAGTCAATGAGTGTTTGTCAACAGTATCTACTAATGCTGAAATCTAAGAATTAAAAAAGCATCGACACATAGCATCTGGGCCTTTTGTCTAAGAACAAGTGTAGGATCTGTTAGTTTAATAATCACAATAGCCATGGATTTAATTTTTGTATTTTAAACATTAAATAAAGATTCTGTCACCTTAAAACACAAATCAGCACTCATTCACAGGAATTCAAGCTCATGACTGCCTATAATATGTAATCCAGACTCCTGACTGCAGTCTGGCATTTTGCAAACAATCAGGGTTTACCTAGGAGTATCTTTGGTTTAATACAATCTGTCCTCCCTACCAGGATGGTGCAAAGCCCGTGGAATTGATTTTTGTGTATGATGTAATGTAAGGTCACTGGGGTCATCCCCATGCCCACATGAGAGCATCATGTAAAGATGTAGAGTCGGTAATCTGAGTATAGAGAGGTCAAATGAGACTAGATGGGCAAATCCCTTAATCCCCTCATCTCCACGGTAAGCTCACTCTTGTCAGTATCTTACTTTTGTAAGACTCAGAAGACTGTCTCCCAGCACACTGGAGTGACTCTCTGCTACAGGATCAGACAGGTCCCAGTGTGATCAGTAAATTATATGCCCCAACACCCTGTTCTTACAGGGGACTGTGAGGTACAGGGCATTGCAGGAAACACAGGAAAGTTAGCAAATGTTGGCATTCTCAGGTTTATCATTCACATTTTCAGCTATCATTAGAATTTTGAGCCATGGGGAAGAACCTCAATTTTATTGACACCCAAGTGGGAACTGCCACAGGTCCAATGGGCAGATACAGGGCCACCCTCTTCCTCCCTTACCTCTGGCCCAGCATCTGTATCAACAGGTATTCTCTATTCAGTTCTGTATTTGCTTCTGGAGTAATTGAAGAATTTGAGAATTCTACAAATACATCTCTTAAGAATAGCAAGGGCTATAGTGATCTAGTTAGAACATATTCTAAAGTGACGGTCACCTCTGCTAAGTACAAAATGAAAAGTATAGACTATTAAGTGATGATATTCTTCAGAGGAAAGTGAGTATTCTAGTCCTTTCAGGCTGGGGAAGCTTCAGGAAAGATGGGACTTGACCTGGACCCTGGAGGGTGGGGGGACAGTCTATGAGCAGGGTAAAGGTGGGGTGGGGAGTGTAACTCCAGGGAGGGGACAACGTGAGCCAGGGAGCAGAGGCAGGGCAGAGTGAGGGGGGACAAGCAGCTTGACTGAAGTAGATAGTGTTTGCTGGGAAGCAGTCGCAGTAAGATTGAAAGGGAGATTGGGGTGGAGCTGGGCGGGCCCTGAACTTTAGGCTGAGAGCTGACTCCATTCAGTAGACAGTGGAGAAAGCTCTGAAGGGGCCTAAAGGGGTGCGGTGAGGGTGGGGAGTGGGACGTTAGGAATGCCAGTCTGTGATGCTTCAGCAAACAGCATTCTACACCATCTCTCCAATGGTCTGTGTCCATTTGGCTGTGACTGAGCTTGAGGGCAAGGGGCAGGGTGGGTGGGGGTTATAGTAATCAGTCTACAGGGAGCCCAGGCAATGACATTAGTATTATGTTTAAAGGTCTCCATTATACTCCCTAAATGACTTTATCCTTGCCCATAATGTCAATAATCTATGTGCCAATGACTCACACGTGAAATTCTTCCGTTCTCTTCTGAGATGAAACTCAAAAGCACAACTGCCTACAAGGCATCTCCTCCAAGATGTCTTCAGGGTGCCTCAAACCCAACATATCCAAAGTGAACTCCTGATTTTCCCTCCCCCAAACTGCTCTTCCTCCCCCAGTTCTCTCTCACTTGGACCATTAGTGTCCATGTATCCTCTTATGCCCTATTATTGTAATTGTGTTCCATACACTGGACAAAAGTGATCACTTCAAAGCAGCAAACTAAGCCATTTTTAAAAGCTTCCAACAATTTCCACTGCTCTCAGAATCAAACTCAAACCCCCAACAAGGGCTTCCAAAGCCATGCAGAGCCTGGCCCCTCCCCGCTCACCTCTAGCTATGTTGACCTTCAGTCTCTTTAGTCTCGTGGTCTAGCACAGGGCTCTTGCATAGGCTATTCCAGACACTTGCTATGTTCTTCCTTGTTTCTACCCAACTAGTTAATAGCTGTTCATTTTTCAGAGCTCAGTTGAAACATTATTCTTCAAAAAAGCTTTCCCTTACCCCCAAACTTGGATACGTTCACCTAGTATGGTGGCTTTCAACTTTTTTTTTTTTTAACTGTGACCCACAGGATAAAATATATTTGACTTTGTGACATAGCATACACATATGTAAACTGAATGAAATTTCTTACCCTTATTATATGATATAGATATTTTATTTCATCTAAATGCATTACAGAACACTAAGTTTGAGAAGAAAAAAAAAAGGCCTAATCTTATAGAACCATATCTGTCCTTCAAAGCACTCAGCACATTTTTTATGATTATTGGATTATGTCTATCTCCCTCAAAAGGTGTGTTAGGGTGTATTTGGTATTTTGCCTATTGCGATAGCCATTGTATTTGACAAATTATCTGAGCCTCAGTCACTTAGTAAATATTTGAATAATGAAAAATATAAATTGGTGATTAAGCACTTTTAGCACTTATTATAATTGCAACTGACTCTAATTATCTGAACAGTCATTAGGCTTCTCTGCTCTAACTCCAGGATGGCAGGAATCCTGTTTGCTCCTTTTTATGTTTGTAGCACTTAACATCATACCTGGAAAATGGTAAATCAAAATAATTTCCCAAGTATATGGTTCAAATCCAGGTACCTAGATTCTGTCAAGCACGAGTTAATAAAGTTGAGAAGTGTCTCTTGTTCTATATAGTTAAGCACTTCAACACCAATCACCTCAAAAACTTCAATCTTTGCTTCAGAGACTATAAGAAATGCAGCTTATTCCAAAAGTAAACAGTTAATTATTCAGAAATAGCTTACTGGTTACAAGCATTAAAAAAAAGATTAAGATGGAAATGCCTCATATAATCTCTAGCCCTTACTATATACCACTGCTAATACTTTACAGCATTCACATTCCTGCTATATAATATACTTGTTTGAATGGAACAAGACATGCTTTGTACTTACCTTGTTAATTCCCAGGATAGCTTCCCTGTGGCAAAACTCATAGAAGTGAGTGAATTGCTACAACAGATGGTATAATCCCAGCTAATCTGCTTGATATATCCTTGCACAAAAGTCACGTGGACAAGAAACATGAATGGTTTTAGATTAAGTTGGTTGGCTTATACCAAAGTCTTTGACGTCATAAACTCAGCCACTGGGAGGAATACTCTTAGTGTTAATGTATAAATAACCTCTTTATTTAATTTTCTCTTCTTCCCTGTATTTACTTAATTTCTTAAAAATAAATTATTTTGTTAAAACTTCTCACAAGTCCAGGGTCGTCTCTACTGGGAAGATAAACAATATTCTTGCATATAAGACATGATGAATCAATACATTTATGGTTAGTCTTTGAGTAAGCTTCTCTATTTTCATTAATTTTTGTTCAATACATAGAGCATTTATGTGTAGGTGTTAAAAATGCATGATTTAGAAGAGGGCTGGAGACTCAACAGAACTGTAGTTCTTAGTTCTAACAGAAAAAAAATAACTGACTAGCAATGGTCAGCAATAACAATGAGCCCCCTATAATGCAGGTTGTGGCCTGTAAATGCCTTCTCCACTGAAGATTGCAGTCATTTCTTCCACTGGGGTAGGAAATGTGAAAAATAAATTTGGAGCAGAATACTGGGATCGAATGGGAATTAAGGAGCTGAGTTAAAGAGACTCCCATTGGCTCAATAAAGAAAACAATAAAATGAGTTGAAAGATAAATATGTTTAGATCGGAGTTCATAATGAAACTTGAACACAAAATTCACTAGTCATGCTTGGACAAGGCTAGGAAACCACTATTTTGAAAACTAGTAAATCAAGGAAATTACATATTTATCTCTTGTCTTTCCTATGCAAATTGTACCTGAGGATAACAAAATAGTTGGTGAGGGGATATTTCTCCTTTTAGAAGTATTCCAGCTAATAAAGAAAGAATGGCAGAATTAAACTATTTGGCAACCCCAAATGCAACTTGATTATCAATGACTGCTCAGGCTCCAAAAAGAGACAACCAGACATCAGTCCTCCTAAATTACACACCAGGTCTATGAAATAGTCTTACCAAAATATTCCAATCTAAGTGTGGTCAAGTCTCTAGATCAGCACTGTCCAATAGAAATGTGAGCCAAATATGTAATTGTACATCTCAATTCAAACCCAATTTCAATTCAAACTCTCAATTTCTAGTGCCCAATAGCCATACACGGCTACCATATCAGACAGTACAGCTCTAACCACTAAATTATAAGAAATACAGAACAGAGGAACATGCTATCCCAAGGATGCGATTAGCAAAATCCAGAGTGGGAACTTCAAGGAAAAAAGGACCTTTTTCAAGCAAAACATTACAAGGGAGAGAAAGAGTGCAAAGTGCATGGGAGTAAGTCTCTTAAGATCATCAGAAACTTAACAGACATATCACCCAACAATGCATAGACTGCATCTGCATCTTGATTTGAACAGTGTAAAACACACATTTGTGAGATAAGGAAATTTGAACACTGATTTTTTTTTTCTATTGAGCTATTCGTTTTGTTAGGTGTGATAGGGCACTGTGGTTACATTTTAAAAACATCTTTTAGAGCTATATACTGAAAAATGTATAAAGTACTAGGATATCTGGGATTTGCTTCAAAATAACCCAGAGTGAGTGGTGGGGTACAGATGAAACAGGCTCGTCGAAGAGTTGACAATTATTTGAAGCTGGATGATGGATATATGGGGAAAAAATTATATTATCTTTACTTTTGACATGTTTGAAATTTTGCACAATAATTTATTATTAATTTTAGATAGGGAGAGAGAAATATCAATGTGAGAGAGATACACTGATTGGTTGCCTGTGTACACACCCTGCCAGGGATTGAACCTGCAAGCTAGGTATGTGCCCTGTTAACTCTGTAATGCACATTACATCAAACTGGTGACCTTCCGGCGGACGACACTCCAACCCAGTCACACCAGCCAGGACTGCACAATTTTTAAAAAAAATATATTTTATTGATTTTTTACAGAGAGGAAGGGAGAGGGATAGAGTTAGAAACATCGATGAGAGAGAAACATCGATCAGCTATCTCCTGCACACCTCCTACTGGGGATGTGCCTGCAACCAAGGTACACGCCCTTGACCGGAATCGAACCTGGGACCCTTCAGTTCGCAGGCTGACGCTCTATCCACTGAGCCAAACCGGTTAGGGCTGCACAATTTTTTAATAAAAGACTGTGGGATAAGATTACAATGGCACTGTCCATACCTCAGAAGAATCATTCGTTAAAGATACCACTATAAGTCTTTCTTTCAAAGCCCATAAAGTACCAGTGCCTGCAGCCACCACCACTGAAGGCAACAAACCAAGAAAAACTTACAAAACAAAAACCAGACAAAGAAAACACTCGCTTTATTAAAACACTGAAGTTGCCAGAGGAAAGAGGGAATGGTTTTTCCCACCTGGCATTAAACACCTTTTCCTTGGGTTGTGCTGCCTGAGTTTTCCTGAGTCCCTGCTTTACCCTCCCTGACCCATCAATGCAGATGTCTTAGTGGTAAGGCTATCTGGACACCAAACATACAACGTACTGTACCAGTCCTCTTCTATTTCTATGTCCCTGCACCTCATCAGAGAGCAAATGGTGGAGATTTATCCCAAAAGGGCACGCAAGCCTATGGGGTCAAGTGACGATAATCACATCAGATGTCAGATTATGAGCTTAGACACACTTTGGAGGAGTGCTGGCTCATATACTGTTAACTCTGTAATGCACAATGCATAAATTTAACAGTGCAAATTAAACAACGGAAAAGGACAAAGGTTTTAGCATCTTGCACCCAACAGCTTCTGATGATATGAAGTCATTTCTAAGGTTGATGGCGTCCTTTCCTGACTACCCAGAGTTGATTCCACAGAGTTCGGTGGTGTAGATTCACTCTCCTCTAACAAGTGCCTATTTAATGAACTTGAATTTTAGAGTGAAAATGTCTTATTGGTGTGAAAGTGTGTGCAGTGATTTGGGAGGCAACAAATTAAGAGCAAAGGCTCAAACTAAAAAATAAAAATATTTATTTAGGTTTTTGGAAATATAAATAACAATAAATGACAAAAGGCAAAATAAAACAGAAAAACTGACATGTTGTATCGCTGATCGTCTCCAGGCACAAGAGCATTTATTAATGAATATAAAAAATAAACTTCATTATTTTTATCTGCTTTCCCCCCAGCTTTAACTACATGAATATTCCTAAGAAATTCCACAGTTATACCGGCCCCTTTCTGAGTACATGAGGTTAAGGTCCTACTCCCATAGGGAAATAAATTTCTATCTTAGGGATTCTGAAAAACTAGACCTCTAGGAACTTACAAAGCAGTTCCTTTCATTAGGATCCTTCTAACATAGGGAGAATGCTGCCATCACCCATTAAAACACGATCCAGTGTAGGTGTAGGTACTCTTCAGGTGTCCCGAGTTCTCCAAATGAGTACCCGACTAAGCCACCAGCTTTACTTCAGCCCAGCCGGCGGCCCACAGCCTCTCAAGCTGCACCAAAAGTGGGCTTCACAGATAAAGCATCTTTCCCCTTTCTTCCTGGGAGTTAGAGGGCTACCCGGGTAGGAAGGATATGGAGGCTTTGCATCAAGCTTGCCTTCACACTCTGTGCTGGGGGAGGGCTACTAAACTACCCAGAGCACACCTGTGTTGAGTGTATGGCATGTACTTACCCACTGCCACACAGGAAGTTGAGTAAATTAGCCAGTCACTCTGGACCAAGCCCCTCAAAACAGAGGCAAATTCAGTGAGCCAAGCATGTGGCAATAGCCCCAGTTCACCTAGGTCCTTTCCAAAGAACCGTATTAATCTGATCCCAAAGCACATTTGGCCAGGACAGAGCATGGTAGGAATATGGAACTTCTGGGAAGGGCCATGCCATGTGGGGTTTACAGGTTGTTGTCTGGTCTACAGCACAAGAAGATGGCAGCATCGCTAATATTCAGAGCTGGAGAGAGCGTTGCCTGGTCCACACTCCTGGAGCGTCTTTACTAATGCAGCTTAATGGCAGTTGCCCAGATGTCGTTGCTGGGAAGCGGCGGAAGGACCCATCCTTGGGGAACAGAGTTGCCTTCAGGATGATCAGATGGCACCAGGTACTGATCCCAATCATGCCTTAATAGGAAATTATAAAACAACTGTTTATTTATGTTTTAGTCCAAGCCAGATGTTCAGCAACTAAATATTCTATTTCAGGACTTACCTTTTCAATGACTGATGTACTAAAGAACTAGACTATGGAGGATTATGCAAAAGACTGCATTTCTTAAATATACATATAAAGGGTGGAAAACTCCAAAGAACTTATAGTCGTTTTAAAAAATATGTTTTTATTGATTTTAGAGAGAGAGGAAGGGAAAGAGAGATAGAAACATCAACGAGGAGAGAGAATCATTGATCGACTGCCTCCCGCATGCCCCACACTGGGAATTGAGCCCACAACCCGGGCATATGCCGAGAATCGAACCATAACCTCCTAGTTCACAGGTTGACTGAGCCACTCTCATCATTGATGTTCCTATCTCTCTCCCTCTCCCTTCCTCTCTGAAATCAATAAAAAAAATATATTTTAAGAAAGATATATTAAATGAGGTGTCTTTAAAAAGAAATACACATAAAACAATATTATATATTGATCAGTTGACAAAAATGTGGCCAGAGGCTCACTGAAACCTAATCATATATTTCCTTTAGAAGCAGCAGCCGTTCAGCAGTCTCTAATTCAGTGTTTGTGGCTTTATAGAGCACAGCTACTATAAATAACAAGAATTGACTATAGTTATGTTTAGAAGCTAAAACCTGTATATTAGCCAGAAATGCACTTTCCCCAGACATCAACTTGGTATGCAAAAGAGCATTGTTGGAGCTTTGGAAGGAACCTCAGAAACCACTTAGGTCCGTGATTTTCAAACCAGGCTTTGAAGACCCCTGAGCCCCAAGTAGATGCTTTGGGAGTCTAGAAACAACAAAGTGCTTCCCATTAATAACAGATTTAAGTTACCTGTGGAACCCATTCATTCACTCTGTTTTATAAACTGGTTTGTCCAAAGACTGCATTTGGGAAGAGTACTACTGCCGAAGTTTGAAGGCCACATTCTAGTCCACCATCTTCATTTTATAGGTGAGGAAAGTGTGAGACCCAGAGAGCTGCACAGTATAGCTCACTATTAACTGCATGTAAGGATGAGACTCTCTGTTCCTCGCTCTCTTGACTCTGACCTCTAAGAACTCACAAGTCAGCAGCACGGGTCTTAAACAGTCTCCACAGGCAAGTATACAGGGAGGGTCTGTTTAGCAGCAGAAGAGAACTAGAAAAGGTAGCCAATGCTTTTAAGTCAAAGTAACAGCACAGTCTGGGAGAACACAAAAGGGCAGGTCACACCTGAGTTTGTTTCTTCACCTGTTAAAATAGGGACATCTATTTCTCAAGGATGAGTGAGGACTAAACAGATGTTTGTGGCATCCCTAACACTTGGAACCTCTATATAAACCCATTAGAAATTTTTTGAAAAAGACACAGGCGACATGGAGAGTGCCCCTCTGACCTTATTTGGATGAGTGCTGGCAGGGAGTGCTCAGCTTGGAGGTAATACTGTCTGAAAGGCTGCAAGAGGTGAGCGAGCGGGAACTCATCTGAAAAAGAAAAGGCACAATGCCACACCATCACACTTCCTATCCAGAGTGTACGTCTCAAGGCAAGGTGACTGAGCCTATGATGACAACATGATCCAACGTGTTTCATCTTTATCCATGATTTCCAGGATATAGTTTAGGTGTCATTGTTGCCTACAATCTCTTAGCTTAGGTTGAGGTCCCCCATGAGAATAAGTCAATCTAGTATTGCCCTTTTCTCCCCTGGTTACAGAGGAACTTACCTGGATCCCCAAATAACTTGGACTCAATTTCCCGCTTCTGCAATAGAATTTTCTCTTTTTCTTTCCTCTGTTTCTTTTCTAGTTCTCTCTTCCTCTCTTCCTCTTGTTCTCCTTCCAACATGACTCTGAGGGCCCTCTCTTCAGCTTCATAGAGTTCAGAGCGTTTTCTGATGAGTTTTCTCAGTCGCTGAAGATGATGCTCAAAAGTCTCATCTGCTGAGGCTGGAGGACAGACCCCTGGGCACAGAGATGCAAATGGCATTTCAGTTACAACTTTTTCCATCTCCAGATCTGTGTTCTAAAGAGCCAACTCAAAGTCCTACTTACAGGATGGATTTGCTTAGCATTTATAAATTCTAATCCCTCTTCACAGATCAACTTGAATCTGCAATTAATCTGACCCCATCCTTTCTTTTTTCTCTAATTCCTCTTTCTGGAAACTTCCACTTAACTTCTGATTTTGTTTCTAAAGGTTTTGATCCTGCAGTTGGAGAGTGGGCTCCCAAAAGGAAAAAACTGTCTTATATTCTTCATTTTGAAATTCCCACTGCTAATAAACAATTCTCCCTTTAAGTGTGAAGTTCTGGGAAAGCACATATGGATACTGAGAAGATATGTAAGAATTAATACTAATTTTATGTGATAATGGCATCATAATTGATGATGAGTAATTTACTTAGGCATTCTATTTTTGTATACATGTGAAAGTTTTCATAAAATTTCATAAGGAAAGCTTTTTGAAATTTATTGAATATTCAAGTAGGTTGCAATAGTGACTCACTACCATAATGGCCCTGCAATAAAAAAGTTGCTGAAGCTGCTAATTCATCCTAGAGTGATGTGTGCTCAATCCTTAGTCTTTAAAGGAAAATGTATGTATTGCGGCAGTATTTTAACAATACCAGATACAGTGGGGCCTTGACTTACGAGTTTAATTCGTTCCGAGACCGAGCTCGTTAAGGAGCTCGTTAACTCAAATTACTCTATCAACTCAACGCAAAAAATCGGCCGAGACACAGCTGGTATCTCAAAAAACTCGTTAGTCGGGACACTCGTAAGTCAAGGCCCCAATGTACATGGAAGAAAAAAATCCTAATTCTGCTAACATAATCAACCCTTTTTATTTCCCCACTAGAGGCCCCGGTGCACAAAAATTTGTGCACTCGGGGTGTTGGGGGGGGGGTCCCTCAGCCTGGCCTGTGCCCTCTTGCAGTCTGGGACCCTGCGGGGGATGACCACCTGCTGGCTTAGGCCCGCTCCTCGGGGGATTGGGCCTAAGCTGGCAATCAGACATCCCTCTGGCAGCCCAGATGTCCACTTGCCAGCAGGGAGCAGGCCTAAGCTGCAGTCTGACATCCTTAGTGCTGCTGAGGAGGCGGGAGAGGCTCCCACCACCACCGCTGTACTGGCAGCCATCAACCTGGCTTGTGGCTGAGCAAAGCTCCCCCTGTGGGAGCGCACTGACCACCAGGGGGTAGCTCCTGCATTGAGCATCTGCCCCCTGGTGGTCAGTGTGTGTCATAATCACCAGTCATTCCCAGTCTTTCTGCTGTTAGGATCAGTTTGCATATTACCCCCCCCTTTTTTTTTAATATATTTTATTGATTTTTTACAGAGAGGAAGGGAGAGAGATAGAGAGTTAGAAACATCAATGAGGGAGAAACATCGATCAACTGCCTCCTGCACATCTCCCACTGGGGATGTGCCCGCAAGCCAGGTACATGCCCTTGACCGGAATCGAACCTGGGACCCTTTAGTCCGCAGGCCGACGCTCTATCCACTGAGCCAAACCGGGTTTGGCGATATTACCCTTTTATTATATAGGATAGAGGCCTGGTGCATGGGTGGGGGCCGGCTGGTTTGCCCTTCAGGGTGGGGGTCCCACTGGGGTGCCTGGCCAGCCTGGGTGAGGGGCTGATGGCTGTTTGTAGCTGGTCACACCCCTTCAGGGTGGGGGTCCCCACTGGGGTGCCTGGCCAGCCTGGGTGAGGGGCTGATGGCTGTTTGTAGCTGATCACACCCCTTCAGGGTGGGGGTCCCCACTGGGGTGCCTGGCCTGCCTAGGTGAGGGGCTGATAGCTGTTTGCAGGCTGGTCAAGCCCACCCCATGGAGGTTTGGCCAACCTGGGTGAGGGGCTGATGGCTGTTTTCAGGCTGGCCACATCCCCTTTAGGGTGGGGGTCCCCACTAGGATGCCTGGCCAGTCTGGGTGAGGGCTGAGGGCCGTTTTCAGGCTGGCCAAACTTTTTGACTCGAGGGCCACAATGGCTTCTTAAACTGGACCGGAGGGCCGGAACAAAAGCATGGATGGAGTGTTTGTGTGAACTAATATAAATTCAAAGTAAACATCATTACATAAAAGGGTACGGTCTTTTTTTTCAATAGTTTTATTCATTTCAAACGGGCCAGATCCGGCCCACGGGCTGTAGTTTGCCCACGGCTGTCCTAGCCTCTCCTTTTTTTCTTTTCTTTTTCTGGGATTTATTTACCTTCTATAATTGAAACTTTGTAACCTGGAGTGGAGCTCAGAGCCGGCCAGGGCTTGGCTTCCTCCATGGCCAGAGGCAACCTAAGGCTCCAGCTCCGTGGCCACAGCCAGCTGAAAGCAGGTATCTGGGGTGTATTTACCTTCTATAACTGAAACTTTGTTGCCTGAGTGGAGCTCAGAGCTGGCCAGGGCGGGTGGAAGGGAAAGCCTCCTGCTTGCTCCAGCTCCGTGGCCACAGCCAGCTGAAAGCAGGTATCTGGGGTTTATCTACCTTCTATAATTGAAACTTTGTTGCTTTGAGTGTAGCTTAGAGCAGGCTGCGGCAGGCGGGGAACCTTGGCTTCCTCCATCACCGGAGCAAGCAAACCTCCTGCTCGCTCCAGCTCTGTGGCTGCCGGCTGCCATCTTTGTTGGTGGTTAATTTGCATATCTTGCTGATTAGCCAATGGAAGGCATAGCAAAGGTATGGTCAATTACCATGTTTGTCTATTATTAGGTAAGATGTTGATCCTCCAGCCGTTTTTGTCCATATATTAGCAACTTCACATAGTTCAATGTAAAATGTGTGTAACGTACATATCTCCATGTCAATTCTCTACATTTTTTCCCTCTCCTTATAATTAATTAATGGCTCCATCCTGTTTCACCAAATCCATGTACCTACCATAATTTACTTAATAAGCTCTCTAGTCCTGGACAGTTAGGCTGTTCCAAATGACTTGTTATCATATAATGCTACAATGAATAATCTTAGGCACCATGGGGCCTCATCCGGTCTTTGGACCTTGGCATAATGAGAAAAAACTTACCACCCTGAAATCTTAAACCCAAATATTCTCTTCTCTGACAACTTCCTACTGTTTCAGTATTCTCACCTTCTTCTCCCTCAAGATTCTGTGAATTTCTGTAAACTCTCTCACTGAATGTATCAGATTCCGCCCATCTTCTATTTCTTCTCACCAAAACTTGTAGTCACCCACAAAGCAAAACCCCAACAGCCCAGTGCTCTATGCTCACGTGCTAGCTGTAGAGTGCTCCCAGAAGAAGCCATTTGATTACTGGCCTGGTGCCAGTTTACAGTTACATCAGCTGGGCCCATAGCCCCTCCCTGCAGCCACACTGCCATGGGTCTCTGCTTGGCCCTCACTCACTGCTCATTTCACCACTCTCTGAAAGTCCTACTTCTCTGCTGACTCTCAGAGCAAACCCTCTAATCTATTTCCCGGAGGAGACAGGCCACAGGAAGGAAAATTCCTTAACTTTCTGCCCCCAATTCCACTCATCTGCATTACTACCCTTCATTGTCTCCTTCATTTCATTCCAGTAGAAGATGGTTCTTCTCCACTGAAGTTAATCCCTCCACCAGGGATCTGAATCTGACTACCTCCTCCAAGACCTTGAGCCATCAACTATTCCTCTGCTTCTCGTTGATCTTTCTCCCTCTATCCATATTCACTCCTTGGCTCAGGATTTAAACATTTTCAAGTTTTTTCCATGACCCTAAGGTAGCACCCCTTACCCGATCCCCCCACAGCCCCCTGCCCCATACACACTGGCAGATGCTGATCTTATACTCTCCTTTTCTTCACAGGCAAATGTTTAATGAGTTGATCTCACTGTCTGCTTTTCTTATGTCCTATTCCGTCTTTACTCTACTTTAGTCGGGCTTCTACTTCTACCACCCCCTGAAATGCCCCTAGCGCAGTCACTAAATCCCATGGATGTTTCTCAAGCTTTTTATTACTTGAAAATAAAAATAAGATGAAACACTTGTATGGCATTTACTATGTGCCAGGACTGCTTTAAGCATTTAACTCATGTCTACTAATTTAATCACCACAACACCCCATGGGTAGGTACTATCATTATTCCCTCCTTACAGAGGAGGACACCAAGGCATAAAGAAGTTTAAGTAAACGTGCCAAGACTGCACAATCTCTGTGAGCATTTGCCACTCTGCAGAAGAAGTAGCGGGTCTACCTTTTCCTCCTCTCTCTGACCTCTCTCGATCTCTTCTGTGGAATCCTCTTTATTCATCTTGATATTGTCTTTCTGGCTCTCATTTCACACTACACAATCTCTTTACGGTCTGTTTACATGCTGATGAGCCCTTATCCAGGGTGTCCCACAGGCACCTCAAACTCAACAGGTCCCAAACTGAACTCATCAACCCAAAGCCAAATCCTCCTGCTGTTTTCCTGGTCATTTAGAATGGTATCATCATTCAGTGGATTAAGCTACAACCTGGAAGCCATTTTTTTTTTCCAGCTCCCACATGCTGAGTTCCCCAAGTTATTAATTTATATGTACACACACACACACACACACACACACACACACACACTTTATTCATATCTCTTAAATCCATTTACTTTTCTCCTACTGTGGTCCTTAGTTCACACTCCCATACTATCCCAGCCCAGACTATGACAACCTTTATCAGTCTCTCTTCCTAGATCAGTGATGGCGAACCTTTTGAGCTCGGCGTGTCAGCATTTTGAAAAACCCTAACTTAACTCTGGTGCCAGGTCACATATAGAACTTTTTTGATATTTGCAACCATAGTAAAACAAAGATTTATATTTTTGATATTTATTTTATATATTTAAATGCCATTTAACAAAGAAAAATCAACCAAAACAATGAGTTTGCGTGTCCCCTCTGACATGCGTGTCATAGGTTCGCCATCACTGTCCTAGATGCTCCAAACCTTTCTCTGCTCTGCCACCAATGACCTGTCATCACTTCACTCTGCTTGAAATCTTTCAGTGGTTCCCCTCAGCTTTAAGCATAGGTGAGAAGTCTAGCCCGGCCCATAAAACACTTTGTGGGTTTTTTTAAAATATATTTTTACTGATTTCAGAGAGGAAGGGAGAGGAGATAGAAACATCAATGATGAGAATCATGGATGGGCTGCCTCCTGCACATCCCCTACTGGGGATCGAGCCCACAACCTAGGCATGTGCCCTTGACCTGAATCGACGAACCCAGGACCCTTCAGTCCACAGGCTGATGCTCTATCCACTGAGCCAAACCAGCTAGGGCCCATAGGACACTTTGTGATGTGACCCTACTTACATATCCAGCCTCATTCTCTCAGCACTTACTTGGAGGTACATACGCCTTGAAGAAAGAAGTTAGAAAGCTGCTTGTTTTCTTTAAAGTACACAAGGCAACCAGCTACTAGTTACCAAATCATTTTACATTCAAGTCAATTAACTCCACACAGCCTGCTTATTATATAGACCATAGTTCCTCCTAAAATTTTCTCTTTCTTTTGGACCAAGTAGAGGGGAGACTAACAGTGAGAAATTATGCTGGTAAATTCACTTGGCAGATATAACTGACCCTCACCTCACAGAGGACATGGAGCAGAGGAACATTAAATAGTAGTCCTCACGGTTTGCATTCTCATAAGCAAGAGGCATGAGTAGACACAGTAGAAGCAAATCTAGATGACCACAGTAGATGATTCACAAATGCCCTACAGAATCATCTGTGTGAGGCCTGAATCTGAATCAGCCACTCTAAGGGCTGACATGCAGAAGCTCATCACTTAGCTAGTGAGTAAGACTGACTGAATGCACAATGGTCACGTCCCAACAAAACTTTTAAAATATATTTTTATTGATTTCAGAGAGGAAGGGAGAGGGAGAGAGAGAGAGAGAGAAATATCAATGATGAGAGAGAATCATTGATTGGGTGCCTTCCGCATGCTTCCACTGGGGATCGAACCTGCAACCCAGGCATGTACCCTTGACTGAAATCGAACCCGAGACCTTTCAGTCTGCAGGCCCATGCTCTATCCACTGAGCCAAACCAGTTAGGGCCCAGCAAAACTTTTTATTGCCCTGACTGGTTTGGCTCAGTGGATAGAGTGTCGGCCTGCGGACTGAAAGGTTCCAGATTCGATCAGGGTCAAGGGCATGTACCTTGGTTGCAGGCACATCCCCAGTAGGAGGTGTGCAGGAGGCAGCTGATCAATGTTTCTCTCTCATAGATGTTTCTAACTCTCTATCTCTCTCCCTTCCTCTCTGTAAAAAATCAATAAAATATATTATAAAAAAAACACTTTTTATTAAGGGTCTCAATTATAGTTTTAATTTATTATATTTTAAACCAAACAGAGGAATTCATTTGCTATCGTGGTATTTGCTAATTTGTGTACTCACAAATATCACTGGTGAATGTCAACGGCCTACAACCTACTAAATAAGGCAGCATGTGGCCCAAACCAGGTGCAAGAGAGAAGGAGCAGGAGGTCACCTCAGCTCAGAGCAGAGAAGGATGGGAGATATGACATCTAAATTTGGTTTTGAAGGATAGTGAGAGCTTAAAATAGCAAAGATGGGACTAAGGGCCCTCCAGCCAAATCCCATTCACACCTCTTCAAATAGCCATGATTCAGATTTGAAATGTATCTGAAGGAACATGCCAAGTTTTCAACACCTTCTGAAGCCTCAAGTAAGGACAGGATAGGATAGCTTTCACCTTGGCACATGGGTAAAGCTGACCAGCCCTATCAACCTCACTCAGAATAATGTGGCCAGGAATGCCTGGGGTGGGAATGATGAGTCCAGGGGAAGACGGTGCAGTGGGTTCCCACACCTGCCTCTCTTTTCAACCTGGGCTACCAAGAGCTAAACATCAGAGGGACCTACTTCAAAGGTTCTGAGATACTGCTGACAAGCTCAGTTACCCTACTGGGTGAAAAATTTGAAGTATCAAGCATTTTCCTTCAAGATTTTTGGGGAAGGGCAAGCGCGATGGTAAAGAAAGGGAAGGAACAGAGGAACAAAGGAAGAAATGCCAGTAGAAGTGCAAAGCCAGTTACCTTTCCTTGCTGCAGCCTCTTTCCTGAGTTTCCTCAATTTCTCCAAGGCCCGAAGAATGTCCACCATTCTTTTGGTGTCTGCTTGTTTTTTCCTCACTTCAGACAAGACACCATCGGCAGCAGCTTTAAGTTCCTGCTCCTGGGGAAGAAAGAGAGCCCATGAGAACAGCTGCCCAGCAGTGAGATTTTAGAGAACCAGACAGTCCCAGGGTTTAGAAAGATTCTACTGGATTTGCACCCCAATTCCCTGGGCCATGCCCAAAACACCTCTCTACACTGGTCCAGCCAAAGAATTATCCTCTCTGCACTTCCACATGGACACTGGTCTTTTTTCTTCCTCAGAGTTTCTGAAGTGTGGTCCAAGGAACATCTGCATTCAACTTACCTTGTTAAGTTGGGGCTCTCATTAAACATGAAAACACCTGGCACTGGCCAGGGGACCCAGTTGGCTGGAGCATTGTCCTATGCGCCAAAAGGCTGTAGGTTCAATTTCAAAACAGGGGATATACCTAGGTTGCGGGTTCAATCCCCAGTTGGGGCATGTACAGGAAGCAACCAATCAATGCTTCTCTCTCAGACCAATGTTTCTCTCCCCCTCACCTCGCCCTTCCTCTACTAAAACAAAAAAACATATCCTTGGGTGAAGACTTAAAAAAAAAAAAAAAAGCAGACCCATGGATCCAAAGATTGAGGGTAGCAGGGAAGATAAGGAATCCTATCCTATATAATAAAAGGCTAATATGCAAACCGACTGGACTGCAGAACAACCTGTCGCTATGACATGCACTGACCACTAGGGGGCAGACACTCAACGCAGGAGCTGCCCCCTGGTGGTCAGTGCATCACCACAGGGGGAACGCTGCTCAGCCAGAAGCCGGGCTGAGAACTGGCAAGCGCAGCAGCGGTGGCGGGAGCCTTTCTTGCCTCTGCAGCAGCGCTAAGGATGTCTGACTGCTGACTTAGGCCCGCTCCCCATGATGCACAAATTTCATGCACCGGGCCTCTAGTGGCGTTATAAAAGCCCAGGACTCTACAATGCTCAGTGACAACCTAAAATACTCTACTGCCAAGAATCTCTTCAACATGACAGCCTTTCAAACATCTGAAGACCCTATTGTACTCTTCTTAAGTCGGTTCACATGTAGATAAATCATTCTGGTTACTCTAAGGCTAAGCCAAGCATGTCAAACTCACAGCCATGCCTTGTTTATTTAAATCATGCTTGCTCTAAGCCATTACTCAAAGGACTCTGTCTCTAACACCCTCACCATAGGTGGAAGGGAGGATGCTTTTGCCTAAAGCTCTCTTTCCCATCTCTCAAATCAGCACTGCAACTGCACCATTTCAGCTACCATGCTGTTTCACTCTTCTCGCCTGAAATGCACCTGTTGCTCTCACTTGGCTTTGACATTTCCTTTAAGACTCAGTTCAGTTGTTATCATCCAAACCTTCCCTGACACCTTCCCCAAAGGATTAGCTATTCCTTTTCTGGGCTCCTATAGCACCTACATGTGAAATCGTAACGCACAATGCTATACAGACATGATACCCCATGGGGCTCCAAGTCCCTCAAGGACAAGCACTATGTCCCATTTATCTCTATCCCCAGCACCCTGCACTAGGCCTGGTACTTAATGGGCCCTCATTAAATGTGTGAACTGACTCAAACTCTCTTAGATTAAGGCCTTGCCTCCAAGTATTCTTAAAAGCACTGATGTTTTGGGGGGCTTGAAAACAAAGCTTGACATCAATACACTTCAGAGGGGGAGTTACAGCAGACTTTAGGGCAGTAGCAGACACCAGGAGAAGAGAAAAGAGGAAACAGTAGCTGGTAGTGGAGTGGAGGAAGGGGGGATGTGGGGGCACTCAAAAGTAGTAACAATGTCTGAACTATCTGACCAATTTCCAGTTTCACCCTGGCCCCCACTTAAGAGCTTGAGATTAACAGGTTTTCAAATCACACAACCTGGGCTCAAATCAGACGTGAAACTGCCACAAACCAATCTGTGTGGTTGTTGGCAGGTTAAGTTCCTTATGCCTTACTTTCCTAATCTGTAAAGTTGGGATAATACCACCTACCTCTCAGGGTTATTACCAGGATTCAAGATCTGGTGTATGTAACGACCTTAGCACAGTGCCTAGTATACAGTAAGTGCTCAAAAAACACCGTTGTTGAATCTCAAGATTTGTGGTTTAAAATTCGTAAACAAAGGATTTCTGGGGAAATCATCACTATTGACCCATCAGCTACTTAGGATGTATGTTCCTTAAGGAAAGGCCACAAGTTCTCTATGTATTGTATTTTTAAAGTCACCTAGGGTCCAGCTGGTGTTGCTCAGTGGTTGAGCGGGGACTTATGAACCAGGAGGTCACCAATTCCCGGTCAGGGCACATTGCGGGGGGGGGGGGGGGGGGGGGGAGGAAGGGAGGGACGTGCAGGAGGAAACAGATCAATGATCCACTCTGATCATTGATGTTTCTATCTCTCTCTCCCTCTGTGAAATAAATAAAAGCACCAGATGCTTGTTAGTCTTGAGTGCTGGTGTCAGAATGTCGGTGCAGATCTGTCATCCCTGCAACGCCCCTGTGTAATTCTCCTACATAATGTGTACAGGGCTCTGCAGTGCACCCAGAGCATTGGTGTTGCTACTATTCATCATTAACACGCAATCAATACGGAGCTATGAGGTCGGAAAGGCAAACTATCTTTTTACTTTACAAGTGAAGATAAGGAGGCTTAGCCCTGGGAAATGGCAGCGCAACGCCTCGTGCCCCTTCACGTTCCAAACGCCAGTACCCTCACCCCCGTGCGCAACCGCTGCTCTTACCCGCTTCTTCTCCTCCACCTCCTGGACGCACTTGACCCGCCAGCGGTCAATCTCCTGCTCGCGCTCCGCCGCTCGCGCGGCCTCCGCCTCCCGCTCGGCCTCGCGCTCCCGGGCCCTCTCGCGGAGCCGCAGCCGGCGGCGCCGGACCCTCTCCAGCCTCCGCCGCGCCTCGCCCACGTAGGCGGCCTGGGTCAGCAGCTGGAGCCGCTCGGCCAGCTCCGCGCGCAGCGGCGCCGCCTGGGCGTGCAGCAGTGCCCAGGCCGCGCCGTCCGCCTCGGCCTCGCGCAGGGCCTGGCCCAGCTCCCGCAGCCGCCGCACGAGGCGCAGAGCCCCGCGCACCCGCGCGCGCACTTCACCCAGGGTGGGCCCGGCCGGCGCGCGCGGGGGCGGCGGGCAGCCCGCTCGCCGCGGGGCTCCGAACACCGCCTCCAGCCACTGCCGGTCGCGCAGGCGCTGCAGGGCCGAGTCCCCGAGCACGTCGGGCGGCGGCGCCTCAGGCCAGCGCGGGCTCCAGGGCGGCCCCGGGCCTGGAGGCGGCGGCCGCGGGCGCTCGCCGGCGTCGATCCCCGGGAAAGGCCGACACTGAGGCGGCGGCGGAGGCAGCGGCGGGGGCGGCACCGGGTAGAAGGCGCCGCCGCTGCCGCCGCCGCCGCCGCGGGAGGCTTCCCCAGGCGCCCGGGGCTGCACAGCCAGCGGGGGCTGGAGGAAGGGGGCGGAGGCCCCCGGAAAGGGGCCGGGCCGCTGGGGAAGAGGCGGCGGAAAAGCCGGCGAGGGCAGCGGCGGCGGCGGACAGCCAAAGGGAGCGGGCGGCAGCGGCTGCGGGGGCGGCGGGCCCGGGCGACCCGGGGCGAAGAAGGGCGGCAGAGCCATGGCCACCACCGGAGGCTTCTGAGAAGTGACAGGAATCTGATGGTCTCCCGAGAAAGTGTCTTCCGGGAGGAAGTGACGTATGCCACGCGCGACGCCGGTGTGACCCGCCCGGCGCATGGGTGGGCGTTCATTCAATCCTTCAATTAATACTGTTCCTTTAAAAAAAAAAAAATACTGTTCTTTTTTGTTGTTGTTGTTATTCGTTTTTTCTTTCTTTTTTTTTTTAATCCTCACCCGTTTTTCCTTTGATTTTTAAGGAGAGGGGAAAAAAGAGAGAAGCATCGATGTGGGAGAAACACATCCATCGGTTGCCTCCTGCACGAGCCCCGCCCGGGGCAAACCGGCTCGGGCGTGTTCTTAATGATCATTTTAGGTGTGAAGCCAGCTGCTTTGCAGACAGCGAGACTAACGGACACAGATCCTCTCCTGTGGAACTACCTGTCGAGTAAAGAAAACACATAATCAAGTAATGACGCAAGCAATTGTGAAAGTGCCGCGGTGAATATACGTACTACCGAGGAGGAGAGCACAGAGCAAGAAGAGCTTATAGGACAATTTGACTTAGAAAGGTTGGGGAAAGGTTGTCCCAATGACTTTAGGCTTCGTTTAAGGTCTGAAGGATAAGTAGGCGTTAAATAGAAGAGAGGGAAACACGGTTCAGATAAGGACAGCATTTGCAAAATACCGCTAGTTGGTAGGAGTAGGCTTAGCGGGGGAACTGAAAGAATGTCAGAGCGGATGGAGCACAGAAAGCCTGAAGGGAGCCTGGTGACCCTGGCGTGGACAGAGATATAGCGTCCAGGAGCTCATATTTTAAGAACAATGGGAAACTTCTGGGGGATTTTAAGCTACACGATTGTTGTTGTTTTTTAAATTAAACTCTATTTTGAGATCATTGTGAGAAATATGCAGTTGTGAGAAAAATACAGGGAGATCCTGTGTACTCTTAACTCAGTTCCTCCACATAGTAATAGCTTGCAAAGCTGTAGTACAGTGTCACAACCAGGATGTTGGCATTGGTAGTCAAGATACAGAACATATATTTCCATCATTTCCAGGATCCCTCATTTGCCCTTTTATAGTCACACCCACTTCCCTTTAACCGCAACTGCTAACCCGGTCTCCATTTCTATAACTTCTGTCCTTTCAAGAATATTATACATAAATGCAATCACATAGAACATAACCTTTGGGACTCCCTGTTTCCACTCAGTATAATCCTTTGGAGATTCATCCAGGTTGTTGTATTAATAGCGTTCCTTTTTATTGCAATAAAAGTGTGCGAAAAGAGAGCAGGTAAAGTTAAACCACACTTGGTTTAATCATTCACTTGTTGGATATTTCCACTTTGAGGCTATCATGAATAAAGCTGCTATAAAATTTGTATGCAGGTTTTTCTGTGACCATAAACCTTCATTGCATTGGAATAAATGCCCAGAGTGCAACTGCTGAGTCATATAGCAGTTGTATGTTTAGTGTTTTTTAAAAACTATATTTTTACTGATTTCAGAGAGGAAGGGAGAGGGTTAGAACATGGATGAGAATCATTGATTGGCTGCCCCCTACTGGGGATCGAGCCTGCCACTCGGGCATATGCCCTGACTGGGAATCAAACCAGTGATCTCTTGGTGCATAGGTCAACACTCAACCACTGACCCACACCAGCTGGGCAGAACCTTACTTTTTAAAGCAAAAGTAATGGATGCCCTCTTGGGTAAGAGCCCAGCTCTGTCCCATGAAAAGAACCAATCAAAGCCTGACCCCACTTCCCAAGAGACCTCTCATATTTCTCAGAAACTCTTTGTAATACTCTACATATTTACTTGTATCTTATGTATTAAGTAACTTGTAATACTCTGCATAACATTTAAAGGCTTATCTTAAAATGTATTAGGTAAGGCATGACTCTAACTTTATATAGGGTATCCCCCCAAATGTATACATTTTAACAGCTAATAGCTCAATTTTTTTAAATGAAATGTATTTTAATGAACACTGCCTTTATAATTATTCTAAGTGTGTATATACATTTTTGACATCCTGTATTTTCTAGATCAGTGGTTCTCAACCCCCAATTTCATTGTTACAAATTGAACATAATTAAAGCATAGTGATTAATCACAAAAACAATATGTAATTATATATGTTTTCCGATGGTCTTAGGCGACCCCTGTGAAAGGGTCGTTCAACCCCCAAAGGGGTCGCGACCCACAGGTTGAGAACTGCTGTTCTAGATGGATACTCAGCTATCATTACCATTTATTGAATACTAGAGGCCTGGTGCACAAAATTCATGCACGGGGGCAGGGGGTGTCCCTCAGCCCAGCCTGCACCCTCTCACATCCCTCTCACAATCTGGGACTGCTGACTCCTAACCACTCTGCCTGTCAGCCTGATAGCTCCCTAACTGCTCCCCTGCTGGCCTGATTGACACCTAACTGCTCCCCTGCTGGCATGATCATCCCCAACTGCCCTCCCCTGCCAGCCCGATTGCCCCCAACTGTCTTCCCCTGTGGGGCTGAGGGGACTGGGGGACTGAGGCTGGATGAGGCGGGGCTGAGGGGACTGGGCACCACCATCTTGTGGCTGTGGGCACCGCCATCTTTGTGAAGGTGTGAGTCAATTAGCATATTCCCTCTTTGCCATTTTGTGAGGCATGGCGGTCAATTAGCATATCCCTCTTTATTAGATAGGATTCTTTCCTAATTTGAAATACCATTTCCAATATTGAATTACCATATATATTTGGGGTCTATTTCTGAACTTTATTTTCCTTTGATGTCTGTTCATTCATACACTGGTATGCACTTAAACTTGTGAAGCTATAATTTTTTTTAATAGAATAGGCAGCACCTCTTGGTTAAGCGGAGAGGCCCTAGAACCAATATGCCTGGGATTAAATCCTGTTACTTACTAGTTGTGTGGCCTTGGGAAAGCTACTTAACCACTGGACTTCAGTTTCATCTATAAAAAGTGTTAATAGAATCTAACTCATAGAATTGTTGCATTACACGAACAGTGACACAGAGTAAACACCATGAGTGCACATTATCATTTTGCTTACCATTCTAACCTACTTTTCCATATGAACTTTAGATCTATTTGTCAATTTTAATTTAAAACCTTACCAGTATTTTATTGAAATGTTAAATATATAAATTAATGTAGGGGTAACAGACATCTTTGTAATACTGAGTTTCCCCACTGAACAACATGGGATACCACTTTTCATCAGATTTTCAAAAATAGGTACCCATCTACTCTTCACTTCCATTGTTATCACCTTAGTCCAATCCATTATCATCTGGCAGGCTTATTATAATAGTCCCACATGTCCGTGATTCAATCCTTGCTCCTCTATCATCTATAAAATTAAAAATGGAACTCCCTTTTGACCCAGTAATCCCACTCCTAGGAATACATCCCAAGAAATCAGAAACACCAATCAGAAAGAATATATGCACCCTTATGTTCACAGCAGCACAATTTACAATAGCTAAGATTTGGAAATAGCCTAAGTGCCCATCAGCAGATGAGTGGATTAGAAAACTGTGGTACATCTACACAATGGAATACTACACTGCTGTAAAAAAGAAAGAACTCTTAACCACTTGCAACAGCATGGATGGACCTGGAGAGCATTATGCTAAGTGAAATAAGCCAGTCAGAGAAAGATAAGTATCACATAATCTCACTCATTTGTGGAATAAAATGATCATAAACTGGTGAACAAAAATAGGTCCAGAGACATAGAAGGATCGAACAGACCGTCAAACCTCAGAGGGAAAGCAGGGAAGGTTGGGGGAGGGTAAGAGATCAACCAAAACACTATATGCAAGCATATAGGCATAATCAAATGGACACAGACAATAGAGGGGTGAGGGCCTGTGTTGGGAGGTGGGAGCCGACTGGGAGAGGTCAATGGGGGGAAAAGAAGACATATGTAATACTTTCAACCATAAAGAAAATTTTTTTAAAATGCAGGGGAATTGCCCTAGCTGGCTTGGCTTAGTGGGTGGAGCGTCAGCCTGCGGACTGAAGCGTCCCAGGTTCGATTCCGGCCAAGGGCACATGTTTGGGTTGCAGGCTTGATCCCCAGTGGGGGATATGCAGGAGGCACCGATCAATGATTCTCTCATCATTGATGTTTCTAAAGGGTGTCCCAAAATTCATGCAAGAAGTAAATTTTGATAGAAAACACAGGGTTACAATTAAAAATTGTAAATTTTTTATTGATTCATAAAGTATACAGTGTAGGGTTATGTATGGAATAGCATATCGGGTAAACTGGATTATCATGTTGCGATAGCAAGCACCATTAACTGTTATTGCCTGAGCAGCCGCATTTTCGAAGAAGAATGGTCCGATGATGCATCCAGCCCAAAATCGGCACCAAACAGTGACACGTTGTGGATACATTTGTTTCTCAATAATCACTCGTGGATTTTCTGAACCCCAAATGCGACAATTTTGTCGATTAACCAAGCCAGCAAGATGAAAATGAGCCTCATCAAAATTCAGCCACATTTATGCAAAATGGTCATGGAAAATTTCAACAAGAGTGCATATGTGCCAACAAAGCCGTGGAGGCCATTTATCCGATATGCTATTCCATACATAACCTAATACAGTATACTTTATGAATCAATAAAAAATTTACAATTTTTAATTATAAACCTGTGTTTTCTATCGAAATTACTTCTTGCGTGAATTTTGGGACATCCTTTCTCTCTCTCTCCCTTTCCCTTCCTCTCTGAAATCAAAAAAGAAATATATTTTTTAAAAATGCGGGGGAATAAAAACACATCTAATGTCTAACTTTTCTACTTAAACCCCCCACCTCCTTTTTTTTTTTTTTTTTTTTTTTTGAGGAGAAACATAAATTGGCTGCCTCCCACACGCACTCCAACTGGGGATCAAGCCCGAAACCTAGGCATGTGCCCTGACAGGAATTGTACCGGTGACCTTTGGTGTACAGGAGTATGCTTAACCAATTGAGCCACACTGACCAGGGCTACTTAAAACCCTTTTAGTCCCCTTCTCCTTTCTGCATAAAATTAGAAGTAATCTGGCATACCAGTTATTCTGTTACTTGTTTTAAAATATATGGAGCACCAAATTCACGAATCACTTTGGTAGGTGATGTTTTAATGAAATAGGCATTGTCTTCACCATGTGTAGTCAGAAAGACAAGTGAAAAATAAACTTGGGAGGTTTGCTACAGGATAGGAAGTACTAGGCAGTTGTCTAAATGCTGCTGGGAATGATTCAGAAGGAGATGAATAATGTAGAAGACATACTGACAAAAAGAAATAAAGGTGTTGAGAAATAAGAGGGGATGATGGGATCCCCTCATAATGATGTGGGGTGACTGAGTTTGGGTAAGAGGGATTCTTCAGTTGTAACTGGATAAAAGATTGGGTGCTGAAGCAGCTAGATTTATAGATTTGATGATGGGAAGATGACTTTCATCTTCTGATGGTTTCTCAATGAAATATGAGGCAAAGTCTTCAGTTGAATAGAGAAGGGGGAAAATATATTACATGGTCATCTCAGCAGCAATGTGAAGTCATACTTGTTGCTTATTTCTCAACTCCTAAAGCTGCCTAGTAATTGTTTAAAATTTCCGATATTTTCATTACTCTTTTCTGGAAAAGTCATACTTGCTCTTCCAGATCATCTGGGCCACTACTCTTTATGCACCACACCTGGCACCTACCTCATTTCCATTATTATAATGCACTTTTTTTGTGTTTGCTTCCCCAAGTAGACTAGTAATCTTGAAAAGCTTGGTCTGTGTCCCTAGTGTGGGGCCCATGCAGGATATGTGCGGATTTTCAATAGGTGTTTAACATAAACTTTAAAGTCTTTTTTTCTGTGGAATTTGAAATTAGGACAATTAGCAGGTTATGAAAGTGCCAAGGACTAAGTAAACATTGAAATAAAGCAGCTCAGATATCTGTGTCCTTTTAAAAATGGCACTGCATTATGGACACACCACCACAATGGCATTCATTTAGTCCTTTTGTTTTATTCAAATGCCAAAACATAAGTTTCAAGATACAAACCGTAGTTATACTCAGTTGAGTTTGATTTAAAAACATTGATTATGTTTTGTTAACAACTTCCAAACCAAATGTGAGTTGTGACTAAAACGTCTCCAAGTCCATTTCTGGAGGATTACTCTTAATATATTTAGTAGCTACTTCAATTTTCACTCTACAAAAAGGAAAATAATGTCATAAGAGAAAGATAATGAACAGTTATAATATGAAAGACTTCCTGAGAAAAACTTAACCATTCCTATGGAGACTAACAAGGATACTTGTTTCTGTGCCACACTATAGCAGTCAGACTTAAACACTCTGCAAAAGTGCATTTCTGGTTCTACCTCAGCCATCGATATCTCACATCCCTTATTACATCATAGAAAGCCCAACTCTTAACAGGATTTAGAATTTGCTAATAGCTTAAGGTTCTCTTCCTGAGAAAAAGGGGATAAAAGGAAAAAGTCTATAAACCAAAAAATAAAAACAAACATTTCAATGTACTTTGATTTAAACAATTTCAAATAAGTTTGAACTGAATAGCATAAAAAATTACATCAATATTATAGAAGGGAAGAAAAAGCTTAAAAGGTACCCAAATATTTTAATATTTATGCAAACAAGTCATTTTCATTTTTAAGTCCCCCAAATTTCCCCCACTGTTTAATTTTATGCAGGTTGGGGCAAAAATAAGTTTACAGTTGTTGAGTATGTGGAACAGTTTACTCTTGTATTATTATTTATTAACTAGAGGCCCAATGCACAAAATCTGTGCAAGGGGCTCTGCCCTTGCAGCCCCTGGTTCATCCGAAGGTCGTCCAGAAGGACGCCCTGTCTAATTAGCATATTATGCTTTTATTATTATAGATTATTGTAATTATTTTCCATATGAACTGTAAATCCTTTGCCCCACCCTCTAACAAGGATTAATAACTTATATTGTAGTGTGACCGCATTAACTTATACTGATAGCAAAGCAGTTTTCTTTAATGTTCTATGAAGCCAAAAAATTAGACAAATATCCAGCACACAGAAAAACAAAACAAAAAATTAGCTGAGTATTTTAGGTAAATGCACAATATTAAGATATTTTATTTAGTTCAGCACATGGCTGTTATTATGACTGACGCTGCATGCTACTTTTAGTATTAAATGTAGTCTTTTTCTGAAGATTTATGGCAGACTTCAATTCCATCTGCTCACTCCTGGTACTAAAATGCGTTAAAGATGGCAAATAAATCAGAAAAGTCAGAAAAGATTGGCCTTTCTTATAGTACCAATTGGGAAGTTAGTGTCATGCTTAGCAGGTAAGAATAAGAATACAGCTAAACAAATCGTTAAAATAGGTTCTTCAGGATACTTTTTCCATGAAAATTTTAACTACTTGGAAACTACCTCTTCCAATGTTTAAGGTAAATAAAATTCTAATATTTTCAGGAAACAAATAAGGGTAAAAAAGATTAAAGAATGGTATTTCGATCTTCAATTTTAAAGAATTTATTTTCCCATTTGTAGAGTAACATTATTGTAAAATAGTTATTGCAACATCTGCATTGCCAAAGAACTCCTTAGAATTTTGTTTTAGCATTTTTTTTTAAAAACTGAACCAAAATAATGTACATTTTATCGCTGAACACTGTGTCATTAAAGTCCACATAATGTCTTTTGTACCAATCAATGTGATGTTACTTAATATACATGATCTGATTTTTATTCTAAAGGCTTCTGACCATGTATGATATCCAAGACAGATCCAATGCTTTTAATGTCAGACTGCAGAGACAGTTATGATCCTAAACACAGAAGGAAAGCTTTATATACAGGACAAAAGTCTGACAATTTAGCTGTTTGCAGCATCTGCCTGGCGAGGCCATCCTTCTTCTTCAACTCCAGAATCATACTCCTCTTCAGAGGATTCTTTTGTTGGAGCCCTATAAGAAAAAAACATGTTTTTTTAAATAAAAATGAGGAGTAAACATGATTTCTGGGCTCAACATTTTCCTTAACAAATGTATTACTGAAATAAATTGACAACAAGGCTTTAAAAAATCCATTTGCCCTAGCCAGTGTGGCTCAGTTGGTTAGAGTGTTGTCCCGTGCACCATAAGGTTGTGGATTCAATTCCTGGTCAGGGCATATATGTAGGTTACAGGTTTGATCCCTGGTTGGGATGCATACAGGAGGCAACCAATCGATATTTCTCTCTCACATCAATGTTTCTTTCTTTCTCTCTCTCCTTTTCTCTCCCTCCCTGCTGGAAGCCAATTCTAGCATGTCATAATTTCAAGAGTTTCATCAAAAGGTTGATGGAACTTGGGGACTCAACAGGGTTGAGTCACACATATGTAATCACCTGTTGGGAATGGCTAAAGGCATTTTCCCAAACCTGAAAAGGGATGATTGCTTGGCTGCCAGGCAGCTAAAGGGCATCTTAATCTAAATGTTATTGCCTCCTACTGGCCAAACACCTGAACAGCTGTAGGCTAATTCCCTCATTCTGACAATGCTTGTGTATACCCTTTGAAGTGTATATCTTTGCCTCGCCTCTGGACAAGTTGTGTTAATAAAAAGCATGGGTCTGTCCCTTTTCATCAGTCTATGGACTGAGAAACAGCAATCAGGCTATCAATCCCCAGAAGGAAAGTAGGGGAGGGCGGGGGTAAGGGGAAGAGATCAACCGAAGGACTTGTATACATGTATATAAGCCATACCAATGGACATGGACAACAGGGGGATGGGAGCATGAGTGTGTGTGTGGGGGAGGTTGGGGGTTAATGGGGGGGATGAGGACACATTTGTAATACCTTAACTAATAATAAAAAAAAAAAAAAAAAAAGAAAAAGCATGGGGTCCTGAGATGAGGAGAACTTAGCCAGCCGTGGGCAAACTACTGCCCGGGCCGGATCCGGCCAGTTTGAAATGAATAAACCTATGAAAAAAAAGACCGTACTCTTTTATGTAATGATGTTTACTTTGAATTTATATTAGTTCACACAAACACTCCATCCATGCTTTTGTTCCAGCCCTCCGGTCCAGTTTAAGAACCCATTGTGGCCCTCGAGTCAAAAAGTTTGCCCACCCCTGACTTAGACCTTAGAACTTAGATCTTAGCTTCCTTTAAGCTAAGCTCCTTTGACCCCCAAATGCCTTTCAAAATTATGCTTTGTCTCCGGACTCCTATTTAATCTACGCACAGCCTTCTCCAGATTTCCTGAACCCTTCTTAATGCTGGAACAAGAACCCCGACACCTCCCCTCACCATCCTTCCCCCTCTCTCTAAAAATCAATGAACATGTCCTCAGGTGAGGATTTTTTTAAAAATCCATTTTTCCAACAAGTAGCTGGAACCTATTATTTCAACTCAAATGCTTGACTTTTAGCATATGTCTATGGTAAAGAAGATGAAGCTCTGACCAAATCTAGTTTGACTCAAACTAATCAAAATTATGATCAGACCACTACAATTCCACTAATTAGACCTCTAATATATAGTAATGTCATTTAAAAACAAAAATAAAAGATTGTTCTTTGAATAACGAAAGTTGTTAAAAATCAGTCAAAGATTGTTCTTTGAGTAACTAAAGTTGTTCAAAATCAATCGCCTCCTAAGTTATCTCAGAAGATAAACAAACATAAAATATAACATACCTTGTGACAGTTAAAACAGAAATCTAGTTTTTGTGTAGGTAACATTAATGTCAAGCACTAAATAATATTTATTGACTACATCAGGTCAGTAAACTACAGCCTACAGGCCCATCATCTGTTTTGTAAATAAAGACTTAGAGTAATACAGACATCCTCATTCATTTACAGACTGTCTATGGCTGTTATCACACTGTGAGTAATTGCAAATACATACTGTATGGCCCTATAATATTTTGCCCTTTACATGAAAGTGTGCTGACCCCTGGAATAGATAAAGCAATGAAAGATGTATCAAATTTCTCAACTGATATGATACAAATTAGAGAAAAATTATGTCCACAAAGTTTTGGTCTTGTGAAAGACAGAAAACAAATCATTCACAAATTACAGAATTAGCAGTAAAGTTCACTTAAATTTTTTCATTTGGATTACTTTTATGTCTCTTTAAATCTTCTTCCTCAATGGAAAAAGTAGAGGCCAATTCTGAAGATCAATTTTCAAAAGACTCACAAAATATAATTTTATAAACCAAAATGAGAACATTTTTCTACAGAAAAGTTATGAGATTATTGCTTCCCTTATGAATATAAGGATTTTTATGCAATTTTTATGCCAAACCAATAAATTACAGCACTGAAAAGCTGATCTTAAATTTTAGAACTGTTCTAGCTTGACAGAGCAGCACCTTACCGGATGTATCCTGGTTCCTTTTTTCCTTCTACTACTTCTTTGTCAACCTCCACACATACAATATCAGAATTAGGGACTTCAAACATTGGTTCTAATAATAGCTTTTCCTAAAAAGACAGAAAGTAATGAATGGCATGGAAAACTGAGGTTACATATAACATACAAATCAAAGTCATTAACTCAGTAAACTTTACTGAGTCCTATTATGTACCAGGAACTGAAAGTTGCAAAAGTCAATGTAAAAGTTTTTATATTCATATTAAAACAGCTTCTAAATAAATTCAGAAAGAAGTCATTCTATAAGGGAAGGCTATTTGTCTGTACTTCTGCCTACTTAGGTCACCATGCACATACAAAAGGACTACATACTACATTTGGATGTCTTTCAAAAGCATTCCTGGCATATTCTATGATTAGTCTTACTTCAAAAATGATTATTCCTAAATCATCTCTACCAGGCTCTTCAATTTTTACCATGACTTCAAATAAGCTTTTGTCTCAAGTGCTTCAGATTTAAAGTTGTTTACTACTAATGCCCAGCTGATGAGGCTCAGTGGCTGAGCACTGGCCTATGAACCAGGAGGTCAGGGTTCGATTCCTAGTTAGGGCACATGCCTGGGTTGCAGGCTCGATCCCCAACAGGGGGCATGCAGGAGGCAGCTAAATGATGATTCTCTTTCATCACTGATGTTTCTCTCTCTCTCTTCCTCTCCCTCCCGCTCATTCAAAAAAATAAAATAAAAATCAATAAAAACATATTAAAGAAAACTTTACTAAAGGAAACTAGTTTCGCCTATAAGTTGGGGCTGGATTATATTCCATTTTAAGGAAAATCTGACCAAATCTGACTTGACTCAAACTAATCAAAATTATGATCAGACTACCACAATTCCTTTATATAGTAATGTCATTTAAAAACAAAAATAAAAGATTGTTCTTTGAATAACTAAAGTTGTTCAAAACCAATCAACCGCCTCTTAAGTTATCTCAGAAGATAAGCAGACATCAAATATAACATACCTTGTGACAGTTAAAACAGAAACCTAATTTTTGTGTAGGTAACATTAATGTCAAGCATTGTATAATAAATATTGGTTGAGTACAACAAATTTCTTTTAAAATGTCAACGCTATCACCTACTTTTCTAATGTGCATTTTTTATATAAATCTGTCCTTAATCAGTAGCACCTAAAGTCTAGGCCTTCATTAGTGCAGTAGAACCTTGGTTCTCAAACTTAATTCATTCCAGAAGGTTGTTCAAGAAGTGACTTGCTGAACCGGTTTGGCTCAGTGGATAGAGTGTCGGCCTGCGGACTGAAGGGTCCCAGGTTCGATTCCGGTCAAGGGCATGTACCTTGGTTGTGGGCACATCCCCACTGGGGGGTGTGCAGGAGGCAGCTGATCGATCTCTCTCATCGATGTTTCTAACTCTCTATCCCTCTCCCTTCTTCTCTGTGGAAAATCAATAAAATATATTTTAAAAAAAAAGAATCAAGGGCGGGGGAAAAAAAGGGCACATATGTAATACCCTTTGTAAGACTGTAAGCAATAAAATAAAATAAATAAAAATTAAAAAAAATTAAAAAAAAAGAAGTGACTTGTTCAAAAAACAGAATCATTTTTTCCCATTAGAAATAATGCAAATTGAATTAATCCATTCCAGACCCCCAAATGATTCCATTTTATCCTTTCTTATACACAGTACATGTCTAATGTACTGTTTAATCTATAAATAAACACTTCTTCAATTTATCAAACCACCCCCTACTAACCTTAAAGGAACCACTTTCAGCACTTGTTCCAGGGGTGTCTTTCAGGTCTGTATGCAGCATTTTTGCTTGTTCATATATCATTGCCTCCTAAATGCTGTCACTGGCTAACTAATTTTCATTTATCCAAATCAACAAGTATTTCTACCTGGTTCAATGCTTCTTTCACACCCTTAGCAACATGAGCACTCTTGGCCTCTTTATGCTTTAAAATTGTGCTAATTGTTTTTCTGCCAGCAACAAAAGTATTCTCTCTTTTGTTTGTTTCCTTCGAGACACTTTTTGTCATGCTGTGGTATCAGCATGAAAGGGTTGTCAGGTCTAAAAATGAAGTTTGGTTTGATAACCAAGACATTTTTTTCTGTGAGTCTGGTCCAGAACTGAATTGTTCAAGATGGGATATATTCGAGAAAAGAGGTTTGACTGTATAATCTCAAAATGTCCTACTGAGATGAAGAAGTAATATTTAGCAGTGAAATCCTTAAAAGAACATAGGAACATGATCTTGCTTTGGAAGTATGTAGGGAAATAGTAACACACTGTACAGCCAGGCTGTGCAGGTAGGGGAGAGAGCTCTAAAGAAGAAAGTGGGTTGTGGCTGAAAACAGACTGGGTCTCTAGGATTTGTTACAAAATAAAAAAAAGTTCATGCCATACTGAAAAATTTAGTGGTACAGGATCAAGGTATTTGCAAATGAATTTCAAGCAAACAAACACAAAAATGAGGATTTCAATGGGTCTGAAAAAGCACTCTGGGGCTTAGACCAAAGGCCTGTGTGGAATTTTCTGAAATTCTCCCTCCCTTGAACCTGATTTTTCTCTATTTCATTAATCATAGTATGTGTATCCTTTGTTGCAAATATCTTAAAGTTTCTTTTTAGAAAGAAGAAAAATATAATCTACTATGACAATTTAAAACAACCACAAAAGCACTTGGGCAACTCTCTGGATATATTTCCAAAGGAAAAACATGGAGTATTAATATTCTCAAAACTAAGATAAATAAATAATCTAGTTTTTGTAATAATAACACCAACTTACCATTATGGACCGAAGACCTCGTGCACCTGTTTTTCGTTCTAGTGCCAATCTGGCTATAGCTTTCAAAGCATCCTCAGTAACATTCAGTTCACACTAAAAATAGATTTAAAAGAAATAAGAACTTAGATAATACTTGGTGATATTTTCCTAATTAACCATATAGCATTTCATCTATTAACTGTTACTACCTACCACCATTACTAGTCTATTTAGAACAAAAAGGAAGCAATGCCTAGACTTTACAGATAAGAAAGAGCCAGAGGGGTAAGTACACTCACTTAGAAATACCGGGCCAGAATCTTATGTTTTGACTGACCCTATCTATCCCTTTTCAGAATAAAGGATTTTTAGACTCTCAATTTCTTACTAGGAAACATACATTTTAAAGAGTGTTACTAAACTTTAGATAAGCCTCTCTAAATTACCACGCATTTCAAAATAGAGTTCAAATTATTGAGAATATACCACCAAGACATTTTCAAAGTACTTTGGAACATAAATTTTATAAAACCTTAGTATTAAGCATCTTTTGTTATTAATTTCTACCTCCAGAAAACATAAAATTTAAGTGAGATATTTGTCTCTCATGGTTTAGAACCTTGCTTTCAAGAAGCACCACTCGCCCTGTACAGCTCAGTTGGTTGGAGTGTCGTCCCATCCACCAGAGGATGGCGGGTTTGATTTCTGGTCAGAGCACAGGCTCAGGTCACAGGTTCAATCCCTGGTTGGAGCACGTGTGGGAGGCAATCTAGCAATGTTTCTCTTTCATAATGATGTTTCTCTCTCTCTCCCTCCCTTCTTCTAAGATAAAAAACAACAAAAAACCCCCCACCAATTGTTTCTATCAATTAACCTATTTTGTCCTTAATTCTTGAAAAGATTTTTTTCTAGATTAACATGGACTTTCATTCAACAATTACTGAACCCCTTATGTGATTATATTTTAGAGACTAAATGATGAATGAGACACTCTCTTGGACATCAAAGAACTTACTCTACTAGGTGGTGACAAATTAGCAAACCACCATTTACAACACAGTGTATGCACATTGTGCTAAGGGAGCACCAAAGTGGGGGCATCTAAATAAGACCAGGGGACCAAGAAGGATTTTAAGGAGGAGTGTAAGATAATTAGCTTTGTGTTTACTCATTCAACAAATATTTATTAAGAACTTAACAGCTGTTTGCTGGGCACTGTGCTTAATAATTTAAAAACGGTCTGATCTGGAAGTAAAGTGGAAGATAATGATGGTGGTGATGGTCATAAACAGATTTGAGACAGGAAAACTGACCAATTAGGAACCAAATGCATGGGGTCAAGACAAAGGAGCTTGAGTTGAGGTAATGGCAAGGCAATGGAGAGGAGACTACTATTTAGAGATACTAAGTTAATAAAACCCAAAACATCTGCTATCAGATTGACTGTGTGGGTCTGAGTGACCTCCAGGTGCCTGGTACAGAGAAGTAAATGTGGGAGCTAATAAAACTTTATAGAGAAAACCATATAAAAGTATACACAGTATAACACAACAAAAGCATTTAGACTGTCAAGGCTGAAAGGACAATCCTGTGTCTGGCTTGAGGGGTTTAGAGTAGGCTGCTGGAATAATCTGTAATAATAAAAGCATAATGTGCTAATTAGACAGGACATCTTCCGGATGAAGCTGGGGCTGCACGGGAAGCCTGGGTCCTGGGTGCCTGCCAGCGGCCAGAGGGAAGCCAGGGTCTCGGGTGCCAGAGGGAAGCTGATGCCGGCAGCCAGGGGGAAGAAAGGCCTACTCTTGCATGAATTTCATGCATTGGGCCTCTAGTATATATATATTTATTTATCTTTAAACTTTAAACTACAATGAAGATTTTAATTGTGACAAAGCCAACTCATAAATGTCTAATATAATAAAATGTACCTTCCCTGATTCAAGATCTATATATAATGAGGAATAGGCTGGTATTCCAGATGAATATGACTGCTTTTTTATTTTTATTTTTTTATATTTTTTGTTTTTATTGATTTTTTATAGAGAGGAAGAGAGAGGAATAGAGAGTTAGAAACATCGATGAGAGAAACATCAATCAGCTGCCTCCTGCACACCCCCTACTGGGAATGTGCCCCCAACCAAGGTACATGCCCTTGACCAGAATCGAACCTGGGACCCTTGAGTCCGCAGGCCGACGTTCTATCCACTGAGCCAAACCAGTCAGGGCTGCTTTTTTATTTTTTACTAGAGGCCTGGAGCACAGATTCATGCACCATTGGGGTCTCTCGTCCCTCGGCCTGGCCTGTGGGGATCAGGCCAAAACTGGCTCTCTGACATCCTCCAAGGGGTCCCAAATTGCAAGAGGGCGCAGGCCAGGCTGAGGGACACCACCGGTGCACGATCAAGGCTGGGGAGGAACCTCGGGAAGGCTCCAGGGCATGTCTGGCTCATCTCGCCCAGTCCTAATCGGCAGGACCCCAGCAGCAAGCTAATATACCAGTCGGAGCGTCTTCCCTCTGGTGGTCAGCGTGCTTCATAGCAACTGGTCAAACGAACGGTTGGACACTTAGCATATTAGGCTTTTATATACACAGATGCTAATATGTGCAGTTTCAATAGCAAAAAACATTAACTAAGTATGAAAAATAAAAATCTAACCTTATCCATGCTGAATAAGGCCTGGTACTGAGGAATAACAGCATTACGCGGCTCAGTTAGTATTTGTACAAGTGTTTTCTCATCTAGGCTATGTAAAGGAACTACAACAGGCAACCGTCCCACAAACTCAGGAATCATGCCAAATTCAATGAGATCTCTTGCTTCTACATGACGTAATAATCGATCTTTTTCTTCAATGTCTTGGTGAGTATTTGATTCGCCACTTCGATTGGCAAGGTCTGCAGCAGCTGCAGCCCTTCTGCCTTTTCCAAGATTTGATGGTGTTCCAAATCCAAGATACTGCCAAAGAACAGATGGATGTTATAAACAGCAGAATGAAGTTGCATTGTACTAAGTACTTTGCATGCATGTCTCATGTGATCTTTGCAACAGAAGAAAGTTCTATCATCATTCACATTTTACAAATAAAGCAAATGGGTCTAGAAAGATTAAGTACCTTGTCAAAGCTCTTGTTGCTGAAGTGGTAAAGGCAGGATTTGAACTCAGGTCTATCTACCTTCAGAATTGAGAACCTATAATAACCAACTCTCAAAGAATGATTTCTAGTAAAGTAGATAAGAAGTCCTTAGAACTCAGATAATGATATTTGAGTTTTTCTGAGACCTGTGAACTAGTGTGATTTCCAAAATAGGTAAGAACTGTGAAAATGGAGACGGTAATTATTGTGTAACCAAAGTTAATTTTATAATACTTTAAACAGGAGTAGTGCCTTCAGAACAAGCAGCATGATAAAGAAATTATCCAGCCCTAGTTGCTTTGGCTCATGGATAGAGCGTTGGCCTGCGGACTAAAGGGTCCCAGGTTTGCCCTAGCCGGTTTGGCTCAGTGGATAGAGTGTCGGCCTTCGGACTCAAGGGTCCCAGGTTCAATTCCGGTCAAGGGCATGTACTTTGGTTGCGGGCACATACCCAGTAGGGAGTGTGCATGAGGCAGCTAATCGATGTTTCTCTCTCATCAATGTTTCTAACTCTCTATCCCACTCCCTTCCTCTCTGTAAAAAAGTCAATAATAAAAATATACAAAAAAACAAACAAACAAAAACACATTTATTAAAAAATAAATAAATAAAATAAAGGGTCCCAGGTTTGATTCTGGTCAAGGGCATGTGCCTGGGTTGCAGGCTTGATCCCCAGTGTGGGGTGTGCAGGAGGCAACCAATCAATGATTCTCTCTCATCACTGATGTTGCTATCTCTCTCTCCCTCTCCCTTCCTTTCTGAAATAAATAAAAATGTATTTTAAAAAAATTATCCACAAGGGTCTTAAGTCACTGCTAAGCATTCTATTAAAATCATGATTTGGGGTTGCATATATCAACCTATGAATTAGAATAATTTAAGATTAGATTTTAAGAAGAACACATAAGGATAACATCAAACAAGAATGCTAAGTTTGCTGCAAAAGGTTGGACCTCTAAGGTGTATGGATCTTGCTTCAGTCAATATAAAAGAATTATACTTAGGTCAGTGGTCGGCAAACTCATTAGTCAACAGAGCCAAATATCACCAGTACAACGATTGAAATTTCTTTTGAGAGCCAAATTTTTTAAGCTTAAACTATATAGGTAGGTACACTGTTATTTACTTAATAATTTTGGATTGAGTACTTAGTATTAACAACATGAGTTCAATACACTAATATATTTATGGAATGCCTATTATGTGTCTAAGGCTGGAGATAACATGACATCCTTCTGGAACTTACATTCTAGTGAGGAAGATCAACTTTAAATAAATAAATAGTCACATCAAATAATTGCAGTTGTCATGAGTGCTAAGGAAGGAAATAAACAGTAAGCGAGAGAAGTTATTTAGCAAGGTTAGGCATTTAAACCCCTCTAAGCAGATAAGTTTCATTTTATAATAATAAAGCCACCAAACAAAATAATTACAATTCTTAAATTGATGACAAAAATACCTGTAGGATTTGCAGCTGGTTGGAAAAATACAGGCAACTTTATGCTTCGAGTAGGTACTTTTGTCACCAGTGTACGTTTTTCGGACGTGACTAGCACTAACCACTGCACATGAGACTGCTGACTGACTGGCTCACTCAACTCATGCATGAATCACGTGCGCCTCCCGGGTGCTGCGTATCCCGCAGCCCGCCTGCGCCGTGTCTCCCCTTGTCCGACCGACCGACACCCCCCACTTAGAAACTTCTTCAAAATAGACTCGCCCAGGCCGAAAACCGACTTCTGCACATGGGCCACTAAGTTTCAATCGCACTGTACATGCCCACACGTGGTATTTTGTGGAAGAGCCACACTCAAGGGGCCAAAGAGCCACGGTTTGCCGACAACTGCTCTAGGTAATTATCAGAAAGCTTAATTTTGATGTCATACAGCTTTGTCAAAAGTATAAGCACATGATGTATGAGAAAACAGAGTAAGTTAAAAATCAATTCCTCTCTCCTGGCAGGTGTGGCTCAGCAGTTGAGCGTTAACCCAGGAACCAAGAGGTCACCAGTTCAATTCCCAGCCAGGGCATATGCCTGGGTTGTGGGCTCAATCCCCAGTGGGGGATGTGTAGGAGACAGCCGACTGATGGTGTTCCTCTCTCACTGATGTTTCTCTCTCTTTATCCCTCTCCCTTTCTCTCTCTCTGAAAAAATCAATAAAAACATATTTTTAAAAAATCAATTCCTCTGATTCTCTAAGCTGTGTACATGAACAGTGTATAGGAAAGCAAAATACCTTTCATTCAATAATTTAAACACTTATTAAGCATATTTCATATATAAGCATATCTAGTAATAAATGTATACATATTTTTATGTAAGTATAAACATTAAGCAATTACTACAGTGGTTCTCAACCTTCCTAATGCCGCGACCCTTTAATACAATTCCTCATGTTGTGGTGACCCCCAATTTCATTGTTACAAATTGAACATAATTAAAGCATAGTGATTAATCACAAAAACAGTATGTAATTATATATGTGTTTTCCAATGGTCTTAGGTGACCCCTGTGAAAGGGTCGTTCGACCCCCAAAGGGGTCACGACCCACAGATTGAGAAACGCTGAATTACTATAAAACACTGGGGATACAAACCTGAACACAGTCCTTACCCTAAAAGGGCTTACTGAGAGTGAGAACACATGAAGGTATTAAAGTATCATAGATGTAATAAAGAACAACTGTACAGCAAACAATGACAGTGGCAAGGTGGAAAAGGCACATGCAGGGGAGTGAAGGTAGGAGGTGAAAGCCTTCACAGAGGAATTGCCTAATCATTTAACAGACTAAGTCTTTAAGGATGAACACTTATTTGCCAACTAGATTGAGTAGTGGAGGGCATGAGCTAAAGGAATAAAACTTAGGACTACAGCACTTTGATACGGTTGGAATAAAAGTATATTATTTAACACTAGAGGCCTGATGCACAAAATTCGTGCAAGAGTAGGCCCTCATAGCCCTGGCTTCGTCTGGACAGTAGTTCTGCTATTCGGCCATTTGGTTGATTTGCATATTACACTTTTATTATTATAGATTAGTATAGATAGATTGTAACTCTGGCTTTCAGTGAGGGTTGATAAAACAAAAGACATGTGTTTAGGATTAAATGTGTTTAATCCTCTGTAAAATCACAGTTGAAGACCCTTATGAAAAGGAATTTTCATAAAGATCTATATGACAAACTTTTTTAATCTCTCTCCTCAAGACCTCATATGACCCAAACCTTCCTTCTATATGCTTTTAATCTCTTTTCTCATATTACTTTTAACTGTTCTTTTCTACATTTTAGCTTCAAATTCTCTTTTGAAATTATGAATTATAAATAAATATCAGAACATGGTCCCTGCCTTAGGTTACAGAATTTCAAATATAAAGTTATCTTTCTCTCTCTCACATACACACACAGAGAAATAACATCTTTCTAATTTATTTGGCTAATTTATGCAAAATTTCAAAAGCAAAAAAAACCCCACCAATTAAGAATATGGAAATGCTATCCGTGCTGAGTAAGGCCTGGTACTGAGGAATAACAGCATTACATGGCTTTGTACAAAAGTTTTCTCATCTAGACTATGCAAAGGGATTACCACAGGCAACCCTTCCATTAGCAGCATTGTATTTTTATACTACTAAACTGCTACTAAAACTAGTGCATGCAAAGCCAAGGAGAGAGACTTAAAGCAAGTGATACAGCAAAGAGCTGATATGATATATTCATTTAGGTAGAATGTTATGTAAAAGGGATGATTTGTGGCTAGGCATTATATAAAACACATGGAAAATACAGGTCTTTTGGGCTTCTATGTTGCTATTATATTTTACTATAATCAGTCAATAAATAGATACTGGACATGTACCTTGAAGATATGAAGAAATAAGTTCCAGTTAAAAATTAAGGTTTATAAGAATATTCAGGAAACAGAGATAAAACTATGTGGGATTCACAACCCTTGCTCCAATCCCCAAATTGCTCCCTTCCATTTGTCAGCAGGGGCAATGGAGACCAGCTCTTTATTGGGCGTCAGTGAATTGAGTAAGAGGAATGAATAGAAATTTTACTGATACAACACCTACCTCAAATAATAAAATAACACCTTAAAGGAAATAGAAAATTGATATAATCAAGTTATACTTTTTAAATGTCCAAATATATATATAGTCCCAAAAAATATATACACACTTTAACAGCTGATAACTCACTTTTCACTCCTTTTCAGGTTTAACTGATTTGAAATAATGGGTGAAGTCAGATTAAGCTTTGAACAAAGAAAATTTTTCCTGAAGTGCCACTAGACTTTTTTTTATGAGGATACATAAAAGATAAAGTTTATGGTATAAAACCAGCAACAATCAATGAATTGAGGGAGCACAAATACCAAATGAAATGATTCTTGATGTTTGAGATTCTATTGCTTCACTAGAGGCCTGGTGCACAAAATTCATATGGGACCCCTTGGGGGATGTCTGGCTGCCGGTTTAGGCCCCATGGGATGGGGTCTAAATCGGCAGTCAGACATCCCTCTCACAATCCAGGACTGCTGGCTCCTAACCACTTGCCTGCCTACTGTCTTGATGGCCATCTAACTGCTCCCCTGCCAGCCTGATGGCCCCCAACTGCCCTTCTTGATGACCCCCAACTGCCCACCCCTGCTGGCCTCATAGCCCCCAGCTGCCCTCCCCTGCTGACCTCATGGCCCCCTACTGCCCTCCCCTGCTGGCCTGATTGCCCCTAACCACCTCTGCCTCAGCCCCCACCACCGTGGCTTTGCCCGGAAGGAAGTCAAACAGTAGGAAGATGTCCAGTCTCTCGGTCTAATTAGCATATTACCATTTTATTAGTATAGATGTTATCAGCTGTGCCTGGACCAGAACAGTCATCAGTTTAAAAACAGGCACTGACGAAAAAAACAATATTCATTTCTGTAGATTCTTTTACATTTTGAAAATGAACTGTATGTTAATAAGTACTGACTAATCATTCCAAGTGTGTATACATTTTTTGGGGACATCCTGTATATGGATGATATTTAGAGATATTCTAATTTGCTAGTCTAAAATAAAAAAATTAAAAAAACTAGAAATATGTTTCTGGTATGCTCTAAGAAAACCTTAACTCTTTAAAATTCACAAATGGCAGCCAGCACATATGAGAATAGAAAATGAGTATCCATCCTCTGTAACTTCAAATGTTCTGTATCCCAGTAACTCCTCAGAAAAACTTACCTTTTCATTTTTCCTCCTGCTGATGATTCTATCTAAACCATTGAAAGCACCAGATGCAACAAACAGGATGTTTGTTGTATCAACTTGTACTGTTTCTCCACGTAACTTGCGGGAATTCTTTTCTGGAACATTGACTATTGTGCCTTCTAGTAGTTTCAATAAGCCCTATAGAATGAATGATTTTTAGCATCATCATATAAGTGCATTATTTATTATACTTTAGATAATGGGATTCAATGGGGAAAATAATATGTGGTTATGGTCAATGAGCATAGCTAAAGAAAACTCCATTTCTAGAAGTAACATGAAAATCTAATGCACTATCACATTAATAATTAATAAATTTATCTGGAATAGTTTCGAGACTCCTGATGCATTTAGAAATCAATCAACTGAGAGGATGTTTTTAACAGTAAAGACATAATTCTGACATCAAGACAGAATTATGCCTCTAAGATGGTACCCAACCATTGTAGGAACATTCAAAATTTTGAAAATAGTTAAAGATTTATCTTTCATATAAATAAAAATTTTATTATACTCCTAGTATTAAACTTTGAGAATATCTATATTTTGAGATGCCTTTATAAAAAATTATCCAGCACATCTTCTAACTGTGATTGTACCTCTCTATGTCTGATCAGAAAAAGAAAGCAATTTCCTTATCCTGTAATTATGTCATAATTAGTTACCAGTAAAAGGTCATTTGACCAATATATTGTTAGGACTTCAATTATGACCCTACAAGGAATGAAACACTATTTTATCACACCTTATAACTAATTGAAAAGAGTAAGATACAAGTATACATAGTTCATCTGTGTCTAGTTAGAACCAGAACTTTCTTTAAGAGTCCTCTAAATACGTTTAACTGGGCCTTTGAGGAATAAAATCAACAGAAATTAAATTTCACTTTTTTTCTGTTCTTTAAAATATTTTCAATTTCCTAAGAAAGGTTATTTGGTATTTAAAATTGCCAAGAGCTTTCTCTTAGGATCTGAAGTACATTAAAGTGGTTATGTGGAGTTTGGGGGTGGGAAAAATAAACAAAACAGAATCTAATTGAATATGAAACCAAACGTACAATATTGGGAGGTTGATGTATTCCCTTCCTTTTAGTGGGCTTGAACAAAATATTCAACTGCTTACTTGCTGAACGCCTTCTCCACCTACATCCCGTAACTGATGAATGCCTGGCACACTGCCAATCTTATCTACTTCATCCAGAAAGACAATTCCTATAATTTAAGGAGGAGTCTATTTATAATATGAAAAAGATATACACAAGATCACCTCAGCTTTTAAATACTAGGTAGCCAGAAAGCAAGGTTATTTGATCTTTCACACTTAACATATAGAAATATATAAACATGAACTGCTATCTGTCCCATTCATCATTTCGTGCAAATGTTTTATAATTCATTTTATAGAATATCACTTGGGTATGATAACTAATTCTCTCTGACAATAGCAGTCTGTCCCACTCATGTTTTCAGGTTCTTTATTCTAGGAGCTGAGAAAGAGGCATGGTGTAGATTCTAGAAGCATGACGTACATGTAGTGCTGATACTAGTAAAACTTTGGCTTACTCTTTCCCAACTATATTACTGTCTTAAAGGAATTTGTCGACCTCTTCATGTAAACAAGGACAGATGCTAGATGGGGAAAGGAGAAATGCAGCATCTATGATATCCCATAGGGCAACAGGCTAATCTGTTTCTAGATTCATCTTGCACTCCGGTCTCCTTCCCCTCCCCACCCCAGCAATCAGTCTGGAGGAGAGTCAGAACAGCAAACACAATGATAGTATTAAGGATCTAACAGAATAATAATTTAGCCAATTTTCACCCTAGTAATCAACTAATGACAATAGGACAAAGCAAACTTTGTGGCCCTTTGTCAGTATACTAGAAAACATTTAACATAGGTACTTATATGTAATGACAGAATTTTACTCGATTCAAAATAATAATTACATTAGCTCTTACTGAATATTAGACTGCTTCCTCAATAGACTACATCTGGGGATAGACAAGCAAGTTATTCTGAAAACATACCTTGTTGTGCTTTTTCTACATTGTAATTGGCATCTTGGAGCAGTTTGGCAATCACAGATTCAATATCTTCACCTACATATCCAGCCTGAGTCAAAGTTGTACAGTCACAGATAGCAAAAGGAACATCAAGGCATTTAGCTAGAGTTTGTGCCAGCAGAGTTTTACCTACAAATAGAAACAGTAACTAAAAGTTTACTGAAAATATGTTGAAGTACAAATTTTCTACTAAAATACAAAATAAATTGGAATAGTATATAAGAAGAAAATCACTGAGCCCTAGCCGGTCTGGCTCAGTGGATAGAGCGTCGGTACGGCCTGAAGAGTTACAGGTTTGATTCCTGTCAAGGGCACATGCCCAGGTTGTGGACTAGATCCCCAATAGGGGGTATGCAGGAGGCAGCCAATCAATGATTCTCTCTCATCATTGATGTTTCTCTCTCTCCCTCTCTCTTCCTCTCTGAAATCAATAAAAAAAAAAATTATAAAAAAAGAAAATCACTGCTACATCTTTTCTCCACTATTATTCAGATCTAATGTCATTTTACTTTTATTATTCCTAATAAGATGTTAGAAATTGGCCTAAAGGGCAATACCAAGGTCTCAAATTCAGCTTGGAGCCTATGCAGAAATACTGATAATGTATGAATAAGATTGGCCTTAGATTTTTTTCTCAAGAGCCAAGTTCTCTCAGTCACAAAACACAGGTTACAAAATCATTTATATTCTATTTTTTAAAATGAGTAGTACATTTTTTCAGGAAGTTATTTACCTGACCCAGTTGGTCCAAGCAGCAAAATATTACTCTTTTCAAGTTTTATGTCATCATGGGCAGAATCCAATACTTCACCTCCTCGTTTTTCCTGAGGCATTTGTTGATTTACCTGTTGCTGCATTGATGCTCCTAAAGCATTACCATGTGGACTAATTCCAGCTATCTGAAGCAATTCTGAAAAAAAGTCAAAGGAATTACTAGAGTTTCATTTTTATTTGAAAAAATGTCTAATAAAACCTTATGTCTAAAACCAATCACTTATTTAGAAAAATTTAAGTATTTTGGCAATCTGTCTTACCTAAAAAGAAAGAAAATTTCCAGTTATCTAGTGACAAAATTGCAAGGCACAGTGATTATTTAGGGAACCTCAAGCAAAGAAAATTGATTCTTTTTATCCTCTCCTCCTATTTATGTAAACCTGTATGAGCCCTTCACTCAAGGGAAGGCAATATAATGGAAAGAGAACAGTGTTAGGAGTCAGAAAACCTTAGTTTTGATCCTTTGTCTGTAAATGGCTATATGATTTGGGGCAAGTCTATAAACTTAGTGCTGTTTCCTAATCTATAAAATGGAAACAATTAAGTATAAGAATAAAATGCAATTGATTTGGAGGCACCTGAAAGATAAACAAAGATTTTTTTTTTTTTCGGTACATATGAAAAGAAACATAGCTGTAGAGGAAAACACTGAACTAAGAAATAGAGAACTTGGTTCTGGTCTTATAGGTCCATGGCAAGTCACTTAACTTTACTGGGCCTGCTACCTTACTATAAAGTGAAAATACTGAGCCATATAATCTCCAGTCTCTTCCACATCTAAGAATAATTCTGTGAGTCTCCCAGAGAAACCAAATATGGTAAGACTCACTATCCCCGGCCCTATCTGAATCTAATTTTATAGAATCTCCACTGGATCTTTCTAGTCTCTATATTAAAGATACAAAGCTTAAGTAGATGGGACTGATATTGTTGGTGAACTATCAGTTTATCAGCAGATCTCTAAAACTAATCATACTTGCTTGTATATTCTGAATTTATTTTTAGGTTGTTTCTAATAAATGGGCTAAGAATATCAGTACTTTCCAATGCATTATTTTAATGAAACCAATAGTGTGAGCAGACACAAATATTTATGGTCCTTTCCATCTGGCGGTCACTTTCAAACTATCTTAGTGGTCACACTTAAGGTAAAGTGTTATTCTACTCATCAGAAATAATAGGATTTAATAAACATTTGAATTTAAATAAACTGCACTACAGTTGAGAATTAATGATTGACTAACTCAAAATGCTATGCCTCATTACCATCCACATCATGCAAAAAAAATGCAGTCCCCTATTTTAGTGAAGTTAGCTAGTTGTCCCTAACAAAATTGTTTGTTTTTTAAATTTCAGCAAAATCTAGATAGAAATTGTGACAATATAAGAAGAGGCTGGCTCAAGTATAGGTCTGTCCCATAAGGAAAAAATAATTTAGGTGAATAATTTGAATTAAGTCGCAAGAAGCACATTAACTACAATGGAGTCACATGATGCATGTATTTAACTTACTCAATGATTTAAGTTTTAAAAAGAGGAATACTTTAAATAGCGCAGAACAGTTATGTTAATTATTACATTTTATGAAAATATGCCACAGTAAACTTGAGATAACTCTCCTGTTCTTTTGGTTAGTCTCTGTTTCTGCATATCTCCACCTGCAAAAGCACCTCTCTATAATGAGCAGAACGATGGACAGGCAGGCTAGCACAGTGATTAGATGCATGAACATCATCAGCTGTGTGTGGCCCTGGACAAATTACTTAAAATTTCTGTGCTTCAATTTTCTCATCTGTAAAATGAGAGTGAAAATACATTTTTGTCTTACAGGTATTGGAAAGATTAAATGAGTTAATATATGTAATATATGTGCCTGGCAGATCCTATAATAAAAGGCTAATATGCAAATTGACTGAACGGCAGAATGACCAGTCGCTATGATGTGCACTGACCGCCAGGGGAAGATGCTCAGTGCAGGAGCTGCCCCCTGGTGGTCAGTGCACTCCCACAGGGGGAGCGCCACTCAGCCAGAAGCCCTGAGCTGGGCTCAGGCTGGTGAGTGCAGGCGGTGGTGGGAGCCTCTCCCACCTCCGCAGCAGCACTAAAGATGTCCAATTGCTGGCTTAGGCCCGCTCCCCGCCAAGGGCTCCCGAACTGGAAGAGGGTGCAGGCCGGGGTGAGGGACTCCCCTCCCCCCACCCCAAGTGCATGAATTTCATGCACCGGGCCTCTAGTAGTTTTATAAGTGTCATAGAAGAATTTGCTATCAGCATTGCTATTTTGCTAGTGTTTAATTATTTCTATAATATAGCCCTTAAATGGAAGCCAACTGTTTCATCTGATGCTCAGCTTAAGAAAAACACCTGTTCCAATGATGGAGAAAAAACTATCATCTTTTTTTTAAGTTGGTTTTCTCTTCTTTTTGTACAAGGAAATGAACAAGCTCATGGACAAGACCTGAATAATGTTGCAGTCCCAGTTTCCAGTCACTTTGTTCCAAGTACAGACTGTAAATTTTTATGGCATGGGGTACATCTACCATCAGTCGTCAGTTTTATTATGTAGTATGTTGGTATCATGTGATTTCCAAAGGAACTTTCAAGAATATTTTGATTATATATCTCTTTGGCCTAATGCCTTAACTTTAGAACTTAAAACCCCACATAAGACAAGACTAAATTATACTGAAAATAAATTCTATTTAAGCTTTCAATATATTAATTTTCAAGTCAATCAATATATATATAATTATAAATTGCTTTTACCTAAGTTTGTAAGTAGTATTACTTGTTAACATTTAAATTACATTAAATCACTACATATGTCATATATATATTTATATTCACTATAAATTTTTCTTTACTAGTTTTACAAGCCATCTGCCCAAATTTATGAATATTGACAGCATATTTGATTATATTTTTTGGTTATAAAATATGTATTATACATGCACTTAAACTGTATTATTTAGATCTCACAGTCTTACATGTAATCTAATTCTACTACACTTACTGTGTTTCTTAATTTTATCATGCATGCTATAATCATTTCCATACAATTTAAAAATAACTAGAGATAATATCATTCTATTACTTAAAATAAATCTCATGCCAGAGTTGGTAAACTGATTATGTTCTCATGGCACATCCTATATATATAGTACCACTTCAATTAGTAGGTATATAATACTGATTAGTCAAAGGCAAAGTAAAAGTATCAAACTTAAGTGAATAAGTGAAAAATGTTCATACTGGTTTGCTATCTGTTTACTTGTGTTTGTTATTTTAATTACTGAAACAAAGGCCACATAAATCTTTTTATGATATCCCTGGAATCTTCACCCTCTCTATGTAGCAATTATATCCACCTCCAAAGGAATGGGTGCAAGACATCAGAATAGCCACTATCCTTGATGTATCAGGTCCTTCCACACCAGGGGTCCTCAAACTACGGCCTGCGGGCCACATGCAAATACAAATATTGTATTTGTTCCCGTTTTGTTTTGTTACTTCAAAATAAGATATGTGCAGTGTGCATAGGAATTTGTTCATAGTTTTTTTTAAACTATAGTCTGGCCCTCCAACAGTCTGAGGGACAGTGAACTGGCCCCCTGTTTAAAAAGTTTGAGGACCCCTGTTCCACACCCTCTCTATCAGACTTTCTGATGCTTACAGGGGCAATCCAGGGCTAGAAACAGTGAGTTGGGTTTATTCATAATTTACAAGCTACACTAAGCTTCATATACACTAAAAAATAAAGTGTGGTTTTTGGCAAAGAGTAGCCATAAAATAATAGACTTTTCCCAAAATTTCTGTCACTTATAATTATGCATACCAACACTAACTGTAAAGCAAAAAAAAAAAAAAAAAAAATATATATATATATATATATATATATATATATATATGGCAAACTATAAATTTTTACAAATACAACTCCTGTTATTATGTAGGTCCACATTTATAGAGAAAAACTATATATAATACTTTTTATCTCTCCACATTATGCTTTACAAAATACAACAAAATAGATCAAATCAACTACCTGAAATAAGCCAACATATACAAACTACACAAATTAGTTATGAAAAACTATTCCAAAGTTATATATACCATATATGACAAACATGTTTATATAATATACAGTATCTTTCTTGGTAATACGCAAACAAATACATGTCCCCCATTACTATTGCTGACATACTTCACTGAGGTAAATCTCAAAGGGAAGAATGATTACAGAGGACCTGAGGAAAGGTCACTTACTTGTAAATCTGTACTCATCCTCTCGTCTTCTTATTTCTAACTCTAAGAAAGAGGATGAAAATGGCAACATGAAAATATATATTTGTTTAGGGGAACAAACAAGGAGTAGTCGACTTCTTGTCTCTTGCAAATAAAGAATATGTTCATTAACTTTCTTTAGCTTTTCAAACATTATGAAAAATCTATATGCTGCATCCTTTCTACATTAAAAAACAACAACCCAAGCATACTTAATGATGGCTGTCCAGTTGCTAATGTTCACATTTGTCAAATATAAAGTTGGTATCTATTTTAAGAAAAGAGTAGTAATAATTTAAGTCTTCAATAAGAGTTTAAACCCCTCATACTATAAATACTTTATAACCATTTATTTTTCTAGAACTAGAACAGCTAATTATTGATTTGTTGACTGAAGAAACCAGAAAAAATCCTTTTGCTTCATGACTAGGCCATGCTATTTGGACCTTATAAAATGAAGGTTTTAAATCTTCATTAGTTATTATGACTTATGCTTTCTAAAAATAGAGTAACTGATGCTACCACATAACTATTTTGCAGTAAGTTCAACAAGTGAACAAGTGTTTTCATTGAGCTAGTTCTATATTTAGTGGCTACTGAAAGTAATCAAAAGATATTGTAGTTTTATAAATGTAAGTAGTTAGCAGAACTCCCTCAAATTGTAAAATGATGACTAAAAGAATATAAAATGATAGCTGTAGACCTAAGTAAGAAATCAGGACTCCATGGCCCATAACAACAACAAAATTTTAAATATTAACATTTTCCTCTATTCAGTTTTTTTTAAAATAAAGTCATTCTATTAGAGTAACACACATTGCCCTGGCCAGTATGGCTCAGTTGGTTGAGCATCATCCTGTGCACCACGGAGGTTGCCAGTTCCATTCCTGGTCAAGGGCACGTGCCGAGGTTGCAGGCTCAATTCTGGATAGGGTTCGTGCAGGAGGCAGTCAATAGATGTTGTGCTCTCACATCGATGTTTCTCTTTCTCCCTTCCTTCCCATAATCAATAAACTATTCTATAAAAAATATACATGACACATTATTGTGCATAGAACGTTAAGATTACACAGTTTATTGGTATAGTAGAATCAATCATTAATAGGAATTATACTTTGAATAACTTACAAATTTGCCCCTAACTTTGTGCACTGTAGTTGGGGTCCAAAAAGAAAAGAGTGCTATATGTTCTCCAAGAATTATATATATATGTATATGACTTAGGCAAATGAAATTCTGTATCCTGAACTCAAAAGAGAAGAGAACTCAGAGTCAAAAAGAGCACTGCAAAGATAGGTTCATGGGGAACTAGTTGTGGTGAGGTCTATAATTCAAAGGTGTTATCTCAATCTCTACCTCAGCAACTTTCAAACATTTTTCACTGAGAACCTGGGTAAGAAATACATTTTACTCTGTGACTGAGAACCCACGCACATATAACTAAAAGAAAAAGTTTTAAACAATACAGTTAAATGCACTCTGGTATATTCTATTAATATCTATTAACTTTTTTAATGCCAAAATCATTTCAGTACTTTGAAAAATGCTGTACTATACTACAAGCATTTTAAGACAAAAACAAGGAGTTGCAATAAGGATTACTTCTAGGCATAGTAATCTCTATTTTGGTCAATTACCAAAACACTAACCTCTAGGAGTTAATGATGTCTGCTTCTCAACCTCTGCTTGCTGCCTCACATTAGTTGGAATATTATTATATATTCTCTTGTAATGATTGTACACGGCAACTGAAAGCACCTTCTTAGCAAATGACTGGCCAACAACATACTTGTCGAGGTAGTTATAAATCTGAAAAATAATCAGGTATGAATAATTTAATGTGAGCTATCATAAAAATACACACATTTAAAAGAAAGTTATACAGTGAGCATATTTGCTTCCAGTTTTAAATTTGAACAAAGACACATCATCAAAAACACAATGCAAGGGCATGATACATTATGTAGCAATGATTCAAGGTCCCAAACCCTACATGTACAAAAACACAATTTATTTGTTTTCTAGCCTAACAAAGTATCACTGGCCTCTTCTAGTGCTACGCTAGTTTCTATTCTATAAACAATGGCATTGATCCTAATTTTTAAAAGTTAATATGAAAGTCACTTAGAATACCTACATATGCCACCAAGAGTCTAAAGATATTATCATTAATATAAACATTACAATTAATCCTTTCTAAACCTTTCTCAATCATAGGAATAATATTCTTCACCAAGACAATATATATAAAAGTATCCTTGCCCGGCTGCGGTAGCTCAGTGGTTGGGCTGTTGACCTATGAACCAGCTCAGGGCACATGTCTGGGTTGTGAGCCCAATCCCCAGTAGGGGGCATGCAGGAGGTAGTTGATCAATGATTCTCTCTCATTATTGATGTTTCTATCCCCCCTTCCCTTCCTCTTTGAAATCAATAAAAATATATTTTAAAAATATATAAAAGTATCCTTTTAAAAAATAGGCACAAGATAATTAAAAGCCATTATACTACCAGTATCTATGCGTTTTAATACAAGCATTTAGCTTTTTCTGATATTAACTTTAAAGCTACTTATTTATCTACATGGCAATATAAAAGCTTTATTCTTCGAAAAAACTAAAGTTCTATTTGATTCTTGGATACTGCCAACAGCTTGGGACATGGGGTACATTCCTTCAGCTTTCAGTAAATAGAAATTAACTGTTAATATTAACTAACTCTGGAAAAAAATTTAAATTGCCTAATTATTTTCTAGAACTTTGACTCAGATGTCTAAAGTGTATATAAATCAGAGGAGAATATAAAGCTTAATAGCTACATTTTCTATTACATCATTTATTTTTACATGACAAATTCTTTAGTTGTTGACCATATGCATTAGGTTTAAAACAAAAATCTTCCTTCTTCACAAATTACACTCATGAATTATTAAATCTGCCACAGCATGTTTAGATGAAGAGACAAATGCATTGGTATCAAAATAGAGTTGAAGAAAGCTACACCAAGACAGAGGATGAGAAATAAGCGAAGAGTACAAACATCTGAAACATGCCCAGAACACGGGGCACACAGCCCAGGAGCAGGGCTCCCTGTTCTCAGAAGGTGCACATCAAGTACCCACCCAATGGGGCTGGTGGCACACTCTGCTGTGTTTCATACAGCCAAATCACAATCTGTCTGAGACTCCTGGCAAGAGCCCATAACACAAAAGCCACAGCTATCGAGGAGAGTGCCATAAAAAAAATTACTCGCTTCCACTGTTAGCCTGAGGCTATTTTACCATAGACTAATTTAATGGGGGGAGGGGAATTGCAGGCTGGTATTATTTAGGTGGTCAAACTAACAAAAATAAATCCATAGTTGCTCTATTTGAAGGTTATCATTTTAGATTAATTTAGTATTAACACTATTTTAATAATCATCCAACTACATTTCATTGCTACTGAATAGAGTAATCATGACATGGGGAAAAAAGTGACGAACTCCATACCTAAATTCCAAGTATCAAATATCAAAAACAATTTGGCCAAATATAGTCCATATTAATAACTTAGAATATGTGTTTAGGTACTAGTATTGGGATACACTATAAACTGAGGAGAGGGGAGCAATGAAATGCTTTCAAGATCAAATGTTTATAAGACTGTATACCTTCTTGGGGGGGGGAGGTGGTTTCTGTTGGAATGCCAATTTTACAGCTTCTGCTGCGGATTCTGGTTCTTTAATTATGCTTTTCTTTGAGTCTGCTTCAGATAGCACAACAAAAAAATGATGACATTTTTCACACTTCACAAAACGGGTGGATGCTGTAAAAGAAGAGTCAGCAGAGAAAAAGAAATAATTCAAATAGTATTTCACCTCAAAGATTCAATGAAAAATAAAACTATGTATTTGACAAAAAGTAGGCTTGTAGTTCACTCCACTAGCCACAAACAAATAGCCTAGTTTACATCTAAGACAGATGATAAAGCTAGATGAATTTAGTCAACTACATTTTCTTCATTTCCACTAGGTTCTGTCATTTTATAATCTAACACATTAAGAGAAAAGACTGATTGACCTTTCAACTTGCCAAACACTAAAGTTAATTTTTAAAACCACCATAAGAATATTAAAATATTGTTTATTTCATTGAAATATGTGAACTGTAAAAATAGTAAAATACAAGTAAATTAATCTATTTCCCTAATATTTTATTATTAAAAATTTCATACACAGAAGTTGAGAGAGAGAGAAATCTATTTTAATCTCCCCAAAATCTAAAAAAGTGTATTTTTTAGGTTCTTCAAGCCTAAAACTAACTTGGTAAAAAGATAAAATTACTTCATACCTTCCTTATTTTTATCTTTAATACTTCCACTGATTCCTATGTCTCTGACTTAAAAACCACTGAGAAACTAACAAAGTAACAATATTCTCAGTCATATTTACTTCATTTAAAGATAATCATACAGCTTTTGAAAACAACACAAGGGCAGTTAAAAGTGAGGGTAAAAATGCTTTCTTAATGGCAATACATCAACTACATAATATCCTGTGTTAAATCAAAAGTGACTTTTTCCTTTCTCTCTCTCTAAAACACAGCTTTAGGATATAGACATATGACCATAAACTCTTAACCTTGTCTAAGCCTACCCTTACTGAAGGTAACTAAGGAACTCAGAAAGCAGCATGATAGTAGAGAAACCCATACAGACTATTCACAGATTCAAAGCAAAAGATGCATAGAAACTAGTAACATGTTGGTAGGTCTAGGTAATATATTTTTTGTGTAATATAACTAAGGTGAATTTTAATAAAACTAAACATAGTTTTAAAATAATTTTTAAAACTATGATAATCTCTCTCCTTTGGAAATACTGTAACAGATTACAAGAAAAACTTCACTGGCAAATACACCTAAATCTTCAGAAAATAATCTAAATTTTATAAAATAGACAATCCCACAACTGAAACATAAATGTAATTATTAATCCAATCAATTTGATTCTTAGGTGTTCCTTCTTAAACAGAGGCCAATTAAAAATTCATTCGGGATAAATTATAGCAGCAAATGTTAAACCAGAAGACAGAATGATTACCTAAAGAAAATATCAAACTATTCCAAGTACCTTCAATTAACCCAAGCCCAAACACATTATCACCATTTCCCATCAACAGGGAAAAGTCAGTGCCCCTATATTAGGAGGCACCAGCTTACAATTGTTAGTGATGGTAAACAGGGCAAGGATTAAAGGGCAGAGAAGCCTCTGATTTAATTCAGGCTGTGTGACAAGAAAATCTGGCTTGAGAACATACAAACAAAACATTTCTCTAAAGAAATTAGGTCAAAGGGGAAGAGATTAAACATCAACAATCATCCTTTTTTGCTTACTGTTAAAGGGTTGCTTAAATTCTACTTGAATATTTGCAATACAATTTTACACTGAAACATATTCAACATATACACAAATTCAAAGATTCAATTTTATTTATTGAAATGCTTATTTTTTAAAAAAAGCATTGCAATGCATATTTCACTCTTTTTTTTTTTTTTAAATATATTTTATTGATTTTTTACAGAGAGGAAGGGAGAGAGATAGAGAGTTAGAAACATCGATGAGAGAGAAACATCGATCAGCTGCCTCCTGCACATCTCCCACTGGAGATGTGCCCGCAACCCAGGTACATGCCCTTGACCGGAATTGAACCTGGGACCCTTTAGTCCACAAGCCGACGCTCTATCCACTGAGCCAAACCGGCTCTGGCCATATTTTACTCTTAAAAACAAAATTAAATTTGTTAAATTATAAGGGGATAAAACCTTCTTTAAAAATATTTTTTTTATTGATTTCAGAGAGGAAGGGAAAGGTAGAGAGAAACATAATGATGAGAGAGAACCATCAGTTGGCTGCCTCCTGCATGCCCCCCAACTGGGATCGAACCTGCAACCAGGCATGTGCCCATGACAGGAACTGAACCCAGGACCCTTCAGTCCACAGGCCAATGCTCTATCCACTGAGCCAAACCAGCTAGAACCCTCTATTTATACACACACACACACATACACACACACACACACACTCTAGAGGCCTAGTGCACGAAAATTCGTGAACTGTGGGGGGGTCCCTCAGCCCGGCCCGCCCCTTCTCACAGTCCAGAAGCCCTCAGGGGAAGTCCTACTGACTGCTTAGGCCCGCTCCCACTCCTGCAGCCCTGCCTCCACTCCCGATCCCGCGGCAGCGCCGCCTCCTCTGCTCCCGCGACCCTGGCCCCACAGCCCCGTCTCTGCTCCTGGGGAGGCGCCTCCTCCGCGACCCTGGCCCCACAGCCCCGTCTCTGCTCCTGGGGAGGCGCCTCCTCCGCTCCCACTCCCACAGTGGCCCTGCCTCCACTCCTGCTCCTGCGTTGGCGCAGCCTCCTCCCCCACAGCACGCCTCTCCCGTGCTGCCGCTGGCCCTAGGCCCTCGCAGCTCCTGGGGCTTTGTCTGGATGGACATCAGGAAGACGTTTGCTCTAATTAGCATATTACCCTTTTATTAGTTTAGATATATATATATATACTAGAGGCCCGGTGCACGAAATTCACGTGTCGGGGGGGGCCCTCAGCCCAGCCTGTATGCTCTCCAATCCGGGACCCGTTGGGGGATGTCCAACATCCCTCTTGCAATCCGGGACCGCTGGCTCCTAACCACTCACCTGCCTGTCTGCCTGATCGCCCCTAAACACTCTGCCTGCCAACCTGATCGCCCCTAACCACTCCCCTGCCAACCTGATTGCCCCTAACCACTCCCCTGCCGACCTGATCGTCCCTAACTGCCCTTCCCTGCTGGCCTGATTGCCCCTAACTGCCTCTGCCTCGGCCCCTGCCACCGTAGCTTTGTCCGGAAGGACGTCCAGTCTAATTAGCACATTACCCTTTTATTAGTGTGTGTGGTAGAGAGAGATAGAAACATAATTATGAGAGAGAATCATCAATCGGCTGCCTCCTGCATGCCCCTCACGGGGGACGGAGCCCGAAACCCCAGCATGTACCCTGACTGGGAATCAAACCATGACCTCCTGGTTCAATGCTCAATCACTGAGCCACTCTGGCTGGGCTAAATCTCTTTTCTTTAAATGATTACTACAAGTATCCTATATTCCTTTATATACAGAATACTGATCCCAGTAAACATGCTTGTATAGTATGCCAACAACAGAAAGTCTACCTTAGTAAAAACTTTTTTAGGAAATTTGTTTCAATGAACGTTTCTCATGATTTTAAACAAGTTTCAGGGTCCAATACAAAATTTCCAAAACACTGCAGAAAAGTTTAATTTCTGCCTTATGAGACAGATAAGTGCAGTAAGCATTCAAAAAGTATTACATACATAAAAATAAAAACAACTAAAGGCTCTAAATTAAAGAGGGGAGTCTATGCATGTTTGACAAGTTATTTTTTAAATGGGCTAAAGAATAGTATATCTTAGTCATTATAATCAACTTTCTTAGCTATTATTAATTTCAATTTCTGATGATTTTCTATATATTCATAATGGTATCTATAAAAATGGTATTTTATTTCAACAAAGACAAGCAAGAGTGATACCACTATAAGAAAACAAACATTACTACAAACAAACCTATTAGATTAAATATACACAGCAAGGTCCATGAGCTAAAAATGACAATGAAAATTATATGAAATTCAAATTTCAGTGTCCATATACAAAGTTTTATTGGAACACAGTGTCCTCATTCATTTACATTGTCTGTGGTTGTTTTTTCACTATAACTATAAAGGAGAATAGTTGCAATAGAGACCATATGGCCCCCAAACCTAAAATATTTACTATTTGCTCACTCCTGCTATACAGCATTTAAAAGGGAAGAACAACCCATAGAATGAGAGAAAATATTTGCAAATCACATATCTGGATAAGGGTCTAGCATTCAAAATATATAAAGAACTCATAACTTAACAATACAGACAACCCAATTTAAAAATGAACATAGGAGTGGGCCCTATAGCTCAGGATTAGAGCACTGGTCTTATAAAAATGAACACAGGACTTAAATACTATTCTTTTCTCCAAAAAAGACATACAAATGGCCAATAAACACATTAAAAGATGCTTAATATCTTTACTCATTAGGGAAATATAAATCAAACTCCTATGATGGCTACAATAAAAAAGACAGATAAGTGTTGAAAATGATGTGGAATAATTGGAACCCTTATACATTGTTAGTTGGGTTGTAGGATGGTAAAGTCTCTTTGAAAAACAGTTTGGCAGTTTCTTAAAAAGCTACACATAGGCCCTGGCCAGGTAGCTCAGTTGGTAAGAGCATCCGCCTGATACGCCAAGGTTACAGGTTTGATCCCAGGTCAGGGCACATACGAGAAGCAACCAACTGAGAAATAAATACGTGGAACAACAAATCGATGTCTCTCTCTCTCATACGAGAAGCAACCAACTGAGTAATAAATACGTGGAACAACAAATCGATGTCTCTCTCTCTCTCTCTCTCTCTCTCTCTCTCTCTCTCTCTCTCTCCCTCCCTCCTTCCCTCCCTCCCTCCCTTCCCCAATCAATAAATAAAAACTAAAAATAAATTTTTTTTAATAAAGCTAAACATAGTTATCATTTCACTCAGAAATTCCATTCCTAAGCAGATGCCCAAGTAAAAACACAAAAGTTGTGTACACAAATGTTCATAGTAGCATTGCTTTTTTTGGTTAATCCTCACCTGAAGATAATTTTTCCACTGATTTTATTTTATTTTATTTTTAACAGAGTGGAAGGGAGGGAGGGCTGGCAAGAGAGAAACAGGGAGAGAAAGGGAAGGGAGAGACAGAGAGAGGAAAAAAATGTGAGAGAGAGACATTGCTTGGTATGCACCCCAATGGGTTCAGGGACCAAACTTGCAAACTAAGTAAGTGCCCTTGACTGGGAATCGAACCCATGACCCTTCAGTGCGTGGGCCAATGTTCTAACCACTTAACCACACTGGCCTGGACATTGTAGCATTATTCATGATAGCTAACAAGTAGAAGCAACTCAAATGTCCATCAATAGATGAGTGGACAATGAAATACTACCATTCAACCATAAAAAGCAATGAAGGACTGATATATAATGCAACACAAATGAACCTTGAAAATATCTACAATAATAAAAGAGTAGTATGCTAATTAGACCGGGTATCTTCTGGGTGTCATTCCGTAAGTCCTTCCTGACGAAGCTGGGGCCAGAGGGAAGCCAGCCTGGGTCCTGGGTGCCTGCTGGCGGCTGGAGGAGGGAAGCTCAGGGCCCGGTGCCGAAGGGAAGCCCATGGAGGGAAGCCAGTGCCGGCAGCTGGAGGAAGGAAGGCCTACTCTTGCACGAATTTTTGTGCATTAGGCCTAAATAAAAGAAGTCAGTGCTAAATAAAAGAAGTCAGACACAGCCCTGGACAGGTGGTTCAGTGAGTTGGAGCATGGTTCTGGACACTAAAAGGTTGTGGGTTCGATCCCGTCAGGGCATATGGGAGGCAAACGATCAATGTTTCTCTCTCACACAGATGTTTCTCTCTCTCTTCCTCTCCCTCTAGAATCAATAAAAAACATCCTTGGGTAAGGATTAAAAAAAAACCAAAAAACTAAAACCTCAAAAAAATTTTTAAGAAGGAAAAGGACTAGACCTGTATGTATTAACATATATAGCTCTCAAAACATTGCTGAGTTGAAAGAAACAAAAACTTGAATATGATAGCACTTATGCTTTTAAAAAGTTTTATGTTCAATGAAGATATATTACAAAATATATCTTTAACTTTATAACGCTCTACTTTTTCATGAAGAGGGACATATACGTGTATTCCTCAGGTAATTAAAAAGAATTTAAAATGACAAAAAAGTAGACAATTACTTAAACAGGCCATTCATAAAAGAACTATAAGTGACAAAAAAGCACATAAAAAGATGTTTATGGCCCTGGCCAGTGTAGCTCAGTTGGCTGAACTGATGGTCCATGCACTGAGAAGTCATCGGTTCCATTCCTGGTCCAGGCACATGCCCGGGTTTCAGGCTCCATCCCCAATAGGGGGGCCTGCAGGAGGCAACCAAGTAAGTAATGTTTCTCTTTCTTCATCAGTGTTTCCTCTCTCTCTCCTTTCTTCTCTAAAATCAATTAAAAATATTTTTAAAAGATGTTTATGAACTAATAACTATATAAATACAGATTTAAATAAAATAACTCGCCCAAGATAAAGCTATTTAGAACTAGGATGATCAAATTTTCAATAAGTAGATAGAAAATCCACTGCATTCAAAAGGGATTCATTCTGAAGAGACTTTTATTATGGGTCAAAAAACACAGAGGAGGAGGGCCTAGTCTCACTGCTGGGTGGGGCCTGTTACTCCTCCGTAGTAAAGATCAGAAAACAGGAACAGTGTCATGCTCATCTGTGAATTTTTTGAGCCCAGCAGTGTGTCTGACTCAACAGATGTTTGAGTATGTATTCTTCTTTTACTTTTCTCTTCCACATCCCCCTCCCCCATTAGAAGTCCCAAAGAAAATAGACCACCTCAGAACTGAGCTGATTAGTGTATAGTGTTTTCCACACTTGGTCTCATTATTATATTTACAGATTCTAGGATCATACCCAATACCTACAGAATGTTAATCTCTAGGGAAGGAGGGAATCTATGGTTAACAACCACCCTTAGTGCTCATTTTTTTTAAAATATAGTTTTAATATTTAAAGTGTTCACTTAATCACTGTTAAACAACAGTGACCTGGCAGGTTTTGAAAACACTGCATAAAAGAAAACTAAACTTAATCTTGAGAGGACCTAGTTTATTAAAAAAAATATTAAAAAAATATATATATATGACATTACCATTATGAATTGAGCAATTCTCAGATTTTTGAGAACTTTAGTATATCACACCAAATTTTGTTAATAGAAAATGTTACTCAGAAGTTATATCATCCAGTTCTACTACTTTCATTTTATACTGCAATTCAAATTACTGTTCATTCAGATTGATTTTTCTCTTTGACCTCTTACTAGGTAAAAACTACAAACAGAACCTCTAACATTGCAGCTACAGAATGGAACTACTTTAAAGTCTTTCTAAAACTGTAAAAACATGCTACATATAGTACTTTTTCATATAGTGGCCAATTAATAGCACTGATAAATGTGAAACTGAAGTTATTTGGGTTAGAATACAAAGAATCCTCTCCAGTTAATAATCAGAAACTGAAACTTCTGCCATACCTTACCATCAACCTTTTCATAATTGGACTGTATAGGAAGGCTGACATGTTAGTATAATGTAATTTACTCAAGTCATTACCATTAACTCTGATCATATAGGAAATTAGTTATTTGATTCATTAAACAAAATATCTGTTGCATTTCAGAGAGAATTACTGACACTAAGCAAAAGTAGGACTGCTAATTTCTTCTTTCTCTTAGTGTCTGAATCATGATTATCAGACATTTTCTAGAATTGAGAGCATAGCTCCTCTGAAAAGTACTTAGAGAAGGAAAATACCTTAATATTTGAATGACCCACTTCTCCAGTTTGATGACACTATCAATAGGTAGGTGAAGAACAGAATAATAAATACAGAATAAGCAAGCCTTGGTTCTTGTATAGCTTAATGGTTACAAAAACCGACCCTGCACCTTCTCGTTCCTCCTCTGCCTCTCCCTCCACCCCCCTCACCACTCTTGTTCTGCTCTGCCATGCTGTGCTCTGAAGAGATACCTGCCATTTCTCAGCAAGTGGCTTTGCCGGGCTTTTGGAGCATGCCACTGCCCGACCAAGGGATCTGCATGGGTAGCAGGCTATGGCCTATACAGTGCCTATGATTATACAGTACCACCTATAGAGAAAACCCTTGCGAAAACCAACATTCAGATAGCTCTTCCTTCTGGGTGCTATGGAAGAGTAGCTTCATGTTCTGTCTTGGCTGCAAACATTTCATAGATGTAGGAGCTGGTGTCATAAATGAAAATTATAGCAAATCTTGTTGTACTGTTTAATTTTGGCAAAGAAAAGTTTGAAGTAAAAAAGGGTGACCAAATTACACAGCTCATTTGTGAATGGATTTTTAAAACCAGAAATAGAGGAAGTTCAAGTTTTGGATGACACTGAAAGGTGTTCAAGAGGTTTTGATTCCACTGGAAAGAATGAAAATTGATGCCAGGAACAGAAAATGAAAAAAAAATGTACTTTTTTCTTAAAAATAAAGAGTTTTTGTTTAGTGTTTTGCACTTCTGTGAACTTAATAGCTTTAGCTTCTAAAAATATTTGGTGTTCTTATATCAAAGAAAGGGTACCCTGTTGGGATCACAGAACTTATACTTTCTTGTGTTTTTCTACATTTGACTGTGGTATATATATATGCATGGTAACCTAATACAGTTTCTTTTTTCAATCAAATGTATATCAATCACAGATCCCTCCTCCCAGAACTATATTATTTCATTCACTAAATGCTACCCCTTCAACAACTTATTTTTTTGTTTTATAAATTATAAGCAAAGCCTTTCATTCAATAAATTTTTAAAATTTATTTAGAGAGAGAGGAAGGGAGGGAGGGGGGTGAGAGGAAACGGGGGGGGGGGAGAAGAGAGAGAGAGAGAGAGAGATCATCAGTTTGTTGTTCCACTTATTTAAGCATTCATTGGTTTATTCTTGTATGTACCCTGACTAGGGATTGAACCCAAAACCTTGGCGTATCAGGATGATGCTCTAACCAACTGAGCTACATGGCCAGGGCCTCATTCAATAAACTTGAATTATTTTACATATATAATATATAATACAAACAAATAAAGTATAATAAAAAATTCTTAAGATCCAAATTTAAAATAAACACTTAACCAAAATAAAGAAGCAAATAGTTTTCTTAAATACTCTCCTACACACAGTGTAAAATATTACTAGTCCTGGGGATTTTTAGTATCTGGTGAACATAGGAGAGAATCATGTAAGTTCAGGAAGAAAATAACCTCGGTTTATATAATTTATATATTTATATAATTTATATATATAATTTATATATAGAAAAGGTAGAGAAAAAGAACAACAACAGAAGTAATACTTACACACAAAGGTCTCTACATGTGTGCACAAGTCACCACATTTAGGGCAGCGTAGCTGGTTTCCACCTTTCCCAGAATTCCCAGAGCCTGATTTTTTACTGCTTCCCTCACTTGCTGATTTCTAAAGTTTTTGGAGAAGGAAAAAGGAGAGTGTCAATTATTAATTTTGGGCAATCATTTTATATGTAAACAAATATAAACAATATAGTTTATAATTAATCTTACAATTTTTACAATTTCTAGAATGAAATCATTTGCATAATTTATATCTCTACTATTGCTGGCACATGTAGGTATGTGCCAGCATGTATAATAAAAAGTTTTCTTTTAATGACTCAATAAGAACTAGGAAAAAAATTTCTGTAAGTATAAAACTACATTTCAATTAAATTGAATTGGGTGTTATTACCATGTCAAGTAGTGATTCTTCACTTTCTTGAATCTAACTTTTTTCATCTCTAAAATAAAGATATCACCTACTTCAGAGTCACTGTTAGGATTAAGTGCAAATATGAAAGCACCAAGCATTTTGTCTCGCATTTAATACTAACTCAAGCGTCAGTCAAATTAACATAATAAAAAATCTGATAATTCACTGACCCAATACAATCACCAATTATCTACTTGCTAGCTACAGAGTAGCCCAGCATTGTCATAAAGATATCCAAGATTTTTAGTAGAGGATGAAGTGGGGTTTACACTGTTATGAGTTGTAAAAGTTGTATGAAAGTAGGAAGTGATGGCTATTCCTAATTCAACCCTACAGACTAATTATATAGGTTACTTAATGAAGCTTCTTTACAGTTTGTTTTTTTTTTGGGGGGGGGGTACCTCGGGAGGTTGGCCAGCTACAGGAGGTTGGTTGTAGGAGCGCACTGACCACCAGGGAGCAGCTCCTGCGTTGAACGTCTGCCCCCTGGTGGTCAGTGCATTGTCATAGCAACCGGTCATTTGGTCGACCCAACCAGTCATAACGGTTGCTTAGGCTTTTATGTATATAGATTGCTTAAACAAGGGAACTCAAATATGTACATAGATGCCAATACCTTATTTGCATCTCCAGAGCCATCTTTACTTATCCCATCTTTTGAGGCTAAACATGCTGGTGTTTCTGTAAAGGTTCTAAAAGGAACTCTTCGTAGAATCTGAGTTTCAAAGGTCCCAAGCCTTCCTAAAACAGGTATATGAATGCGACCACAAGAAATACCTGAAAGTATAAAAAATTTATTAGTCTGCACATCAAATATTAACATTCTTTCAATAAATACCCTGGAAACAAAAATTTGTTAAGCACAAGAGGTTGAAAAAGTTAGTTTTCACAGTAGTACAAACTGCTAAAGAAACTAATATCATTAGAGGCAAAGCCCTCTCAAATACAGGCCAGACCTGGGCCTTGGACAGATTCCAGGTGAGTAAAAAATGTTTTTCTTCCTAAGCCTGTCTTTTGGAAGTAAGGAAAGACCACCAAGGTCATAACAATGAGTGACTCAAAGTTTGAGATAAGTAGTTCAACATCTGCCTTGCTTGTAGGGGGAAAAGACCATTTATCTCCTATATTCTTATTCTTCTTATACTAGAGGCCTGGTGCATGACATTCATGCACTGGGGGGGGGGGGAGGTGTTCTCAGCCTGGCCTAATGAAATATTTCAATCCTACAGAAAAAAATATAATTCAGTAAATACTCTGTAACCACCATTCTGCTTTCAAGGATTTTAACTTTCTGACATAAAGTTAAAATTCTTTTAATAGAATGTAAGTTATTACTTAGCAAACTTTTCCTGGAAAGGACCAGGATAATAAATATTTTCAGCTTTGTGGGCCACATAGTCTCAGTCTATTGCCTGTAACAGGAAAGTAAATGTAAACAATATATAAACAAATGGGTGTGGCCAGATTTGATCCATGGGGTCATTGTTTGCTGACCCCTCATTTTTCTTACATAAATCCAAAATAAATTATAGGCAACAACAAAAGAGCCACACTGCATACTATGAGGCAGCATTTCCCAAGCTGGTCTTTAAAAGTATTCCTTACACAAGAAAATTGAATGATCCTAGATTAAACAAAATGCCATATATTTCAGTACTGAAGGGATATTCAGAACCTTGCATAAGCTAACCTACATTAATGAACTGCCAAGAAGGAAGTTCCCCATCAGTTTACCAGAGTGCTCTTAGGAGGTAATAAAATAAACAACAAAAAGGGTATGTGTGTTTATGTTAATATTCAAATAAATTTAAGATATTGTATTTTTTTGCCCCCCTCATTTAATTCCCTGCAAAATTCTCAAATCAGGCTTTAAATTTTTATTCTACACCTGTTAGAGCTTTTAAGAGATCATGCACATATGTATGTATTGTATCCAAAGCCAAAAACTGGTTTAAAATTAAGTCCTTCAAACAAATAAATTGCTTAGTTATATAACTAGTTTATTAATTCCAATTTTCCAACACTATGCAATGCTAGAATAACTAATTTCTTTAGCTATTTATCACCCTAGGCCAGCGATTTTCAACCAGCGCGCCACAAGAATTTCTAAAATGTGCAATACCTGACTATTTAGCAGGGGCACTGACCTCTTTTCCCCTAGATTGTCAAATTAAAAAATGACAACAGCCAACATAACAACAGCAGTCCAGTGTGAATGCTTTATCTTGAACCATAAGTATATAGGCCATATAATAGAGTTGCATCTTATTGGTTACGTCGCATAAGGTTGGGTCTGACTGGTTAATTCTTGGTACTAGAAAGCTTTATATACAAGTACAGGCACCTGATTTTTTAAAAAGTCACTTTGAGCCTTGGCTGAGTAGCTCAGTTGGTTAGAACATCATTCTGATTCACCAAGGTTGCTGGTTCGATCCCCAGTCAGAGTGCATACAAGAATCAACTAATGAACGCATAAATAAGTGGTACAATAAATAAGATGTTTCTCTCTCCCTTCTTCCCTCTCTAAAATCAACAAATTTAAAAAACATCAACACACAAACTTTAAGTCATTTTGGAGCAAAAAGGGTAGGTAATTACTATTATTTTTTATAAATCAATCAGAAGTATACCTATTTTTTGTCAGATCAGCAAAATATATGTTTTTTGGTATGCCACAAAATTTTAGTAATTATTTATGTGTGCCATGAGATGAAAAAGATTGAAAATTGCTGCCCTAGGCCATCGTCTGTTCCACAAAGTACAAAACTGAAGGCATCAAACTTCTCAGGAAAGATACAAATAAGAGAAACCAAATTTTTTCATCTCTATATAAATACTGAAAACGGTTTAAGGTTTGACACCCCAATCCCTAATTAGACTGTAAAACTTTGCTTAACACTATTAAACTTGAAAATTAATTTTACAAAATACAATTGATGATTTTCTCTTAAGGAATGTTTTCAAAAGACATTTCAAATTTTTTCAAGTGCAACATTTCATTTTTTGCAGTAAATGACAATTGCCATTACTCCCTCATAAAAATGAGATTTAAGGTAGTTCATACATTTTAAGCTAAACATGTTTAATGTTTTGCCAAGGACAGAATATGATTTAAAGACTATGACAATATAAAAATCAAGTCTAGAAAAAATAATGGGGAGAGGAAATCAAGACATGTAGAAAGTTAATGGACATTGAGGCAAGGTGATGGGTATTTGGCAGTTCATTGTCTATTTTGTGTATGAAAATGTTCATAATAAATTAATATGAAAGGTAGCAAAATAAAATTATAATCTATGTAACAAGTATAGCTTTTTAAATTGAGCCATTACAATGTATTCAAAAAGAAAACTACAATTATAACAAAATTATGTGAGGCTATTTTACTTAGATGTTTAGACAAAACAACCCTGAATTATCACATACAGTGGATGTATTTTTTCCCACTTACAATAAAATATATCTTTTAAAATAGTGTTTAACAATTTACAGCATCTAATATTATTAGAAAATAAGCTGAAAAGAAATTATCTTTGAAATTTAAGAGAAATAAAAACTGTGAACATAATCCTCTTAACGTCTACTTGAATAGAAAGAAAAATAAGACCCCTTAAATAACTTATTAATGCAACTATACAGTCACCCCAGAAAATACTATCTGAAAAACATGTTTGTGTCATTTAAACTTCAAAGTTTAAGAATTTCTTTGCTGGCCCTAATGGTATGGTACTGTAGTGCTGTTTTAACTTTCTATAATCTATGGGCTATAGCCACTATACCAACAAGATGCCATTAATACTAAACCTATGGCTCTCAAACTTGAGCACACATCAAAACCACCTGGGGAGCTTGTTAAACCATAGTAGGGGACCTTCCCTGGTTCTGATTCAGAAGGTATGAGGTGGAACTTGCATTTCTAACAAGTTCCCAGGTGATACTGATGCTGCTGGTCTGGAAACCACACTTTTAAACCACTGTCCTTCTAAACAATTTAAATAACCATTCACCAATCATATAAATCTTCACAGAAATCATTGCAGCAAACTAATCAGGAGTTTTTAACCCTTTTTGAGCCATGAACCCCTTTGGCAGTCAGGTGAAGCCTACAGACAGGCCCCTTCTCAGAATGTTTTTAAATGTATAGACTACACAATAAAGAAAACCAATTATACTGGTTATCAAAATATTTAAAAAATATTCTTCTTTACTAACAGAATTAAATAAGACCTAATAGCTATTATAACTACCATGATTTCAAAGGTGTGAAAAGTATAAACAATATATTTTGAGATATATGCAACTGTAATGACATGAAAATAATTTGTAATTTTGATTGGTGACAAATTCAGATACTGCGGCTACTGTAGATTTGTTGCCTTCATTCAGAATTGAAGGAAATGCTGTATTTCACATCAAGATTAGTGAAAATAAAGTTCATGGAACCTCTGAATTCTATCCCCAGACCCTTTTGGAGGCCTGTAAACTCCAAATGAAAAAAATCCTAAAGGCAAAAAGAAAAGTATTTCTGTGAAGTGTATTTCAAAAGATTACTTGGCAGCAATGACAAAACATAGTTAAAAGTTAAACCATTTACAAACTTCTGTTATATAGATAAAGCTTTCTGAGTTTCAGAGCAAGTGTTTTTAAAAAGAAATATTAGAATAAGGTACACTTATTTTCGGGCTATTACAAAGTATGTGAGTTATTTATTCAACTTTTAAATATGTGACTGCCTATATTCAATCTTGAATTAAGCATTCTCCAAAACATACAAATGATTCAGTTTAAAAGATAAACCCATTTTTAATTTATATTTTAGAAAGATAGAACTAATGAAAAATTTAAACTATTTGCTGTGACAATATTTAAGTGCATAATGATTGATGAAATGGCAAATCAAGGTAAATGATCACTTAACACTTGGCGTCTAACCTCTAACACAAATTGGGAAAAAATTCAAAACTCACAAACAAAATCAGCAATTCAGTACATGCTTACTGCTTTTATTAACCTCAAATTTTCATGTTATGCCCAGGTTATTGTTTCATGTATTTGAAATACTTCTTAAAAAAAAAAAATAGCATCACTCCTATGATAGCTTTCCTTGAGTTTAAAAATGTTTGACGGGTTTTCACTAAGGCTAGTCTGCTGCTCTGAAGATGAACACGCCAACAAAACAGAAACGTTGATTAAAGAACTAAAGATATTGGGAAAAAAAACAAATAAAGATATTGTATCATTTATTCACTTTGCCTTATTTAAATTGTACTGTATTTAACTACAGAGAAAGAGAAATAAAATTATAGTCTAGGCATATTATGTAACAATCATGAAAATTATGGACATGTTTAAGCATCTTCATATCATTACACCTTCATGAGGTAACACCTTTTAAACAGACAAGGACAGAAAGCAGCCAGAAATCACAATTCTGATCCTACAATTCTCACAGCCAAATTCAGACCAAATACTGCCACTCAGAATCTTTTAAATGGAATCAAGCATTTCTGAATACCCATATTTAGAAAACAAATTTACTTATACATGCAAAGTACATTTTTTAAAATATACACTAAAATTTAAAAATACATGTGACATGGGTAGAAAAAATATTTAAAATTTCTCTTTACCATAGGTTCCATATTCAAAGAAACTAATGAGGAAAAACACATTGAACTGGGTACACATAGGACATCAGGAAAAGAAAATAGATCCAGTATCTAGGATGACAATTTAATTTTCCAAATAATTTGTCAAACTACCATTTAATATATTTAAAGTCTAACATGACAGACCAATGGAAATAAAGAATAACACTGTACTTCAGAGCTCTGAAATGCCCTTTATTCTTAATTCATTTTACAATTTTGTGTTAGAAGACTAATTTGATCAAGTTCTTTTGTTTGTTTTTATTATGTTGTTGAAATTCTTAACTCTACTGTTTATAAGAATAAACTAGTTAAAGTTCAATTCAGATTTTTCTATCTTTTGCCTTTCTTGCTTTTTTTCAGGAGTTTTAAATAAAAATAATCCTCCTGGTGTTTAAGGCCTTAAAGAAAATATCTCTATATTATTGTAGACTTTTAGACTTCTCTACTATGAAAAATAAACATTTTATGTAATTATGTTTCAGGAAAGTCTTAAATCAATGTGAAAAGTATTTTGCTGTTTGCCATGTAAAAATATGAAATTCTATGATGACCTTGAACACACATATACTTTGTCCATTCCGAGAAACAATATTATTATTTGTCTGCTCTACCAGATTGAAACTTGAAGGTGAGGCCTTGTTCGCCGTTCCCTCCAGTGCCAACACAGCCGTTCTACCTCCAGCGCCAACACAGCCGAGCAGGCCCTCAACAAACACATGCCAAGGAAATGCATTTAACCCTGTGAGTGCCGACCAATATCCTAGGGACTATGCTAAAATTGCCAAGGCATTTTTGCTGATTTTACAGTTTAGGGAAAAAATTATGAATCGCCAGTAAATGAAGTTACATATTCAAAAACTTAAGGAAACCTTTACTACACTGACATATTTAGCAATATCATCGTCACGAATAAAAGCAGACTTAGAACTGGACGCCATTTGGAAGCTTTGATAGCGCGGGGGCCCCGCACTTCTGGCGAAAGACAGGAGGAGCGCGATCGAGCTCCTGGGCACTCTAAGGGTTAAAGCTGTCACTTTCAAGTGTTTGCAACTCCAGTTCCTGGAATAGGGGCATGTACTCGCGCAGGTGTAACAAGGTCTTGGGACTAAACTCACTCCTTTACATTTATATATCACTTTACAAATGCGTCTGCCCACATGCTCATCTAACTCCTCTGCGAAATAAACTGTCAGAAAAAAAGGTACATGTCGTCAACAACAAAAATTTTATCATTAACCTAACATTTAGAAAAAGGGGGCTTTTTAAAAACGTATCCAAGGGTCATAAGCTGTCAACCCCAAAGTGAAACGGATGTGTCTAGAAGTGAGGTGATGATAACAGGATCCAGCCTCATAGTCTGAGAGTCCTAAATTCGGGGAAGAGAAAACATGGTTTCTTTTCCGGGACCTCCCGGCTGGAGTGCCTTTCACAGCTGCTGATAAACGGAAGGAAGGAAAGGCAAACAGCGCCGCCCCGGAGAGACTAGGAGACCGGCCAGTTGTGATGACAACTGACCTGAGCACCTGAACCATTTCCCGAGCCCCCGCCGCTCCCGCAACCTGCCTCCGTGCGGGCGTCGGCGGCCGCACAATGGCAGTGACTCGGCGCGCCCCGCGCGGCCTGCGGCTGGGACAGCGGCCCGGCGCCCCGCGGCCCCCACAGGCGGCCCCCCACCGGAGCCTCCTCTGAGCTCCCGACAGGCCCGAAGGGAGCCCGGTCGCGCTCCGGACGAGGAATCGCAGCGGGGCAGGCAGCAGTCTTTGGAGGAGCTTTGCGTAGGGCCCGGGGACATTTTTAACGAGAGGAGGAGCATTTTGTGCCTTTCGGGGTGTCTGCGAAGTGGCCCCCTTCTGGCCCTCAAGTCCGGAGGCTGGAAAGTGCGCGAGCGGGGGAGCACCGGAGTTTACTTCCAGTTTGAGAAACAGCTGCCCTAGAGGCTGGCAGAGCCCCGCTCTCCCGGGAAAGCAGAGCGCCAGGCGAAGCGCCGCGCATCCCTCACTCTCTCGCCATGGGTAGGCCTCTGGCTCTCCCGGGTCCCCACCGTCGGCCGGGACACCCCGGGCCCAAAGGCTCAGGGGAAGTACTACTTCGTTACCTCTCGGCGCGGAGGCAAGCGAGGAAGTGATGAACCGCGCGGCGACCGCTCCGCAACTGCAAGCGCCGCAGCCAGACATCTCCGCGGGGCCTAGGCCGGGCTTCTCCCGGCTCTCCTCCGAGTCTCTGGAGCCCGACTCCTACTTGCAGGGCGCGCTGACCAGGCTCCGGACCCTCCCGCCAACCCCCAGGCCCAGTGCAGACTTCGTCCGCCAGGAAGCCAGGTCTGCGCGTTCTCAGCGGCCCTCTGTCGTGTACCCAATACTGTAGACACCTAACCCCTCTCCCTCCCTCCCCTCCTCCTCCGCCTCCCCATCCCCCACCCCACACCCGCCTACCGGGCCCGGGGAGCGTGCGCGCGCCTGCGTCCTAGGCCTAGGGAGGGGCGTTGGCACGTGCTACGTGTGTGTACGTGAGACACCGTCGTACGGCGAGGGGAAGGGGGCGGAGACCTCGGAGCCAATGAGCACGCTGCGATGGTGGCTGGCCCTAACTGCAGGAACTCCAAGTCCCGAAAGGCAATTCTTCCGGAACCAACTTTAATCCTAGTGTTGGGAAAAAAAAATTGGAGATAAACACAGAGGTGCAGGCCGGGAGTTGTAGTCCTAACCCGTCGCAGTCAAGTCCTGGTCCTTTTCGATTGGTGGCAGGGAAGATGAAAGTGAGACCGGTGGCTTAGCCAGCCCCAAGTGGAGTCTTTAAAAGCTTTTGGCTGCCGCGGGATGTTTCAGAAATTCCTTTCGTGGGGATTCCATATCTTGGCTCCTTGTTTTCCTACTTGTAACATGGAAGTGGCTTTTTTACCGAGTCCCCCTAGCAACAACTGTTGGATGATGGCTCTCTTTGTTTTATAAACCAGTGCTGATAACTTGCAGCTGTTGCTAGTCCCTGACTGCTTTACAATCCTTTGATGGTTCCCTTAAACCTGATCACACTCTGGTAAATCGTTCCTTCATTAACTCTCTTTGAGTCCTCTGTCTGCATGGCTGGTTCCTCTGGACAGCTAAAACAGATCAATCCTGTACAAGGTGCAGGATGGTGACAAATTAATCAGACTCTTCCCATCTGAGTTGGCGCCAGACTATTTGTGTATTAAGATTTTGATTAACTCAGCCGAAACCGGTTTGGCTCAGTGGATAGAGCGTCGGCCTGCGGACTGAGGGGTCCTGTGTTCGATTCCGGTCAAGGGCATGTACCTGGGTTGCGGGCACATCCCCAGTGGGAAATGTGCAGGAGGCAGCTGATCGATGTTTCTCTCTCATCGATGTTTCTGACTCTATCTCTCTCCCTTCCTCTCTGTAAAAAATCAATAAAATATATATATAAAAAAAAAAAAGATTTTGATTAACTCAGAAGCCCAGAGAAATTACCAAGTGATCTTGGGTGCTTCTAGTTCTGAATTTGGGGGGAGTTGGGCAAGCTAGAGTCAGGACTAGGCCACCCAAGTTATTTAGCCCTCATCAGTCTTGGATTAGAGAAATGTGGCTTCTAGTTCCGAGGGTCTGGCCAGGAGAAGGGGCATTGGCCTTGGCCCAGGCCCAGCAAGTGGTGTTGTGTTTCTTCTAAGGGAGCTGACTCCTGGTATTCCCTCAGTTGAAAGTGGCAGACACCAGAACCAGAGCCCAGGTCTTCCTCAGCTGCCTCCATTAATATAATTTTGAGGAAGGAAAGACTCTAAAGTTCTCTCAATACAGTGTTTTCAAATTATGGTCTTAGAATCCTTCAGAAGCCATTGCTCTCTGGCGGGGGTGAGGAGACTAAGGGACCTCCTCTGTCTCTTATTCCACCCCAAGGTCAATTAAAACAGCTCTGCTTTTATCTGTTTATCTGTTTCATGTATTAGGGTTTTGTTTGGAAATAGAGTTCTTTAGCTCTAAAACAATGTTTCAAAACCATTGATTCTAGGACAAACCTTTCCTTTTAGCAATGACCTAAGCAGGTCACATGGATCCTAACACCCAACTTAAATATTCATCCTCCCCTACCTTCTATTTCAATTATATGCACATTTCTTTCTGTTGTAGGTGGCAAGAATGGCACCAGTTGTATGACCGGTGGGGTCAGATCAAACCCCTGGGTTCAGCAACCTTGGTACTTGGGTTCTGGCTAGGAAATAATTCAGAGTCCAGGAAGGACCCTCAAGTGGCCAAGGAGATCATGCTGGTCCTGATGTCAGCTGATATTTTGTGGATTCTGCAACCGAAGGAAGTACGTGTCCTTAACCAGAATTGAACCTGGGACCCCCTCAGTCGGAGGGGTGACACTCCAACCATTGAGCAAAACCGGCTAGGGTCAGCTATGGCTGATTTTATTGCTTATCTGGGCCTGGAGCTGAAATACAACTGAGGCACAGATATTCTCTCTAAGGACAAAAAGTCAGGGGGTCCAAACCACACAATGGCCCAACCAGCAATATGCTAGGGGAGAGAAAGTCACCCTGAGGGCAAGGTCCCACCTTACAATTGATTGACCATTGCTAGGCACCTGGGGCTTTCCATCCTGGTGACCTCTACCTGGATCATCGTTCTCGCTCTGCTCATGTCTGTCTAAATGCCTACAACACTTCTTAGTCTACAAATAATGAATTTTTAAATAAAATCTATAGATTGCTATAAAGCAAGCTAAATAAAAGCTTAATGAAGTTAAGGCTCATCTGGGAGCACTCCATGGAGCTTCCCCTTTCTCTGTCTATTCTAAGAGCTGGATTTCTCATTCGTTCTGTCAATGACTATTTATTAAGCACTATTTATTACATGCTGGGCACTGAGGAAATAACATTGAATCACATACACACAAAAATGTTTCCCTCATGGAGCTTCTATTGTAGTGGGGAAATATAAGACAGTATATATATATATATCCCACTGATATGATGACATAGAATATCCTTATATTGTTGTGTAATATATTCTTATGTTACTCGCAGGACAATTGAGCATTTCATTTTATTTATGGGTTGATGTTTTCTGTTTTGCCTGTATCCCAATGACTATGAGCTCTTTGAAGGCAGGTATTTTATTATATACCTAGGCCAGAAAATCTGACATATAATCAGAGAAAATTAAAATTGACAAAGAAGTGAGTGTTAATAGACACAAATTTGTACAATGGTTAATCCAACTGACTGAGTATCTCAGAAGAAATTCCCAGGAGATTCCTATTTAGAAGAGTGTAGACTTTGCCCTAGAAAATACAAAAACAAAGGGATCTGTACACAACTGTTTAACTTTTTTTCAGTAATGTGAACAAAGGTCATGTGGCTCTGGCATTAGACTGGTGATGGTTTCATCACACTGGCAACATGATTTTGGTAGTTTCAATACATCACCCCAAATCTGTGCCCTGTAGGTCAGAATATACCTTTGATTATTAGGATCAGCACCCAACAGGCATGGTGTAGGTCTTAAAGTTGTGTTCAAATTGGGGAACTTGTACCATGGAGATTGCTGGGGTTCAGCCCCAGCCGTCCAGGGGTTCCCAAAAGTGTGGACAGAGTCGGCGAAGAATGAAGGACACGGAGACAGCGTTCAAATGATCAGCATAGCCAGGCTCTCTGTTTATTGTCCTGTTACAGCTGTATTTATACCATTTGATCCTATAAGCATGCCTCTATAGTTACATCATCATATGTTTTGGGTCCTCCTTTTACCTTCTACAGTTCCTTGTTTTATGTTTATAGTTTCTTATCTGACCTTTGATAAAAATCTTATCTCTATCTAGCTCTTTTGATTTTAATCTTGTCTAGGTTAGTCTCTGTGTTCCATTCTAAGGGCTAGTTTGTTGTCTCTATTCCAAGGTCATTATCCTATTATTGTACTGTTAAGCTATTAGGTAATAACTGAAGGAGATTTTTCTATTCTATGGCCTAAGTAAGGATTATGTAGCTTAAGCATGATTGTTCGTAGTTAAGGTGATTAACTACCCACCTGGGACTTAGTTAAGGAGTTTTACTGATTTAGTCCCTTCCCTAGCCCTATTCATCCCTAACTCCAGGGAAACATTCCCACCTGGGGAAACAACCTTTCTTGGGGGGGTGGCTCTGCTTATAACACATAGCGCTAAGAAGGGGAGCAAACATATTAAGAACAGTATGCCATATACGCCAGGTCCCTTGAAACATATGCTGTGCAGATGTTTCTTCCCTACAGCGACTATGTCAAGCAGCAAGGGTGGAACGGCTTCCGGCAGAGATATACCAAGACTTCCCATTGGGTGTTTGAGCACAGAGGGGTGTTAAGTTTTTATTTGCTTGTTTGTTTTGTTTTTTGTTTGTTAGAGGAGTATTAAGTTTAAATAAAATAACATCTATATTGGAAAGTGTTCGAATGTAAAGGATCATTCTTTAGGAACCACGTGACTATTTGACAAAGGAGCATGTTCCATTTTGCAAGTGTACATTCCCTGACCTGAAATTCACAGGTTGGGATGTGGGGAAGCACAGGATATGGTGAGAAAGTCTGTAAGGAAGATTCTCCGAAAGGTTGGGGGCCTTTCAGGGGGACCTTGCTGAAGGCGGCAGCCTCTGCCTTGACTTTTCCCAACAAGTCCGAGCTCTTGGGTATTTTACTGGAATCTCTATGTTTAGTCTTCAAACCCGACCTTATACAAGCATGTGCTTTCTCAAGGATACTTATCCTGTTGATTGTATCTAATAGTTAATTTTAGTTCAAGCTGTTGTTACAATAAAAGCCTAAGAACATAGAAAACCCTAAAGACTCCATCAAAAAATTATTAGAGTTAATAAATGAATTTGGCAATGTAGCAGGATACAAAACTAATGCCAAGAAATCTAAGGCATTTCTTTACACCAATAGTGAACTTACAGAAAGGGAGACTAAAAAAGCAATCCCATTTACCATCGCACCAAAAAAATTAAGATACCTAGGAATAAACTTAACTAAGGAGGTAAAAGACTTATATGCAAAAAACTACAGGACACTGAAAAAAGAGATAGAGGGAGACATAAACAAATGGAAGAACATACCGTGTTCATGGATTGGTAGACTCAACATCATCAAAATGTCCATACTACCCAAAGCAATCTATAGATTCAATGCAATCCCCATTAAATTACCAACGGCATATTTCACAGATCTAGAACGAACGTTCCAAAAATTCATCTGGAATAAAAAAAGACCTCGAATAGCTGCAGCAATCCTGAGAAAGAAGAACAAAGTAGGTAGGATCTCAATACCAGATATCAAACTGTATTACAAAGCCACTGTTCTTTAAACAGCTTGGTACTGGCACAACAGACATACAGATCAATGGAA